TGGTTGGTCAGGCTAGCTGTCATAGGTGTTTCAAAAGTGTTTTTAATAATAAGATGCTGTGCAAAACTGTTAAAAAAGAAATTATATGTTTTGAGGGTCAAAATGGCAAAACTGCCTCTACCTTAAACCCCGTTCAAATAGTTCCATTACGCTGATTCACGAACTCTATCGAATAATCGTGAGTTGAAACGTTTGTACCAAAATCTATCAAAATCGGATTATTTTACTCGAGTTGTAGTTTTAACGGACACACATACGTACATATCTGAGAGACGTACGGTAATAGCTTATCATGACCAGGGCTGCGTGAAAGCACCCGGACCTGTGTGGTGTGATTGTTTAGCGTTGTGGAGTAGTTGAGGTGGCCAAGTGGAATGTAGGGGCGAGTAAACCTTGACCAGCAGTTCAGAGAAGTGAGCATCGCATGTGAGATACAATAACGGCTCTGTTATACACAACTAGAGCAGTGGACAACTAACTACGAGGCCAGGGTAACACAGGCGAGGGAGAAAGAAAAGGTGGATTATGTTTACTTGAACATCTTACACATGTTTGTAAACCCGTCTACATGGTTAGTAGGAGCCCCTTGGTTGTAGTAGTTTACGTAAGGATCACGTGAGGACAGTCTTTACGACAAAAGTAGAAATTTATTCTGCTAGTGTTTTAAAAAATCGTCATAATCGTCAGATTTTGATTGAATTTGGGTCAAATATGTAAGGTAACGTATTATGGAAATACGATGCTTTATGATGTAAAAATTTTGGGTTTCAATTTATGACCCCCACAACATTTAGCAATTTATTTCTAAACCGGAACTACTTTCTAGTGCTTAAAAACAGACAATTCAGTATATTGAAACATTATTGTATGCCTAATGGTTACAGAGGAAATTACAAAAAAACTTGAAATGTAAAATTCCCATGTTAATTTTCTGATATACGGTACTATTTTACTCGGTTTACGAGGAAATTAGACCTCCAATTTTTGGATGATAGATTCAACCTTAAAATCGGTTTAGTGCAAACCGTGCGAAGCACGAAGTGGACATTTACTACATTGTCAGTGTGAATTTAATAAATGTGTGTTTCATAATCCTTTACTCTTTAACTCAGTCATCGTTAAAAGTGTCGTCAAACATTTGTAACTTGCAACGTCCCTGGCTAGATTTAGCTCTCGCCTTCCTTCCGCAATGTGACTAATGCAACTGACTATGACGGATTAACAAAAACTTGCTTTTAAAATTTCCTCAAGTCAAGCCAAACAATAATAGTTTGGTTGTGTGGTTCGGCACAGCTGTTAATTGATTTATCATAGCAGGTTTTCCAATGTACAGAAAGGTTCCCCGTCAAAGAGGTATACCATCCTTTGATTCTAGTAATGCGAACCAACAGCAAAAATATTACAAAAAAGGAGTTCTACAATATTATCACCTTAAAAGCTTGTGATTGGGGGATTGACCGAAGGACCAAAGTCCTGAGCTCCAACAGCGCCCCTACAACCAACTGCATCATACTGCATTACATATTTACTTTTTCTTTTCAATTTTTTTAGACTTTCGTACATTATCCAACACGAAATCACGAAGATCGCAGTTTTAAACATAAATTTATACGTCGATTTCTACCAACTGATCGAGTCAACATTTTGATAATCGAACATAATGTTTTGAAAAGAACATTTATTTGTCTGATGCAAGAAGTTCTCACGCAAATTTGAAAAAATGGACGGAATACAATTTGCACACGCTTTAAGTATGTGAAAAGAAATTCTATGTTACCATGAATGGCTTTTGAGGATTCATTTTAAAGTTTAAGGTCCAAGGACGGTTGGAAGAATAGTTCAACACAGAACAGTAGTAGGTAGAACAGTAGTAAGACGTGTCTACATCCTGCTCTGCTCCACAGGCCATCAAAGATCCAATAATTTTCTAGTGGAGATACTGTTACAGTGCTTCAGTGCTAAAGCTGTTTTAAATATACCAGCTGTTGTAAACATTGCGTATTTGGTTGATTATTGATTTTAGTGTTCTATTATTAGGTTAGAATAGTAGTGCAGTGTTGTATGTTTGGGGAATACCGCGACTAAATGTAAAATTGTGTGTATTTCTGTCAATGACGAAATAATTAAACATATCACCTCCTGTAAAATTAGCCTTTTGTGCTCTTATCTGTAATTTACATAGAACATTGATAATTTTTAATGTAATTAATTGTGCTGACGGTCAAGGGTACAATAATCCCCTATTTTTATCGTAATCAAAATAATCAATTCAACAACACGTCCAGCAAAACGTTCTTGGCGCAATTCGCTTTGCTTATTGGTTTGTTCGAGGAAACATTTTGGTCACTTTAACCTTATCTTGTTCTCGGAAACCGTTGGCAAATATTCAAAATCCTTTATTTAATCCCTTGTAAATAAACGACGATGACAAGGGAAGCTAGCTGACTTACTGAATTTGACAACGCAGTTGGTACTTTGGTTGGTCACAGTTATACAGGATTTTCAATATATCTCTTATTAAGTAAGATTCTATGTTTAACATAACATAACGATAACATAACATATTTATATATATCTAAGTAACGACAATGTATGATGAAGTATGATTCTAATTGTTTATCAAATGTGAATCATATTCAACGATTTCAATATATCAGAAGTAATGTTATCGTTGCGTGTTTCTTTAAAGTTAGTAAGAGGAGACTATTCGGCTTTATGGCTTCATTGTTTCTAAAATTACAATGAAAAATCGAACCAATAGCAAGCAATCACAATCAAGCATTTACTTTTGATATAAAGTTGAGAAAGATCTCAAATGAAACACGTTCCCTACTTTTAAATCTGCAATACTTGCTTATAGCTTAAGATTTATATTTAAAAACAAGTGAACACCTAATAACACATTTCTATGCTGATCCTGATTTAAAAACGGGGGTTTACGGGGGGTTTTATGGGGTAAAAATAGGGTTTTCCCATTTTTGACCCAAAAAACATAAAATTTAGCAATTTCTTTACAAACCATTTTGTAGAGCTTAAAAAACAAATAATTTAGTATATTGAAGCGTTATTATGCGCCTTATGGTTACGGAGAAAATTTAAAAAAAATTGTAAATTTAAAATTTCCATGTTATTCTTATGGAGAATAAGTAAACTGTTGTAGTTTGCTTGTTTATGAACATATTTTGATCAAATTTGGAAAATGTTTTTATTTCTTACTAACTACTAACATTTTACAAAATAAAACGGGTTTACCCTACCTGATGCAGCAAACCTAAGTACTTGTTAAACTAATTATATTTAAATCGGGAATAAATGTTATATTTTTAAGTAGACATTTCAGTGTAAATCCAATCAGTCAAATGGAAATTCGCTTAGTCTGCAGGTTTGCTGCGGCGGGGGGTATTTTTAACTTGCTTCTTTATTAAAGTAAAATACTGTAAAAGATAGAAATATGCAGTTTGCAGGAATCGTCTATTGACTTAGGAGCCACAATTGTTGTGAATTTAATGTGAAGTTCCCATTCACCCCTTTCCCCCCCCCAACCCTTAACTTAAAATTTTTAAATTGCAAGGTACCCCTTTTGACATATCAAATGTGAGGGCATGAAAAAAAGAAATAGAATGCAGTTCAAAATTTAAATTGTTTTCCCCCTTTAAAAAATACACGTTTTTTTAAAACGGCTGTAGCTCGAAAACGGTAAGAGCAAGCAAAGATTTGTAAGAATTTTCACGGTCAGGAATTAAATTTTCTACAAAACACTCATACGCGTTTTCTGAAAATCGCACTCCTTTACCTTAAAAATCACTCTACTTCTAAAATTTATAAAAATTCTCGGATTTTTGAACAAGCACTTTTCAAAGATGTAGGCCTACCTAGCTGGCATAATTGTTGCAGGCAAAAAATTAAAATTTTGATCTACATTCTTTTTCTTTTTTCATGCCCTCACATTTAATGTCAAAAGGGGGTGAATGGGAACTCCACATGAAAATAAATTCACAGCAATTGTGGCCCCTACGTCAATAGACAATTCCAGCAAACTGAATATTTCTATCTAATGCAGTTTTTACATAAATCAAGAAGCAAGTTAAAAAAAACACTCTGTATATATAGATTATGTTATTTAGATAGGTAGTATTTTTTCTGTACTTAAGTAAAAAAAAAAAACAATGCACCTGCTGTATAAATTAATGGTAATTAAAATATTTCATTTAATCTCTGAATCATGTTAAACCTTAAATGCTCGTACGGCGAACCTCGCTGGTCACGTAATTTTACCTCACAATAATTCTCATCCTGTGTAACTCAGTAAGTTTTGTTCGCTTGTCAATTCGCTTTCTATTGGTTCACGTTTTCGTGCACTTTTAAAGTTCGACATGCCACACGTTTTGGCAACATGTAGTTTTACTTTCTTCCTCTATACTTATATGGAGGAAGTATTGTTTTCGTCAACATTTTCGAGTTTGACTTGTGGATGGGTAGATCAGTTTTATGTCTCTCTGAACAAAAAAGTGGTTTTCGAAGTGATGTCTGTGGATGTGCACAGAGCTAAGAACCACATCTGTTGCCCGAATTTGATGAAATTTAGTATTTAGGTACCGGTAGGTAGTTTTTTTTTTATTTCAAATCTTTATTTTAATGGTGATTTTCCCATAAAAATGGCAGAAATTCTTATTTTCACAAAAACGGCTCGACCGATTTTAACTAAAATTTAGTTTGTTACAGAATTGTTATAAAATTACGGATAATAAATTATTGCAACTTTTGAGATTTTCCCCCATAAAATATATTATGGACTCCAACCACTTACCTTACCACTTAATGTACTTTTAAGGGTTGTTGATAAGCTAATAGGAAAGCGTACATCAGATTGCTCATTCAACCTTATAATTTACCCGTAGATGGTTTGTTTAGTAAACGACAACAGTAAAATAGTTTTTTTGAAGAAAAAAAATACATAGGTCTAAAATAAAAAAAAACAAGAAAATACCGCACGAACTCACCTAAAAAAAGACGAAGGTCTGGACTTCCGTCCATCGGACGTACCAGGCTTCTCTTCCATCGCGAGAGTAGGCCTATCTACAACACAACACTAGAGGGTGGACGCCGGACGGGGTGTAGCCAACCTAACTACCCTAGGCCTCACGCATGTAACTGGCACCTCTAGACGCAACAGCAGGGTGGTTACAGGCGAGACACGGTGACGTTCCCAACCGATCACCCCAGCGCGACAACGAACACCGGAGGTCATCCTATATCCTATAGCACTGCACACACTGTGAACTGTGACACTGATCACTGATAGATACGACCTCAGCAGCTAGATTGAGACGTGAGACGTGACGAGAGCGAGAGCGCTGCTACACTAGCGATTACGGCGGACGAGGGGAGAACTACGGATGTAAATAGACCTGTGACTGATGCTGATAACTGGTAAGGGAGAGTGATGTACTTGATCGGAGATTAGAAGTTAGGACGAAACTTGGAAGAAGTTAAGACTCACTTTAAACATCTAGGGTCCAAATCCATGACGCGCTTAAAAATTTATTTGGATTCTTTGGAATGTTATAAAAACTTGTGATTTGGTACAAGGGGGTAGCGGAATTTTACCCTCGGAAATTGACCCCCATGAAAAAAGGCCCACATAATTTTGGCGGAGCCTGTACACGGCCGAGAAACGGGGTAGCGGATTTTCATCCCCCTGGAATTTTACCCCCTGGGCAAACGTGACGTCACAAACCAGGAGGTAAAATTCCGGCCGCGAACTTTTGAGTTTCGCGACAACAGCTCGATGGATTAAACGCGGAATTAAACATATATTTTCACGGTTGTGAATTTAATCAGAACACATTAAATTATAAAAACCTAGAGTGTACTGCCCGGATTTTTACCCCCGGAATTTTACCCCCTGGCCAGATATATAAATTAGTGAGAATGATTAATTATCTTAATTCTGTTTTAATTCAATAGTAAACATTTTGTTATTAAGTAGCCTATATTAATTTATTTGTAACATTAACTAACCGAACAGGTTTTTAATTTTAATTTTGAGATTCTAGTATTAGGATTCGATCTTTGAAGCTAACAGTAGTTGGTTAATATGACGTATAAACAATCAACTGAATGATAATTTTTCGAACATTTCTTTACAAAATAAATAAATAAATAAAGATAGGCTACCGGTACTAAATAATGAAATGTTTACAATTAATAAAAAACAGAAATAAGAAAATCAAACATTCAATTTCTAAAATGGACCAGGGGGTAAATATCCGGGGGTAAAATTCCGGGGGGTAAAAATCCGGGGGTAAAATTCCGGGGGTAAAAATACGGCCCGTACATCTTCAGTTGTCTAAACGCTAATTATATGGACAGGGGGTAAAATTCCGGTTTTTATTGCTAATCTAATTAATCACGCTCTGTCTATTTTCGTTAGACTTCCAAATCCGCGGGGGTAAGCGAACAAACTTTTGGTCACTCAGGTTACTACGTCATAGTGACGTCAGCTTTGCCCAGGGGGTAAAATTCCAGGGGGATAAAATTCCGGCGACCCCGAAAAACAGCCCGCGACCGGAAATATACCCCCAATCCAAATAATAATTAAATAATAATAATGATTAAATAATCAACATGTATGTAATTAATTGTTTCAGAAAGTGATTTGCCATACCACGGGATTTTACCACTGGAAATCTACGCTCCGCGGTCAAATGAGACAAGTCCATTGGTGTGAACCTGGCAATAACTCAGCAATAAGCAGTGCCCGAGCCTGATAAAATCTATTGCTGGGCGTTTTGCGGAAAAATACGGCCGAGTACCTATATACCAATAATGTCAACAGATAGAGGACACTTTAACAGACACGAGAATATCAAGGTTATATACCTGGCAAAAATTCTATTACTTTTTTGCCAGGTATATAACCTTGATTAATCTTTTACAGATTTCCGGAGGTAGGATTCTGGGGTCGGTCAGTTCTGATTTGACCACTTGGGGTAGATTTCAGAGGTTAAACTCTATTGTCAGGTTATTGGGATTTTGATTGAAATAAATATAATAATTTATCCATCCTAAAAGTTTGCGGTCGGAAATTTACCCCCAGACTTGTGATGTCAAAATGACGTAGGTGTTTTTTCATGGGGGTAAATTTCCGGTGATCCAGTTCAAATGCTTAATTGTTGTTATAATTTTGAATTTTAATTTGAATGTCCTCGCTTGTCACATATTGTTTTCCAAAATTAAGATATTTTATTATCAAACTCAGACCAAAAAGGATTTTCCCAACAATCTACATATAGGCCTAAGTTAAACTGTCAACATTTTAGCACAATTACCGGTACATGGTAAAATTATTTAGGGGCTCAAGTAGGTACACAGATTGACACCTTCCTTGAAAATAATTCTCATAGGGCTACATACTTTCAGTGATGGAAAAATAATATTCCTATAGTACCAACAGCTAAAGAAGTTATTTCCACAAAACCAAAACCAGTCAGAATCGATCAGTGAAAATTTGTTCATATTTATCATGTCTATATTTTTTAAATCTTTCTCTATTGAACTGACTGATGAGATTTAGGCTATGACATAATTTCTTTCACGCTCCTCTTTGTGGCCCCTTCTTCTCCACCCATACGCAAGTAAATTGATCTATATTTGTTTTTAGTTTAACTTACTTCCCGGACATAACACCATGAACCTTTAAAAAATTAGCTACCAACTAATAGGCTACCGGTACTCATCCCTCAGTTACAGAGGAGTGTGATGGTTGGTAGGGAACATGTCGACACATTAGCTACCGAATACTCATTCCTCAGTTACAGAGGAGTGTGACAGTTGGTAGGGAACGTGTTAAAAAATATTTTTCCTACAGTTACCTAACAATGTACATGTTCCCTCACTGATTTGAGCAAGCAAAGTGGCCAATTCGCTCATCAGTGAGACAATGTTAACATTGTCTCACTCTAATTACTTTGTCTCACTCCAGATTTGCAACGTGAAGGCACGAAATAGTTAGCGCGTAACATGCAGGCAACGTCGTATGTTCGCGAAATACGTTGGCAGCACTGGCTGTAAATCAGCTGGTCAGCTGTTGTACTGTTGTATTTGTCACTTCACATTAAATGTTATATTAAAAGTTCACTTCTGTGTAAAAATAGGTTATGTTTCTTCACAAATTTATTTGTTTTATGGAAACTGTAGGAAAAGTATAATGTGCAACTTGAGTTCAAAGTACAATTGCCTCACTCGAGAAACCATTCTTCACTCGCCTACGGCTCGTGAGTAAGGATTTTTCTCGAGTGAGTCAATTGCTCACTTTTCTCACTAGTTGCACAAATAACTATTATCTAACAAATAAATAATTAGAATGCGTATTGAAAATTTAGAACTCAATAACTTAGGCTTCTTTAAATTTGATGAACAATTGCAAGTAAGTGTTGTTAAACTTAAAAGTAATTGCATAAAAATGTAAAATATTGTTCCTTTAGGGCCTATATATAGAACTGTTAGGAATTTGAACCTGTGCGCTTTAACATCTTCTTTATTTAAGCTAAAGTTATAGAAAGTTATAGAAAGTTATAGAAACATAGACAAAAAGAATTAAATATAGACTGTCAGCCGTACAGTGGTTACCATAGGTTCGGGCGCACACTGCTGGGAGCGCCATGTAGTTACGGCTTACGCGCCAGAACCTATGGTAACCGCAGCACGGGCTGACGGTCTATATTTAATTCTTTTTGTTTATAATAGAAATAAGTTAAACTGTTTGATTCAGTTAGCCTATTAGTATGAATCCGACAGAACAGCATGCAAAGATGAGTGTCAAGTTAATTAAATTCAATGGCTTCCATTCTGTATCAGCTGATTCTATAGCCTAGATTGTTAATTTAGAGTTCAATGATCAAGAACAGCTAGGCCTAGATACAGTTTTGCACCATCAAGCTTAGGCCTAAACTGCCTTTCCTTCGGATCAAATTGGCATCCTTCAGGTTACTAAGCAAGCTTTAAGTTATGCCCACTGAGGTATATAATCCTGTTAGGATGCAGTTCCACAGAGAACCAACGATAAATTCACATTATTGTCAACTAAGTTCAGTTTAGGCCCTACCCTATAACTTAGTTTAGCCTTAAATTCGACACAAACGGTAAGCTTAATTACTCATAGTTAGGGTTTTAGTAGTGATATCTGAAGAAAAATTCAAATTGATCACTTGTAGAAACATTGAATTGATTCATAAGTAGAAACATATTGTAAACAGCCAATTAGCCTAAATTCACTACATGTAGATTGTTAGTTAAGGTTAGAGTTAGCTTTTACTCGAGACTTTGCGAGTTGTGACGTGGATGACTCTGTTGTATGACTCTGCTCCTCATTTCCCTATTACCATCCCTAATTTCCCAAAACTGAATGAGCAATTAGTGCAGCCTACAAATTATAAGACAATAACAAAGGAAACTTACAAATTTTCGATGTCAATATCAGTGTCCTCCAATTGTGCCATTTTGGAGTCCCTGTTCTAACGAAGAATTCAAAGTTAATCGCAGCACCAACAGTAAATAATATGGTCCATAACCTCTATTAGGCTCACAATTACAACTTATTTAAGTAAGTATAAAACAATTCTAGAATAATCACCAAGACCAAGACACAACAGGAACAGGTTAAAGTAGTAAAACTGACATTTAAACTTCAAGCTTGACAGTTTTTTTCGTAACGGCAATGGCAAAATCCCACCTTTGTTTACTTTTCTTCACCAGCCAGAGACCAAAGAAAAACTTTTTAGGATAATAACTACTTAGAAAGAATTTGGTCATTGATTTTTGTTTCAAAGTGTTCAAAGTTTATATAATCCCATGAATATACACATCCATGATGATATCCGACAAATCCATTTCAAGACTCCTTCCAACACAAGGTCGACTGATCTGTTTATTAAGCAACAGCACCGCACTAGCTAGCTACTCAGTCAACAGCACGATGGTTCGTGTCCCAGGGAGCTGGCAACAAAGTGACAAGGCATGTCGACTTTTTTCAAGACAGCGTGACTACACTGAAAAAGAAGATTATCACTTTAACACTTAATGTTTAGTTTTTTCCCCCTTTCAAAGTCTCTGACCTGTCTAATTAAAAATTGTTTTTCGTTTGTTACCATCCAATCGTTGCTCTCTAGTCAATTTGATTTTATATAGTCATATTTATCTTTCTCAGTTTTTATTGGTTGTTCGCTTGTGGGTTTGTTGTTATTGTTTGCATATTATTTATTTATTGTTGTTGTTTAAATTATTTATTTATTAGTAGGCCTATACCTTTTGTTATATTGTCAGTTTTTGTCTTGTTTGGCTAGGTTTGTCATTGTTATTGTTGTTTGTATTAGATCATTATGAGGGAGTATCGCGTCCATTAGTAGCCTATGGCTACATATTATTTATTTACCTTGAAATACGAATACATGGTGAACACAGTTTTACCCAAATGTTTTTTTTTCAGTAAAGTGGAACGCGAAATGAATATTAATTTTTGTTTGTTTGTGACAAACCTTTAATTTGTTATTTTTGACATTTCAACAACATAATTGCTTTTAAAATTAGAGGTGCCTTTTCAAGAATATAATTTTTTATTGGAACTATAGACCAACCAATGTTTAATCCATGATTGGAAATCCTCTTGGAATGATATTGTTACACATAGTATGAGCTTTAATGTTACTAATTTTAATGCTTGAAAAGTTCGATTGGCAACACTGCCAAGTCTTACGTTGAAGTTCATTTTGTCATTGTCACTATGTCACTTGTCAGTTCAGTTGTCTCTGTCTGTGTCTGTCACTTCACTTCACTTTAATCAGTTGCTGTCTAATGTAACTTTTACTTAATACATGACCAGAAATAATTAATAGTGCGTTCAAAATACTAGTTAAATAATGATTAAAATGTTAATTAATGCTGAACTCTTTATTATAGCCTATCTTGAATTGATTTTAATTTTTAGTAGGCTGTAGGCTATAGTTTGTAATCATAATCTAAATCAAAGGAAGGTATGTTTTTGGTTCCTATCTTAATTCTTAGCCTAAGTCTCTAGTGTCTACCAGGCTATCGTTATGTATTTAATGTGTGATTAAATACATAAATACATATATAAATCTATTTACCGAATTTCACTCTTAAGCTTCTTCGAATTAAGAATATAGTTGACTTGCTTGGTAATATGTTTTGAAATTCTGTTTTGTAAATATGTTTTGAAGTAAAATAGATTTTTATTTATTTTTTATTTGACTTTATACTGATCACGTCATTTGTCAAGTTTTTAGGATTTAGATAAGTTTAACCCCTTCTCGTCCATCCAAATGACAATTATATTACATAGCCTACCTATAGAAATGGGGTAATAACTTAAATCCCTTGGGGTAATTAATCCCTTGAATAGTTAACTTAACAGTCAAAGCATTATGGTTTACCATTGGTGTGAACCTGGCAATAACTCCAGCCATAAGTAGTGCGCGCGCCCGAAAAAATCTATTGCTGGCCGATTTGCGGCAAAATACGACCGCGTAACATGAAACCGATAGTGTCACCAGATAGAGGACACTTTAACGGAAACGACCGTATCAATATCATATACCTGGTGGATAAGAAAGAGGGGGTAAAGTCAGCCAAAAGTAGTGCGCGCGCCCGAAAAAATCTATTGATGGCCGATTTGCGGCAAAATACGGCCGCGTAACATATTACCGATGATGTCACCAGATAGAGGAGACTTTAAAGGACACGACAGTATCAATAACATGTACCTGGGGGATAAGAAAGGGGGGTAAAAGTCAGCCATAAGTAGTGCGCGCGCCCGAAAAAATCTATTGCCGGCCGTTATTTAGCAAAATACGACCGCGTAACATGAAACTGATAATGTCATCAGATAGAGGAGACTTTAACGGACACGACAGTATCAATATCATGTACCTGGGGGATAAGAAAGGGGGGGTAAAGTCAGCCAGAAGTAGTGCGCGCGCCCGAAAAAATCTATTGCTGGCCGAATTGCGGCAAAATACGGCCGCGTAACATAATAACGATGATGTCACCAGATAGAGGACACTTTAACGGACACGACAGTATCAATATCATGTACCTGGGGGATAAGGAAGGGGGGGTAAAGTCAGCAATAAGTAGAGGGCGCGCCCGAAAAATCTACTGCTGGCCGATTTGCGGCAAAATACGGCCGCGTAACATAATACCGATGATGTCACCAGATAGAGGACACTTTAACGGACACGACAGTATCAATAACATGTACCTGGGGGATAAGAAAGGGGGGTAAAAGTCAGCCATAAGTAGTGCACGCGCCCTCAAAAAATCTATTGCTGGACATTTTACGAAAATATACGGCCGCGTATCATAATACCGATTATGTCACCAGATAGAGGACACTTTAACGGACACGACAGTATCAATATCATGTACCTGGGGGATAAGAAAGGGGGGGTAAATTCAGCCATAAGTAGTGCGCGCGCCCGAAAAAATCTATTGCTGGCCAATTTGCAGCAAAATACGGCCGCGTATCATAATACCGATTATGTCATCAGATAGAGGATTCAAAGCCGTGACAACTGACAACTTACGACTAGACTGGTTGACGATCCTTTTGTATGACCAACTTTTACCATAAAGTATTAGGCCTATAATCCTATGCGCAGCCACTCAAGTCGCGCAGATTTTTTCGGGCGCGTGCACTACTTATTGCTGACTTTACCCCCCCTTTCTTATCCGCCAGGTACATGATATTGATACTGTCGTGTCCGTTAAAGTGTCCTCTATCTGGTGACATTATCGGTTTCATGTTACGCGGTCGTATTTTGCTGCAAAACGGCCGGCAATAGGTTTTTTCGGGCAAGCCCACTACTTATTGCTGACTTTACTCCCCCTTTCTTATCCCCCAGGTACATGATATTTATACTGTCGTGTCCGTTAAAGTGTCCTCTATCTGGTGACATTATCGGTTTCATGTTACGCGGTCGTATTTTGCCGCAAAACGGCCGGCAATAGTTTTTTTCGGGCAAGCCCACTACTTATTGCTGACTTTACCCCCCTTTCTTATCCCCCAGGTACATGATATTCATACTGACGTGTCCTTTAAAGTGTCCTCTATCTGGTGACATCATCGGTATTATGTTACGCGGTCGTATTTTGCCGCAAAACGGCCGGCAATAGGTTTTTTTCGGGCAAGCCCACTACTTGTTGCTGACTTTACTCCCCCTTTCTTATCCCCCAGGTACATGATATTTATACTGTCGTGTCCGTTAAAGTGTCCTCTATCTGGTGACATTATCGGTTTCATGTTACGCGGTCGTATTTTGCCGCAAAACGGCCGGCAATAGGTTTTTTCGGGCAAGCCCACTACTTATTGCTGATTTTACCCCCTCTTTCTTATCCGTTAGGTACATGATATTGATACTGTCGTGTCCGTTAAAGTGTCCTCTATCTGGTGACATCATCGGTATTATGTTACGCGGCCGTATTTTGCCGCAATTCGGCCAGCAATAGATTTTTTAGGGCGCGCGCACTACTTATTGCTGATTTTACCCCCTCTTTCTTATCCGCCAGGTACATGATATTGATACTATCGTGTCCGTTGAAGTGTCCTCTATCTGGTGATATCATCGGTATTATGATACGCGGCCGTATTTGGCTGCAAATCGTTCATAAATAGATTTTTGAGGGCGCGCGCACTACTTATTGCTGATTTTACCCCCTCTTTCTTATCCGCCAGGTACATGATATTGATACTGTCGTGTCCGTTAAATTGTCCTCTATCTGGTGACATCATCGGTATTATGTTACGCGGCCGTATTTTGCCGCAATTCGGCCAGCAATAGATTTTTTAGGGCACGCGCACTACTTATTGCTGATTTTACCCCCTCTTTCTTATCCGCCAGGTACATGATATTGATACTGTCGTGTCCGTTAAATTGTCCTCTATCTGGTGACATTATCGGTTTCATGTTACGCGGTCGTATTTCGCCGCAAAACGGCCGGCAATAGATTTTTTCGGGCAAGCCCACTACTTATTGCTGACTTTACCCCCTCTTTCTTATCCGCCAGGTACATGATATTGATACTGTCGTGTCCGTTAAAGTGTCCTCTATCTGGTGACATTATCGGTTTCATGTTACGCGGTCATATTTTGCCGCAAAACGGCCGGCAATAGATTTTTTCGGGCAAGCCCACTATTTATTGCTGACTTTACCCCCTCTTTCTTATCCGCCAGGTACATGATATTGATACTGTCGTGTCCGTTAAAGTGTCCTCTATCTGGTGACATCATCGGTATTATGTTACGCGGCCGTATTTTGCCGCAAATCGGCCAGCAATAGATTTTTCGGGCGCGCGCACTACTTATGGCTGGAGTTATTGCCAGGTTCACACAAGTTGGTTTACCTTTAGTTGAGAAAGTTAAATTACTTAAGTATTAGTTTTAATTCACCATGTTTTTTAGCCTAGTTGCGGTGTACATGTAGGTAGGCCGGTAGGCCTAAGTAGGAGGGTAAAATTTTGAAACTTGGCTGCACTTTACTTGACGTCCTACACTCATTCGATTGTTTTTTCGATTCGATATTTCATTCGATTGTTTCATTCGATATATCGTTTGGTTAGAGAGAGAGAGAGAGAGAACAACTTTATTACAAAATCATCAAGATTTGAAATGGCGTCAACAATTAAACAATAGATTTCAGTACAATAACAAGGCAATTATTGTAACAGTTAAAAGTCATTCAAATCAAAGTCTTTCCAATTTAAAAATTCTTCAATGGTGTAAAAAGGCCGAGAAGACAACCAAGTTTTCAAATGGGGCTTCATTTTTTCAGCTTTGGAGTAATTCTTGAGCTCCTCCGGCAGTGCGTTATAAAGCTTCGCTCCTAGGTATGAGGGTTTTCTTTCAAAAAGTTTTTTGCGGTGATAGGGTAGGTTATAGTTCTTAGCAAACCTTGTGTTGTATCTATGAACATCGGAATTTTTAGGTGGACCTTTCCTCATTGACAGCAGTACGGTTTCATAAACAAACATCGACACCACTGTCAAGATTTTGCTCTCCGAAAAAACTCTTCTGCACCTATCTCTTATTTGTAGTCCATTCATGGTTCGAAGAGCTTCCTTTTGTAGAATTAATACCCTTTCGAGATTGCTGACTGAAGAGCCACCCCAAAGAACAATACCATATGTCATACTGCTCTCGAATAGCGCATGGTATGCAACCGTCACAGCCTCTGGGGTACCTATTGCTACAATCCTCCTGATAGCAAAGATGGCGCTGTTTAGTCTTTGACAGAGTGAGTCCACATATTCTCGCCAAGTAAGACCTTCGTCGATCACTACACCAAGATGTGATGTAGAATTGTGCTTTTGAATATTGGGCAACCCCACAATGTCCTCTCTTTGACTTCCAAACATTAGCTGTTTAGTTTTGGCTTCGTTGAAAACAAGGTCATTATTATGACAGTATTCAAGGGCACAGTTTAGGGCTATAAAAGAATTCACTTCCAAACTATCAAGCGATTTATCAGCAGAAAGAATTACGGTGTCATCTGCGTACATAAAAGATAGTCCGTAAGGTGTGATTTGCATTGGTAGGTCGTTTGTAAAAAGGATAAAAATCACAGGACCAAGCACCGAGCCTTGGGGAACACCTCTTGGAACAGGTTGCTGGCTAGATCTTGTGCGAGAAATTTCCTTATTGGTAATGTGCTGGATTTCTACAATTTGGAATCTATCTTTTAAATAGCTGGAAAACCATTGAAGAGCAACATCCTGTATTCCGAGTGATGAGAGTTTAGACAAAACAAGATCATGATCTAAGCAATCAAATGCTTTGCTTAGATCCAGAAAGATAGCTGTTACATTGCTGCCTTCTTCAATTCGATCCGTTAATGTTTCCACAAAATCAACTAAAGCTGTTGATTAGGTTAGGTTAACCTTACTTAACTAACCAAACGATATATCGAATGAAGCAATCGATTAATCGATATATCGATCGATATTTTCATTCGAATGAGTGTAGGACGTCAAGTAAAGTGCAGCCTGAAACTTTGTCAACTCAATCCCACTTTTGACTCCATTGTAATATATATCTACAATTCAACCGAAAACTAGTGTTGGGGAATCAAACCACACAAAAACATCGATATTTTTGATATATCGACTATGGATACCTAACACTACTGAAAACTTTTATTCATTAAGTAACCTTACCTGAGAAGCAAACGTTCAACACCAGTTTTTAATCACATTTTAGTGAATCATTAAATATTGATTGATATGTAATATGATGGATTTTAGAAAGCCGTCAAAGTTTATGGGGAATCATAACAAGGTTCTGCCTCTATCTAAAAAAGTGCTGTAGGCCTATAGTCTAAAATAGGTACGAAAATATAAATTAATAATGTCAACAACATTTCTAGCAATAAAAAAGCCCTACAGAAACACTCTAAAAAGGTGGTGACATAAACTCTGAATATAGCAAATTGTGAAACAGTTCATCAGACAATGTTGTCTGCATCAACGTGGTTCCATTCAAATGGATTAGGCTATTTCTAGATGAAGAAAAAACTCAAAAACATTGTATTTAAATTAAATCAAGACTTCTTCGTAAACATTTTTGGGTGTACTCACTGACTATCAGTTATTCTGGAACTCCCACATTGAGCTGTCTTCAAAATTATCCCGAATAGTTTTTCTTTTCAGACGCCTAAGACACTAAATTCCAAAAAATATATATTAAAAACTGCATACTTTGCTTACTTTTAATCCATTATAAGATAGCTATGGGTTGATATTCTGGGGTGTATGCAGCAAGATTAAAAGTATTTTGAAATTACAAAAAAAGGCTTTAAGAGCAATGAATAGAACATCGGAATGAGCATTGTAAACAACTATTCATAGAATAGGAACAGACTGCTGATAATTTGTATAGCCTACACAGCAAAACATAACAATCTGAAATGTATCAACCACTGTACAATACACAAAACAAAAATACTTAATGCTGCTTTAGAATCACATAATTTAAATAAACCTCAAGTAGCCACATAATTTTATCTATAGAAGTCTACAATGTTTTTTCAAAAGCTAATTGCAAACGGGCCATTAAAAGATTTAAAAAATAAGCTTTAACTGTGGTTGTTGAGACACCCGTTTTATAAACTGGACGATTTTTCAGTTGTGAAAATGTCCAGTTTTAGGTATTGTATTCTTTGTCCTTTTTTCCGTTTAGCAGTTGTAGTTTTTTTTAGTTTGTGATTGTATCTTTTTAACTTGTCATGTACATTTTTCAATATATTTTTTTCAATAATAGGCTATTACCAAAAGTTTTAAAAGAAGGAAAAATACTTGTATGACCTGGCAGCTTCACTGCATCTTATGACTTTGTCTCTGTATTTTTACGACAAATCAAGATTCATTATTATTACTATAAACATATTATTGTCGAAATGGTATTACCATGTTTTTCCATTTTGTTCCAGTACCAACAAGACATCATGTTTAGTAATATGAAAAATAAAATTAGAGAGAAAACTGGCTCAGATCTTCCAAAACTATCGCTGACCCAAAAAACTGGTATCGGGAGACATTCAAGACAGGGTTCTGAGACTAGTTTAAGCAGCCTGGACCCTCAGCCCAAAGAAGAACCTTCACCACTTCCATCCTCAAATAGTGAGATTGTTCTTGCTGATGGAAAGGTACTCAAATCAAAAAGAACAGTATGCCTTAATTTGCTCGGCAACTTAAAATATCTTTGATAGAGTAGGGAGCTCGTTCTACTAGTAGGCTTTTCACTGCTCTCCCTACTACTATTATTGACTATTGAATACTGATGTAGACATCCCATCCATATGGACCAGCTGTCGCCAATTTTTTTATTAGATAGGAACATTTAACTTAGTTCTGTGAGCCAGTCACAGATTGTGCTAGTGTCAACAATTTTATTTTCTACCTAATTTTTTGTTGCCTAATGCATAGCGGACGGTAGGCGGATATATCGGAAATATTTGCCGATAATTACGACATCTATTGTTATAGTTGATTGTCTATAAAAACATCATCGTCTTTTTTATCTTTGTACAAGGATTTTTTTTAATTTAAGAAATTTAATTTAAAAAAATAATAGGCTAAAATAAATTAAAAATGAAAAAAGGGAAAAAAAATATTTGGAACAAAAGTGTTGCATATAGGTAAACTATTTAATTCAACATTCTATAAATTATGGATAGGTAGTTTTTAGTTTCTATCAAAATAAAAATTGCTGTCTTTTTTTTACATTCTATAGACGGTCCGGCAAGGGTTAATTAGTTTGACTTAGTAAACAAGTCATTGTGTTCGACAGAAATTAGTAATTTAGATCAGCACAATCTGTCGGTGGCTCACATCAACTACGACGATTTTAAAAAAAAAAAACTGTTGACCAACTTTAAAATGGGGATGGAATTTCTAGCTTTATTAATAGTTAAAGGGACTGTTTAAACTATACACTGACTACAGTAGACTCCCTCTTATCTGGACTCTTTGGGACCGAGGCCAGTCCAGATAACGGGGTTTCCGGTTAAACCGACGTCCCCAAAAACTCGTTAAAACGGACCGTTTAAATGCATACTGTTATTTGACTTAAATTTAGGAGAGCATTGTATTTAGACACGTGATCACTGGTCTCAAATCTTTCCCACGAGAACAGTCGTTTCAGTACCGCCCACTTCCTGCCGATCTAGTCCGGTTAAACCGATGTGATGATAAAAATTGTCCGAATAAAGAGATGTCATTTCCGCCGAGTGTAGTCTGGTTAAATCGATGTCCAGTTAAAAGGTGTCCGGATAAGAGGGAGTCTACTGTATCTTGAAAAGTTTATGTGGGTTTCTTGGAAAGTTCTATCTTCAGTTGTTGAAACTTATGCCGTTTATTAAGGTAACAAAGATGTTTCTTGCTGCTGCTCCTCATTTTGGAAGAACTTGTGAACTTCACCTTTATAGTTTCTTGAAAGATAGATAAGTTGTTTGTAATATCAAGTTGTTTGTAATACACATAGATAGGAAATTTATTCTGCCTATCTATATAAATAAATTTGGAGTTTTTAAACTAAATATAAATAAAGGATGAGTCTAGAATGAAATGAGGTGATGTGTAGCTTAGTTACCGTACTGAATAGAACAATCAGTTTTGCCAAGTGACCATGAATTAAAAGAAATGATCAAGGACCGCTTGCAACCATCTAAAAGCCTACCACTTCCTAGGATCTTACCGGCGACCTTCTAATTAACTTACTAGACAAGCTCTATTTAATCACTCAGCTTTGTAGCTATATAACTACAAGTTTGTCTTTAAACAAGATTAAATGTTAAATACCCCCGCCACAGCAAACCTGCAGGATAAGAGAAATTCCATTTGCCTTATTTGATTTTCAATTAAATCTATTCAAATAACATTAGGTTTAATGAGTACCTAGGTTTGCTGCCTAAAGGGTGTAACGCTTATCTGGTCGACAACGTTCTTGTCACCTGGTAAAGCCGTTTACACTTAAAATTTGTCCAAAAAGCTCAGCAAGCCAAGGTCCGGTTTTACAAAAATGGCACTTTTTCGGATTGAGCACTAGACCAGCTTCTCGTAGTCGACTAAATACTTTCCGTAACAACTCCAAATGTTCCTCGAATGTCTTTGACACGACAACAATATCGTCCAAGTATGCAAATGCATTTGGTTCAAATTCTGGACCTATCACCATGTCGAGAAGTCTTTGAAAAGTCGCAGGTGCCGAGTGTAGGCCAAAAGGCATCACGCGGAACTGAAATAGTCCTCGCCCAGCAACTGTGAACGCAGTAATTGGTCTACTATCTTCCTCTAATCCCACTTGCCAGTAGCCATTCTTGAGATCTAAAGTGCTAATAAAGTGTGCCTCACGGAGTTTCTCCAATATAGCGTTAACCTGTGGTAGGGGGTAAGCATCCCGAATTGAGGATTCATTTACCTTTCTCAGATCAATACAACACCTATAAGCACCTGTTGGTTTCTTTACTAAAACTACCGGGGACGACCAAGGGCTATTGGACCTTTCGATCACTCTATCCTCCAGCATTTTGTCAATTTCGTCGTCGAGCACCTTTTGCATTGCCGGATTTCTTGGGTAATATCGTTGTCGGATAGGTGTTATGTCAGGTTTCAATCGTATACGATGTGTGACGAGACTAGTTATACCTTTAACATTGTCGAACTGGGGAAGTTCTTCATCGAGGAAAGTTCCCAGTCTACATTGGTCATTGTCATTTAGGTCGGAAATAATATTTGAAGAAAACTCCTTAGTGTCTACTTCCTGGAAGATTAGAATTTGTTGTGTGAGGGCAGGTGAAAAATGTATTAACTCAAGGGTTGGTATTATATCCATACCCAGTACCATGTCGGTGGTCAGGTCATCCAAATTAATGGCCTTAATTTCGCTCACCTCGCCATTGATGACGCATTGGAACTCATAAGCCTCTTTAATGGCTGAACTAACACCATTAGCCATTTTTACGTTAACGTTGACCGCAGTTGGCGATACCCCGTTCGCTTGCAAATAATTCTTTATGTTTTTGCCAATTATAGTGATCATTGACCCAGTGTCAATAAGTGCTTTGAACAGATCCCCATTAATTCCTATATTTACAAATGGTCTCATGTCACGTTGAATCGTTTGTAGAGAAAAGTTGTTGTTAAAATTCTTTAATTTGTCGAGCCAAACTTGCCATTCGTTGGAGGTTGTTCTGTGGATTTGGCTTCGAGACTCAGAGCACCTCCTTTCCTCTGGTCTCTGCTTCCATTTCCCTGTCGACAAGGACAATGGACTGTTCGTATTCCTTCCTTTTTGCAATTATAGCACCTGATGATCTTAGGTAGCTTGCATTCGAAAAATCTATGACCCACTTTCTCACAATTCCAACAAATCGGTGTCTGTTGCGACCTATCGGGAGCCCTAAAAACTGTTTTCGAAGTCCCTGGGTATGAAAATTTGTTCAATGAAGTATCTTGATTTAGAGGAGCGGATCTGTCGATGTTCCTATTAACGGGTGTTTCACGTGGTTTCGGAGTTTCAATCATGTCAACCTCGACAGACTTGCTAATACGAGGTTTTGGAGTAAAAGCTGCTTCGGGAAATAGGCTCTGAGCAGGTGCAGGAGGAGGTCGGTAATTCTTTTTTTCCCTTATTTAGCTCTCGTAGCCCTCGGCTAGTTTAAGTAGTTCACTAACTGTTTGGAACTGCTCCCTTCTAATCGTTAGTTTATACTCTGGTCTCATGTTCCTAAATATCCTATTAAGAAGGTCATTTTTCGAATATGAACCATGACGTCGCATGAGCATTTGTAATGCAACAACAAAATTGCGAAGTGGTTCGTGTTCTCCTTGGGTTCTTTTCAGTATCTCTTCTTCCAAATTTCTCCTATAATCTGGTGGGAGAAAGTATTCCTCAAAATCAAGAAGAAAGTCCTCATAAGATTTCCAATTATTTTTGTTATTTCTATACCAATAGAGAGCCTGACCTTTGAATAATTCTGGCAGAGCCCTAATCAAGATATCGTGATTTATGTCGTAGGCTTCGATCAGTTCAGTGAGTCGTTCTAAAAAGGATATCGGGTCTTTGCTGCCGTCAAATCTAAGATTCCACTTACGCACTTGGTTACATATTTGACCAATTGCCATAGATACCTTTTGCGATCGATTTACTACAGTAGGACTGAAAGCTGTCATTTGTTGCATTGTACTCATCGTTGGCCTCTCAGAAGTTTGAACCGTAAGGGTTTGAGAGTCCAGTGTGGCTGCCAAGGGTTGGTTGTAACCAGACGCTGTGCCTACTAACAATGAGAGAGTTCGTTGAACTTCTTTAAAGTCGGTGTCAGGGGGTAAACCTAACATTTCTCTCACGCTCTCACTTTCTTGTGTCCGATCATTCTGACCGTACTTTCGCCCCTCAGGGTTGAAATCTCCGGTGAACCCAGCGTCATCCAAGGGGTTTGTATGGATGTGCGTCGAGGGGTTCAGATAAGTGCGTTTGCCAATGTCAGTCGAAGCAGGTGGTGTAGTCATTTCTACTACTCCTTGTCGCAAAAAATCTCGAAACACTTTACGTAGGTCATCGACCGTTCCTCTCCATCTTGGGAAAACGGTGATGGTGCTGCTGATGTAGCAGGGGGGAGAGCGGGGAACCCTGACGACATAGCGGTCGTGGTGATTACTATAGTTGTCGGTACACCCGATGTAGTTGTTGGTGTTGATTCTGTCGTGGCTGGGTTTGTAGCCTTCCAAGGATTCTGGTCTTTGTTTTTCCTTATAGTACCCCCCTCGTCTTCGTTCACAGACAGGGTGAAGAGAATCCTAAATATTTTTATCCAATGCCTTAATGAATACATTTTGATCGATCAATCCTACGAAGTATGTTCTTTGCTTAAAGTTGGTCGTTTTTTCCAGTTTCGTCAAAAACAAGTCGTCAAGCTTGTCGTCAGGTTGTCGTATCGTATCTGTTGTTTGAATCGTCCCTGTTCGGGCGCCAAAATGTAACGCTTATCTGGTCGACAACGTTCTTGTCACCTGGTAAAGCCGTTTACACTTAAAATTTGTCCAAAAAGCTCAGCAAGCCAAGGTCCGGTTTTATTTGTTGGTTAAGGCTCAGACCCGTGACGTTTAGGACGATGTCTAACAATTTACGTTTTCGGTCTCATCATAGCCCACATAACCAACAATAAGATTTGCAAGGTGGTAAGATAGCTTTTAACCGGATCGTGGAATCGGTTGGGGTTTTAAAGTCCGGTTAATCCTGATTAATAGGTCGGAGAAAATGACGTTATTTCCCAACGGTCGTTGGATCGGAAGTACGGTTATCCCGAGTGTAATCGGTAGGGATAAAAGGTTACTTCCCAACGGTCGTTGGATGGATAAGTCGAGTGGGTCGTTAACTGTAGGATCGTTCCCAACGGTCGTTGGATCGGAAGTAAGGTATCCCGAGTGTAGTCGGTAGGGATAAAAGGTTACTTCCCAACGGTCGTTGGATGGATAATTTGAGTGGGTCGTTAACTGTAGGATCGTTCCCAACGGTCGTTGGATGGATAATTCGAGTGGGTCGTTAACTGTAGGATCGTTCCCAACGGTCGTTGGATCGGAAGTAAGGTATCCCGAGTATAGTCGGTAGGGATAAAAGGTTACTTCCCAACGGTCGTTGGATGGATAATTCGAGTGGGTCGTTAACTGTAGGATCGTTCCCAACGGTCGTTGGATCGGAAGTAAGGTATCCCGAGTATAGTCGGTAGGGATAAAAGGTTACTTCCCAACGGTCGTTGGATGGATGATTCGAGTGGGTCGTTAACTGTAGGATCGTTCCCAACGGTCGTTGGATCGGAAGTAAGGTATCCCGAGTATAGTCGGTAGGGATAAAAGGTTACTTCCCAACGGTCGTTGGATGGATAATTCGAGTTGGTCGTTAAAGGTAGGATCGGTCCCAACGATCGTTGGATCGGAAGTTAGGTTATCCCGAATGTATTCGGCAGGGATAAAGGTTACTTCCCAACGGTCGTTGGATCGGAAGTAAGTTATCCCGTTTGTAATCGGTAGGGATAAATGGTACTTCCCAACGGTCGTTGGAGGGATAAGTCGAGTGGGTCGTTAAAGGTAAGATCGTTCCCAACGGTCGTTGGATCGGAAGTAAGTTATCCCGATTGTAATCGGTAGGGATAAAGGGTACTTCCCAACGGTCGTTGGATGGATAAGTCGAGTGGGTCTGTAAAGGTAAGATCGTTCCCAACGGTCGTCGGATCGGAAGTAAGGATTATCCCGAGTGTCGTCGGCAAGGATAAAATTACTTCCCAACGGTCGTTGGATGGATAAACGGTAATAGTGGGTTTGAAATGGTAAGGTATGGGGTAATCACGAGTCGCGTGTCTGTTCCCCTGCTTACAAAACCAGATTACAGCTTGAAATAATCGAAGTATTAATTTTCTTTAGCCTAAAACAAGTTTGGATGATTCGATGCCAATTAGCCGCCTTTGCTGACTATTTAGGTTTACTATGGAATCCAGACGGACGTCTGCGGGAGAAAATCGGTAATAATATCGGACGGTCGTCTGCAGGATGGAGGTTTGTGTAAGGGTAGGGTAAACAATTAGGAGAATGTGTACATACACTTGGCCCAAATCAAATCTACACAACAATGCACACCAAATCAAGCAAGACAATAATGCAAAGCAATTTATATAGTTTGAGGATAGGCTATTAGTAATGCAAGCTATTATTAGGCTACTACGTTATGAAATTATTTCAAGCTCCAGGCAATTGTTTAGGTGGTATTTTACTGAAATGAATGATTACTGAGTCGAAATAAAATAAATGAAAGGAGATAATCTGCTGTAGGATACTATGGTTCAAAAACTGATTACCAGATAGGAATGTAGATAAACTGCGCTAGTAAGCGTTCTACTGTAGGGTTTAATTGACAGTGAAATTCAAATTATATGATTGAATAGGAAAACTATTGTGATTTTTGAATTTGTATAGGAATAGTAAGAATAATTTGCAAATTTAGTATGGATTTATAATACAGTAGAAAACAAGCTACTATAGGCTACTAAATGGCTAAAAGCCGAAAAATGGTAGATAGAGCGTACCTTAGTCGTAATTGATGTTTGATGCACCCTACTATCCGTTATAATACTTATATTTGTATTACTCACTCTACTAACTCGTACTACTACTTCTAACAACTCGTCAGCTCGTGTGTCGGTGTCGGAGGGTCGGAGGTGGTAGACTGACGGTCGTGGTTACTCTTGTTCGGCGCTCGCCACTCGAGCCTCGGGCGCATGCGCGAGTGCCTCATGCGCATGCGCGGGTTCTCCCGCTACCGCAATTGCCAACTCGTTGACTCTTCTGCGCATGCCCGACTCTGGAGCCAGCTGTAACTTGTTAATATTTTCCAAATACTGTAGATTGAAATTGAATATTTTTTTCCCAAATAATTATTTTATTTCATTTTTTTCTATTATTTTTCGCTGACTGTTTTTCTCTCTTCATAACAAATAAACCATTATTCCTTGTAATGTGATAAAATTCAACTCCTTAATTTTAGCACGTTACAAGGGAGGGTAATAAAGTGTGTTTTTTAGTACAATAATAGGTAATAGCTTAATATAAAATAAATAGATTTGCCTAGTTTGATATAAATATTTCCATAAACAAGCAAACTACAACAGTTTACTTATTCTCCATAAGAATAACATGGGAATTTTTAATTTACAATTTTCTCTGTAACCACTTCAAACTAATTGACTGTATCAATTTCAGAGTCTAACTCCTAAAGAACTAAACAAGCTATCAAAACGGGAAGATGAATGGCGAAATCGTCTTGAGAAGCGAGATGCAGAGTGGACAAAAAAACTGGAGAAGAAAGAGGCCGATATGACAAAACTGTTGGAAGAAAAGGAAATAGAGTGGAGAAAACAGGAACAAAAAATGACTGAAGACTTGCTTAAACTAACAAGAGAGCTGAAGGAAGCACTTAAAATTGCCGAAGGTTAGAATGTATAGAAAATATTCTTTCTGATGGAAATTGTTTTGTAGGGTAGTTTGCAGCATAGTTATGTGTTGGTAATCTAATTAGCTTTAAAATATAATTTTAATATTGTTAATGAAGATTAATCAGTGTGGCAGATTGCGTGTAATAAATATAAAGGTTACTTACAGTCTTCGCAATCCTGTTAATTACGCACGTTAACTACGCACCCGACGATGGAGTTATCTCCGAAACGGCCGTAGTGCTCAATTAACAGGATTGCGAAGACTGTAAGTAACCTTTATATTGTTAATGATTTGTTAAACACACTAAATATCTGAAAAACTCATTTCGTAGACTATATTTCATAAAATTATAAGTTAGTTTTTATTAGGCTTCTTGTAGGCTTGTCCATGCAAGTTGTTTACGTTAACTACTTTTGACTACTAAAGACAGTACAAGTTACTTGAATGCAAGTTAAATGTTTACACAGATGGTTGACATCTTTTAGTCAACACACGAGTGCACCAATAAGGATGTGTGTTGTCATAATTAATTTGTAACAGACACACCTTGCATGCTTTGTTGTTGATATGTTGATAAAACACATATAGGTACAATTTTTATATAAGTTAGGCCTAGGACCACTTTCATGAGATAAGCTTTCAACTCATATATTAAAGATAAACAATGGTAGTGTATACAATGTACCATATTGTTATCATTGTTGTGATGTATTTATTTGTGTTATAAAAGAATTGGCAATGTGTTTTGCATTTGTGGCCTGACTGCGATCAGGCAACTTCCCCAAATGGTGTTTTTATTTCAATTGGTGCACCCTAAACGTTCCAACAACCACTAATCAAGTCATATAAAATTACAGTGAAATAATACCTATAGGCCTACACTTGAAAAAATGTATGTCTTGCATCTTGCCTATATAACAAGAGTGACTTATTATTGTTTTTAGAAAGCAAACGGAAAATATATCAATATCAGGAAGACAAAGATCAGTTAGAAGGATTTCAGACTCAAGAGATAGCCAAGTTAAAACACCTGGTAAGTCTAACATATTTGGGTTTGATTTACACAGTGTTACATTACTATCTTAAGCATAATAACTGCACAACTATCTCCTGTAGTTGCAAAGGTTATCTGTTATTGATTAACTTAAAATTGGTTTGTTTGTACTAAGAGAAAAATCTTTTAATCACTTCTTACTAAATATTTAACTACTGAGTAATATATTTTTTATGGTGAAATTATACATTATTGTACCGTAATCTTTTCAGTTACTAGCCAAAGAACAAGAAAATTCAGAAAACGCAACAGCTTTGAAAGAAGCAAACAGCCAACTAAGCACGCTTCGAGCTGAAGTTAAAAGATTAAGACCTTTCGAAGAACAAGTCAGCAACTTCCAAGTAAGTTAATCTGCCATCTAAATGTTTCCTTCGCTACAAAAGCTTGTTTCCAAGCAATAAGGCTGCTTGCATATCGATCCCCCCTTTGATTTTAATTTGCTTAGAAATCCCAAACCTGTGCTTCACCAAAAATTTTGTAGCGATTGATTTTGCTGTTTATATTGCTAATACATGTGTATCCTTGGGTTTATTTTTTGTTTTTAAGCAGTGGGAATTTGATATATTAACTTATAAAGCAGACTTTTAATTAATTTATGGGTTATTAGCACAGTGCTCACAATTGCTCATCTAAGGTTACATTTTTGAGATTCACCTAACTCCGGTTTGTGTGAGAGTACTAATCCTTTTGATACCAAATTTTGATTTAATATGAATCAATTGAAGCCAGAATAATCATGTTTTTTTATTTCCCCATTAATTATTTTTCTAGCTTATGTCCGTTTATGTCTTTTATCATATTAATTTGACACAATATTTCCCATATCTTACTAAAACAAGAGTCAAAAAATAAAAATATGTGTCGTCCTTCTAACTAATGAAAAAAGAGCAAAACAGATGTTGTGTGCAATCCCTTTTAATCTCACTAAATGCCGTCAACCTCCACCCAAGCCGAACATTGTTTATTTGAGGCTGGCCCTCCACTCCAGCTAAGCCACATATAAGCAAGGTTTATATGGAATGCACATGTAAGGGATTCAAACCTGCCCATAGACCACAACAATCAACAATATAAACAACTCATGGATCACTGGCTCAGTGTTGGCCGCGCGGTTTAGCTCCCCCCATTCCATACTGGCAGAAGCCGACGCAGCCCATACACTCATAATAAAACGCACCTTTTTAGTTGCTGGTATCTTGAAATATACCCAGATAATATCTTACTCTTCTTGTTAAACTCTTTTTACTTTTCAAAGCTTCATGTCTGTTTTGTTTCTTGTTGAAAACAACCTTTTTGAATTCTTTAAAACTGCACATTCACTAAACTTGATTTTAGATGTTTTTAAATGATATTGCTAGTTCCAAATTGTACATGGTAAAATAATAAGTAACTCCAAATAAATGAGACAAAGTACAATATTTTTAATTGCATACCTATTTTATTAAATGAAAATATATTACATATTAAACATTTGTGAATAAGCCTAGAATAATTTTATTAAGTTTTTGCCGCAAACCAGCAGACCTGTTTGACATAAACGCGATATTTTTTTTCATTCACTGTGTGATGAGAATATACCTATCTCACAAAATAGGTAACAAAACAGCGAAAGATAAAAGTATCACATTTTCGTCAAACATAGATTTACATAATAAAAACTCAACAAATTTATCTATTTAGAAATTTTTAATGTGTAATATGTTTTTGTTTAATGATGGGTTTGAAATTACAAATGTTATATCTTCTAGCCTTTATTTTCTATTACTGACTATTTTACCATGTATAATTTGGAACTATAGCACCATCAGTTGTCTAAAAATCTCAAAAATCAAATACAGTATAGTGAATGTGTAGTTTTATAGAGTTTTCACAAGTGTTATTTTCTGTAAGAAACAACACAGACATAAAGCTAGACCGAAAACAGTGCCCGCTATGCCACTGAAAGCGCAATCCAGTTGTTCTTTACATCATTGACAACAATACATTTGTCAATGCAACACCTTAGCCAACTGAGTTGCCACCGCCGAACGGGACAAGTGTCGCTATAAGCACACTATAGCTCGTAGGTTAGATTCAACAAACAACAAACTAATGTCCTATAGCTATCTATACTCAGGAGGGTTTAAATTGTTAACAAAAATAACATTGACATGACTAAAAAGGGCTTTCCTGAAAAGAACCAACCAATGAAAACGACTTAAATGAGAGTTCCTAAAGTGAAAACTGCATTATGAGAGCTGCAACGGAGGTCACAAACCAGAACTATTTCACTTAACCGTTTGTTCCTTTAATTTTCATTGTAGTTGTCAATTAGTCAATTAATGGCAAGTGGTTTAAAGCTATGTTTGAAACACATAAACAAAACCTGCATGTAATCTTTTCAGGAACATTCCCCCATAACCTGTTCTTGAGATTTGTTGAATTAAAATATTAATTTTTAATGACTCTCAAAAGTGTTTATTTAATTTACCAAATGGGTATGGACAGTATTATTTCTTACTACTCTAGCAATTAATTGTAGGTTCGTTTATTAATTGTAGCACACCCTATGTAGTTTCATTATGATCCCATCAATGTACTTATCTTGTTGCAATATTATTTTACCTATTTTTCAATCCCAAAAGTCTTGGTTGTCGATTTTGTTAGTTATATTCTTAGTTGTTATTAGATGAATCTTTTTGTGTTTGATCCTTGTTGTTTCTATGTATGAATTAAGTTTTTGTGTTAGTTAAATGTTTAAGCACAGAGTGATCCTTTCCCAAATCAGCTGTTCACATTTTTTTTTTTGCTGTTTGCTTCCACTTTATTGCGTTGTTTTTTGCACCTCTGAACAGATACTTTTCAACATGCAGCTCAGTTTTTATGATTGAAGATATATTGAAGAAAGAAGACAGTGTTATGAAGTGATTGAAGGTAGGATGGCTTTTTTTGCTACCGAATGATTTACTCAATTTGCTTCTTAACTGCATGATTGCGGGTGCATGGTTGGTGGTGGATTTTGTGTTGGCTGTTTGTAAAGTTTTTGTAATATATCATGTTCCATAATAAAAAATTAATATTTTTTCAAAAAAATCTTACTGTATTATTAATTTTTCTTAGTTACTAAAAATATATTTTTTTTCTTTATCTGCTAAAACTCCTAAGATAGTCCAATAAAACTGAGCAAAGTAGGGCTGCTGGCGTTTTAGTGTTCATTGCTTATAAAACGTATACACAAAATAACATATTTCAATCCTCTTTGCAGTGTTTTCTTTTGTAACTTCCATTAATTGTTGTTAACTTGTTAGTATGATTTTGTATAGGCCTATACAATATCAGTTTTTAGTTTTACGGATAAAGAATTAAATAATCATCATCACTCACTAAACTAATATTTGGTGTAGTCATTTGAATTTTTAAAATATGGTTAGTAATAAGTTCTCATCATCAAGCTAAATACTTTGGCTAAATCTTTTGTAAAATTAATATCTCTGTTCACTTCTTGGTGACGAATAACTCTCAATAATGAGCACTGCTATAAACATAAGTGATTACACTTTTGGAAACAAGTAAGACAGTTTAAGCTGTCGGGAAAACATTAAATATTTGTTTTTTAGAATATTAGCCTAGTTTTAGTAAGTTGCCGCTACCTAATTTTACTTACCATCCACAAAACTATCAGTTGACCTTCACTAACCTCAAGGAAGAGGATGTATTTTTTGTAATTATTTTTATAACATGATTTTATATTTAGGTACTAGACGCGATAATTTAGTGGTAAGATTGAATTTGAGCACGAACAATCCTAATTTGTTTGGACTTACCTTTTGTGTGGCTGGGGACATCTTCATCTCTTTATTAGGTTAGAATTTTTACATTAATCCCATAGAGTACACTCCCGATTAACCGAGGTTGTTGGGACCCAGACTACCTCGGTTACCGAGAATCTCAGATAACACGGAGGTGTCTTAGAATTAGAGGTTAGGGTTACAGTACCTTATTGTAAAATGTGTTTTCAAAATAACGTAGAATTGTTCAATGTTTAAAAAAAAAAATAATATAACATATATGTTCAACACTTCTTTAATCGTCTGGAAACACTTTAAACACAGTATTATTAGAATAATGATAAACCAATACCCTACATTATTCAAAACAAAACACTAAGGTGTATCTGTCTAGTTTAAAGTGTATAAAATTAAATTTTGTTTGAAGTTTGACCTCATCTATAACTTGACACAATCACGTCTACATCAATACACTGAATGAAAAAGACTGACTGACACTGCTATTGTTTATGTTATGCAGACAACACAAACAAAATAAATACAAAATAAATAAAATAGAAACATACTATAAGTAATTAATGTTTTCCTACTGAAAATAAAAATATATATTCAGGCCAGAAACGACCTCGGATAACCCTAGTGCTCGGATAACCGGGGCTCGGATAATAGAGAGTGTACTGTAGTTATTTTCTATTATTACGAAAATCATACTGAAAAAGAACAAGGAATCCCATAAAAGTATTTTGTTTAATTATCCTTGTCAATCTCAATTTGTAAACATGTTTTCATGTACTGTAGGTTTAGTATGAGTAATTTGTTGTAGTAGTAAGCAAGAGGTTTTTGTGGCTCTTTACTGAACACATTTGACTTCATAACGTGGTTTCATAATTGAATGATGATGCATTTCTGAATAGTTTTCTTAGTTTGTTAGAAATTGGATGGATTAATGTGAATCAGCCAATAATATTGTACAATGTACTGAAGAGCAATTTTTTTGGAAGAGTGTAAATTTTAATTGGTTTGAAAGATTAGATCAGTAGAATAATTTTAATGATTAGATTCAAATAAACACTGTAGTTTTCTTCTTGGAAATTGTATGTTAATTTATTCCATTTTTCATCTGCCAGGTACAGTAGGCTCCAATGAGTTCCATTCTGTTTGATTCTGACTTTGGACGGACTTTTTGTGTATGACTCACATAATCGCACCATATTTTCCGAAATAAGTCCTCACCTGTTTATCATGTGCTGTTCAGTTCTTACAGATGTATTGCTTTTATTGTTTAGTATACTTTCATAGTTTACTCATTTCCCATAGATAATGACGTACTCTATCTTTCTAACCATCAAGCACCTGATAGGTTAAACATTAAACCTGGGACGGGTGGCGTCGTCCTGTAATCCAGCTACTGGGAGGTCACGAATTGTGGATATTTATAGGGATGCACTGTGGATGCGATGCTCCCTGGTGTGGATTAACGTCCGCACTAGTGAGTACTACGACTATCCGCAGTATTATCCTGATAATTAGACCAATTCGTAAATTACAAGGAAAAATGTGGTTCGGATTCCACTATAAACTGTAGGTCCCTTAGTTGCCATTAGCTGTATGGGCTATTAATTAACAGCTGTGTCTAAGGAACATGTCGGCCTTAGTCACTAACAAGACTACAAGATCGCGCCACTCATCCTACACTCATCCTTCACTCATATTTGGGTTAAAATACGCACATAGTGGCGTCCCCATCTTAAATAATTGAATTGAATTGAATTGAATTTGACTACATAAAGAAATAGTCCCCATGAAGAAATTCCTATGTTAAATTTGTTGCCAGTTTTTTTATGAGTCACATTTAGCGACAGTGTGCATTATGTCTAATAAACAAAATTTTTAACCAAGCAAAATCAAAGGGACAACTTAAAGTAAACTAATGCCATAGTATCAAACAATCAAATCAAATCAAAATATCATTTGTTTAGCCAAAAATATTTACAAATTACATAATGTTAACTATGTACAAAAATGTTTACAATATTGTTTAATTTTTATAATAATACTATACTATCAGTTAACCGGCGTGCGTTGCTGCGCTAACAACTATTATTTTAAATGGTAATTTGCTATTTACGATAAATAATAAAAATGTATACCAAAAACAAAAATAGAATATTTATTTTACTTAATTGCCAGTGGATAGACAATGTTTTTTGTTTTTTCATTAGGTGTATAAATATATAAGTTTTTAAGAGTACCTACCACTACGTGAGCACGCAACATACAGCTGTCCTTGTGAAAAGCATGCATTTTCTAAATTTACACCGGCGATAGTCAGGGATTGCCCTTGTGACTTATAATGGTGATTGTGAAAGCAAGAAGCAAAGGAAATTGTAGTCGCTTAAATTCAAATGGTAATTCGGATTAAATCATCGGTATTCTTGGGATTAAGACTATTTCTCCTTTAAACTTACCCCTGATGATTGTTGCTTCAATCAAGTTTGGTGTAATTTTTTAAATCGTCAGTCTGGTTGCGTTGCACAGCTTGGGTTGGATTTAAGTTTCGCATTAGTATTCCTGACATGATATTCTTGACAACTAGTAAACAACGGCAATACTTATATAATGGAGCACTCTTTGTGGCTCTTCAAATACATTTTGTTTGGATAAAACCATTGATTGGATACTGGGTACTGACTATTGGATCTGTATGGACAAGCTGTTGCCAATTATTTATTAAATAAAGAACTTAGTTGTGTGAGCACAACCACCACATAGAATGCGCTAGTGTCTAAAATTTGATTTTCTACCTTTTTTGTTGCTAGCTTAGTTTATGGGTCATAACAGTTTTTATAGCTCACAATAAGTCAGTTTGACTTATTGGCTCATATAAACTACGGCAATTTTGATAAAAAAACTACTGATGACAACTTTAACATAAGGATAGAATGTCTAGTCAAAGATAAAACATTTGGCTACAGCTGATCCGTTTAGATGGAACGTCTACAGTACTTCCGTACCCTCAAGTCAATAGTTGTACTAATTTACTGCCTAACCCAACCTAACCTAAGACAGAGATAATAAATGTTCCGCTTGGTTGTAGGATGACATAGAATGTTTGCGACATACGTCAGAGAAGGAGCAGTGGGCGTTGTCCAGCAAATTAGCTCAAAGCGAGGAGCAGGTGCGGCATCTAGAGAAAAGAGTTGAAGTGTTGAACAAACGTAGTCAGGCGGAGTGTATTGCGCTGGGCTTCAAACTGACAGTCGACGAACGTGTACAAGGTGAGAATGAAAGTATAGTTATATTACTATTGATTTTGGTTGAGAGGGAGCTGGTCTTATGGTACGGTAAGGAGCTTCAGTCCACATGGTCCTGGGTTCAAATCCCACCAAACACCAATTGGTTTTTAGCAATGTGATACTGCCACGATCCTTCAGGCCTAGCCTGAAGTAATGTGTAGATCGGTCCCAGGCTAGAGCATATAGGGGAGCGAGCTGATCTAGTGGTTAGAGGGCAGGACTATGGTTCCTAAGATCCCAGGTTCAAATCCCACCAAATTACCAATGGATTTTATCTAAGTGTTATTGCCGCAACGCCTAAGTCTAGCCTGAAGTAATGTGAAAAACCATTTTGGGCTCGTGCCTAGCATCCTAGGACAAAAAAAGGCTAAAGAGCCTATTGCCTTAGGATGTGAAGATAGGACGAGGAAGAAGGGAAATAGTGTTTTTGGAAACTGAAATAGATATCTATGTGGAAAACATCATAATTGACTTTGACGATCTTGAACGTGCTGCTCCTCACATAATTCGACCTTTTCATTGTTCCGACCACGGTCCTGGTGTAGTAGGCGACGCTTTAGCCGGAATTATGCTGGAGGTACTTTTAAGGTAGGTTAATATACAGTACACATAGTAAACCATCCTTATCATCCATTATGCATAATGTTATCATCTTATCAACCAAAAAGTGTTAATGTTTTATGAGTGACTTGTAAAATGAATTCAGCATAGATACTGCTGTTGTTGAGATAAGAATGCAAGTATAATTTTATGTATACATACTGATATATTAATAATTTACACTCAATAAGCTTATAACAATTTGAACATTCTTTGTGTTTACAAGCAGATAACAGCTGAATACCTACTTAACTTGAAAACGATTTATTAAATTAAACACACAAAACTTAGACACTTTGCCCTAATAACCCACAATGATAAAAGCCTCCCCAAAACGTTTAATGTCCTATCAAAGGAAAAAAAAGTAATGTAATCTTTAAAATGTTAGTTAAGTCAAACCTCGTTTGTACAAACCACGGTAAAACAAATTCTTTAATCAGACAAATTTTTTAAAATCCCCTTAAAACTTTCATAAAGGTCAATGCTAAAAACACCTCTATACAACGTAGTAATTAGGTTAAAAAACCCCTCCATAACACGAATTTGTTTGTGACATGGGCTAGGACTGATTAACCTCTATACAACGAATATTATTAGCAAAAAACCTTTACAAGACGAATGTGACCTCTAAAGATGAATTTATCATGATCTTAACCTCCATAGTACGTAGTTTTCAAAATAAACAGAAGCTTGTCTCAACATGAAACCCCCACTCATCCCTCTTTCTTTCTACGTCATTGTTTGGCACGTGCCTGTGCAGAAGAGAAACCTCTATAAGACAAATATCGGCATTATTAAACCTCGATAAAACGAACCTCTTCATTAGGAATACCTCGATAATACAAATTTTTCCCCCACCCCTTGAAATTCGTCTTATAGAGGTTCAACTGCAACTTGTCACTGAGTGCTCTTTGGGTATACGAGCATGCTAAGATTTTTAACTATGTTTTGTAAAATCTATATAAATAAAATTAGAATTTTGTCTGTACATTGCTCAGAATTATATATTTTTAGGTTATTTTTACGTCTTATACATTAAATAAGCAGAAACGAGTCTTATCTCAATTTCTGTCTGTCTGTCTGTCTGTCTGTCTTTCCCTCTGTCTGTAACACTCAAGATGGCATTTTACGCTATCTTCTCCTGGAAAACGAGAGTACCTATCAAGATCCAAGTAATTTTAATGTATTCACTGGATTGGCGAGATTGTTTTTAGCCATTAAAATATGGCCTTACTACTTTGTAAATAATATTACGAACGTTCAAAAATGTAGTTTTGTGCGATTTATGTCAAGTTTTCGTCCAATTTTTATTGCATAATCATCTATGAAATAACGAACAGCTGTTCTGATCAAGATTATTTTTCCTAGCTGTCACTGATATGTTTACAAATGTTGTTTACAAATACCGCAACCTTTCTCAATCACGTTTTGAATGCAAATCCCAACCAAGTGAGATTAAAAACGTTTTTCTTACATAACGGATTTAATTAATCGAAAGTGTAATAATATAGCTAGTGTAATTTTTTTTTTTTTTTGTCCTAAGGACGCTAGGCACGAGCCTGGGATTGTTTTTCACATTACTTCAGGCTAGACCTAGGGGTTGCGGCATTATCACTTAGATACAATCCATTGGTGACTTGGCGGGGATCGAACCCGGGACCTCAGGGACTGAAGTCCCGCGCTCTAACCACTACGCCAGCTCGCTCCCCAAACCACAAAAAAACCATTAACCATTAGTTTATGTATGTTGAATTATTGTGTTAATATAGTGTAATAAACTAGGCAAATTAAATAAACTAGGCATCATCCAGTTCAGGAACCAGAGATTCTTTGTGTATAAATTGTTGTTGAGTTTTGATAACCAGAAAGAAGACCTTGAATCAGTGTTGTATACGGCTGGGAAACTTAAATTTAATAATGATCGTCGCCAATAGCTTAGAAACATGGTTTCCACTCATTGACGGCACTTCCATGGCGGTTGTGTAAAGTGTAAAGTAAAAAATCACAACTGCAGTGGGTAATTGTAACAGAGGTTTACGGATGATGCTAAACTCGCTTTTCTATTAATTAATGGGAAATAACTTTGATTGTTGTTTTAAAATGTTTTACGAGAAAATCCAAAACCAAGAGATCCATAACCTCGGGACTTGATTAACTCATATAATTGGTCAGCTGTGCTATAGTTCTCAACTGTGAACGTTGGTTTTTGGTACCGGTTCTATTCCTTAGAACCGTTGGTACTGTTGGTAGCAGCAAGAATCATTTTTAAGTACCAACACATCACTGTACTTTACAAATTAGTTATCGTTGGTGTTGCACCTTATTTATTATTACAGGCGTATTCAATTTAATTTATGTCTTAACTGTACAATTTTTGCTTTTTCTTTCTTGATTCCAAAATGTTTGTTTATTCTAAGAAAACGATAACGCATTTTAGTAAAACATTTATTCAGCAAACCATCATGAATTGTTTAAACGCTTTAGGTTGTTTATGTATCAATAGTTCGTGGCCTATTTTGGTAATTTTTATTATAAATTACCAATCTAAATCGTCTATAGTACTTCATTTCATATAGTAAGCCGTCATTTCGGGTCATCATCGGTCTAAGCAAATATAAATTGTTATGATGAAATTTGATGACATTAACAAAGATTTCAGATACTAATTTTATAAGTACTTAGTTATGCTTAAAGCGTAGCGAATTCCCTAATTAATTTCTGTATTTTTGTGTGTATGTCTGTTGGTAACGCATTAATGTCCTTATTTCTCAGTGTTTCACGGAAAGGACAAAAGCACCTTTATGATGAAAATGTCAACCCGAATAAAGTGTTAAATTGTGAGGTTGAGGTAGTTACTTTAAATACTTTTAACCATTGTGGAAGGTAACTTTCAATTATAGGCCTACATTAGGGCTATGCCTCATAGATCTATAAAGCATTTTTTAGTTTAATCATTGGATTTAACATATGGACCAACACGACCCAGGTTACATTTAATTTCGAAGCATTTGTTTTGGCTTGAAACTGTCAGATACTGTATTTGCGAAGGTTTATATATAATAGTTTTACCAGCATATCTGAAAATATCTAAACCAACTTCTGTTCTTAATAAGAAGGTTTCAACTGACTACAATAAGATCCCCGCGCGTAGAACGGGCACACAGCTAGTAACATATAAATAATTATCCAACATTAGAACTAGAACGTTTTTATGAATTGTGTATGATGCTAAAATGTCAAAGTTAGCAGATATAGGCCCTAGTTAGAAGTTAAGTCGATGTTTTTTTCATCCATTTGATAGGAACTTAAATCAAATTAGTAAAATATGTTATTATAAGTTTAAAACAGTAGTAACAATCCAGATTGTTTATGTTTAGGAAACTAATTCCATTTTTTTGTTTCAGCATTACTTGGCGAACGAACAAAACTTGAACGACAATTGGAGGAAGCTCATATAGAATTAGCTGATATAAAAGCTACATGGAGCAATCAAATTAAATCATTGGAAACACAGGTAAATTTTGAACAAGTTTTATTATTATTGGCAGCTTATTACACTAGGCCTACTTCATGTGTATGTTTAAGATATAAATCAAATTAATATACACAAAATATTTCAAATTAGTCCTAAAAACACCTAAATAAATAAAATAATATAAAAAATAATAAAAAAATAAAAAAATACTGAATCTTAACAAAAACGAGAATTGACATTGTTCGGTGATAAGTTTATAGAGTTTAGTGATTCATTTTTCTAACAAGGTCACAATCCAGCTCTTATCTTTTCAATAGAACCACCAGCAATATGCCTTGCTTGATTAGACTCTGTTGTAAGATAAGTGAGTTAGACAGTTTTAGGCTGTGGTTAGGGGTCTCGGTTGGTATTTGATACCTAGAAATCCCGGGATCAGTGTATTTTAAACCCAGGATTAATAATTACAAATCCTATATTTTTATTTATTTTTTGTTAATTTGAGCATTTTTACGTACGGAAAGTAAATAAAAATATGTCTAGTAACACTTGCAAATTGAAACATATATTTATGGGTAATGGGTAATAGAAGTTTGATTTGACTACACCAAATTGTATTTTCTTATCATATTTTATCTCCAGTAAAAAAAAATGTAAAGAGTTTAGACCCAGAATACTCAAGCTTAAGCTTTTAAATTTTAATTCAAAGCTTAGCCTGACACTTAAGAAATTTAAAATTAATTAATTAAAATTTCCATTGTCCAGATGTCTTTTTTTAATCATAGCCACAATAAAACATTAGTGTCATTCATCAGTAAAAGATCATCATAGACAATGTCAAGAAGTCAGAACCTCTTTTTGCAAATCTTCTAAGGGGGTTTAAGTTATACTGAAAAGCAGAGACGGAATCACGTTATTTATTCTGAGACAAAATTCAAGGGAAGAAGTTCACTTGAAGAAGTACTTGAAGGTTTGTAGGATTTTTCTCAAACTAGCAGGCCTCGTGACAAATTTATCTTTAATTAATACCTTCTTTAGTTAAAAATGCTGCCAATGAAATGAAATATTCTAAAGTTTATAGAGTTTCTTGTGCCATGTTTAACTCTTCCCCATTCACCCTAGCCTGCTTTTCCCGCAAAAAAATTCTAGTAACCATTTGAATAGTTTTTGAATGAGTTAAAGTGTTATACATTTCAGAGTAAAATGCCGTTTCTTAACTGACCTAGGATTACATTCCATTTGTTTACAGGTTGAGCGACTCAGTAGGCAAGCGGGGGAAGAGGGGGGAGAGAGAAGAAAAGCAGAAGTGAAGATAAGAGAACTAGAAGGAATATTGGAATATGAAATCAAAGAGAAGGAAAAAGTGATAGCAAGAATAGAGAGGATAACAGCAGAACGCGACACTTTGGCCCAGGAACTAAAAACTATTGCTCAGGACGTTGTGAGTCAAAATTACAGTTACCCTTGTCCTGACACTGTAGATAGCTTGTTTAGCATTGACTAGTTTATTTAGTTGTAATTCACATTTTGTTTTTGATTCAGATTGTTTTTATATTTTGTTTAACATGTTTGCTGTGTGCTGAAAACCGACATGGGTTTGGGAGTTTACAAAATTTGATTAGTCCTTAATCACCCTATATAGATTATGTTTCAACAAGAATTATTAATATTTATGACAACTCAGGGCTCAAAGTAAAAGAAAATCACAAAGTTTCGGTGAACTATTCAAAATATTGACCAAATTTTTCTGTAAATGTATTTAATCCACACAAACTTAAAGTGATAACGCCTCAGCTAAAATTAAGTTATCGACATTTTTTGTCGATTCGCCACTCGTAGGGTTAAAGCTAAGAAGCTCATCATCAGATTTGTTCATCACTTGCTATGTGATATTTTAATTTGAATGATTTAGTCTAGTTTTGTTTAAGGTTTTTCAGATTGTTTATTTTATATTTTACTTTGAAATGTTAACAAAGTATATGTTTCTAGTTTATAATGTTGTGTGTTTCAGTTTTGTTTGGTTGCTCTGATTTTTGTTATATTTTGTTCCTTGGAGTTTTTCTCATTCTACGTTGACCTGCTTATGTTTTATAAACTACACTATGTTTATATTGTTTCTATTTTACTCAGGTGTATTCATATTAAAAATATGTTATTCTATTTGTCAGTGCCTGTAATTTCCAGACAATAAAGTTAGTTTTTTATTTGGTTGATATTTATTTTTTCCAGCATGTTTTTTAATTAGGATGATCTATAATATCTATACTTTTGCTTTTCATCAGTATGTCGTAAAATATTTCATATGATAATAATTTTTTTAATCAACATGAGTTAAATTTATTTAGAGGTCGTATAAAGGTGTAATGATTTTATTGATAAGTATTTGTAGATGAACTATTTTTTTCAGTTTGTCAATGTTTTGTCAAAATATTTAGCTAAGTAACAAACTTGTAAAAACTAAACTAATTCTCAGAATTGCACCCAGTACCCCAAACTACCTGAGGAACTGAAAAAAAAAACTTTTTTTTACTTTCTATATATTTTTCAAGTTCACTTGACTAAGATTGGCCATGAACTTCCAAGAAATGATGGAAGACTTGAGTTATTAAATATAGTTGGACATGGTATCGATGGTCGGATATATCCAACTGTACATAACAATACTATAGATACATTAACTTTTGGCTACAGCAAATCACAAACCCTGACAAATTATGGTGAGGTTAGCCTTTTTTTATGTTTCCGTTCCCAATTCACTATACACACTATACATGTAACCTCTAATATACCCTTTGTACTCAAGAATGTTTAAGTATGGAGTTTTTGAAGTGCTTTTTTGTCTGTAAACTGTAATTAATATCTTGTTATAAATTGTGATAACTAGGGGAGTAAGTAAAGAGAACTAGTGTGTGTATAACCTTTTTAAGGGAGTTTCCCACATTACATTATTTGTATTGCTTTGACATCCAATAAAAAAAGCATCAATAATATACATCCTAATAAAAATAACGTAGTTCTAATTAGTAAAATCATGGTTTTTCCTGTGTCGTGTCTCTAACAAAATTCCCAAGTGTCTACAAAATGTGTTTGGAAATAATGTTTTGTTATGCATTCATTGGTTAGGTATTTTATTTTGTAGAATTGACACAATAATGCATTGATTTTGAGCCAAGGCTGTTTCATTTACTTGTGTCGCTGGTTTTATACCTATGTTATACATAGGAACAATATGCGTGTGCAGTGATTGAAAACAAAATATGTCTAAGTGTATACAAAAATGTTGCAATTATTTATCCACAAATCCTTGTTACATGATAATTTGATTATATTCTAATCTGAAGAACTACCACTAGAGATTTAGCATATTTCTAACAGAATTATGTAACTATTTCCATACCAACCTACTTAACGCTCCTTTCACACTACATGGTAATGACGACGACAGAAAACTGTGTAGTCTTACAGCCGCCCACAGACACTGAACCTGACAGTTGTCACACGGTGGCCGTGCGTAATTGGCGCATGTAGTTAAATGCAAGCTTAAACACTGCACGATTTTTCTGTCGAATGAGAAACCCCCGGCCAGTACAAATGGATCAGCTGTTTCACTGCTTATTGTTTACAATGTGGCTTGTCAATTGGACACTAATAATGTTAATTATTGTTCCATTTTAAACATATTCATCTCGCCGTACTATCAGGAATTGCGTATGGTTTGTAATTAGACGACAAAAGCCATGTAGTGTGAAAGGAGCGTTATCGTTACTTATTGATCTAACCTCTCCTTGTGTTTACTTCATCTTAACTTGTGGTTCTCGTTCTCAATAATTATGATCATGGGTGAGTTAAAATGTTACAATGTTTCATTTGTATAAGATAGAATACAAATTTAAATAAATTTATCAAAGAGTGATAAGCGTAGTTCATTTAATGGCGAACAGTCCAAATTCAAGGGAAATTCTATTTTTTCTTTCCTGTATCCTATTTTGTGGCAATCTGGTTACCTGATCCCGTAATGAGCCAGATTAATGATAGAACACATACTTTTTGTTTTGCTATTGAAACCATTGTGCAACGGTAGAATATACAACAGTGGATTCAAGGAACCATGTTGTGGAGGTTTAACTCAACAGAATGTTTAGTGTTTAAATAATTGATCCTACTTAAATAATTGATCCTACTAGGTGTCTCCTGTACTTAATGTTCCAAAAAAAGTGTTAATTTATCTCTCTATACTTCCGGAAGTAATGTTTCCTTTTTGTTTCAGGCTGTTGCCAAGAGCGACGGAATTGACATGGCAACCAGGGTCGTTGATGCAGAACAGAAATGCTCCGAGCTAACGGAGAAATACGAGGCCCTGCAAAGAGAAATTGAAATAGAACGAACCACCGTATCTGAAAAAGTAGAGGAACGTATTGCTGAGTTAACTGTCAGGGCTAACAAACATCTTTACGAACTGGAAGAGGCGAAACAAAAACAACAGGAGTTACTAAATCTGTATGAAAAAGAAAAGCGAGAAAAAGATGAAGCTCTGCTGCGCAACGCTCAGGTTTCTCAGGAAATCGAAATGACCAAACAAGAGTTGAGAAACCAAGAGTTGGAAATCAACGAAATATTCAGCAAGAATTCCTCCCTAGATAAGAAACTGAATGATAAAACCCAGGTAGAGTAGACATAAATAGTTTCTTGACTCAACTCTTATATATCATTTTTTGAAGTGTATATTAATTACCTTTTTCAGCATACGGAGAAAGTGTTGTTGCTGAAAAAGGATGTTGAACTCAAAAGTAGACTTAAGGTGTCAAGTTCCTTCTGCATGATGACAATATTATACTCCAAATCTTCCTAATTTCAATGTTAATGATTAATATTATTTTCAAAATTAAGTATTTAAATTTAATTTAAAAAGTGTAATTGTTAAAATGTGTTTATAATTCAACTTAGCACAGTTTGTTTATCTGATTTGAGATTGCTTTTTTGCAGGAATGTGATAGAATGCAGACAGAATTTTCTGCATTTCGCACAAAAATTGCAGATCTTGAAAATCGGGTTATCGAAAAGGGTGATGAAAAAGAACTACGGTTAAAAATCAGTGATTTAGAATCACAACTCACTGACAGAAATAAAGTAAGTGTTGAGTGTCAATTTACGTCTTACATGACAAATCATATATTAAGTTTGTCGGTTACCGTTTTTCACGTTGTAAAATAATATTTTAATGTGTATTTATAGGATTTCCCTTCAGATTAGTTGTTTTGTCTTTCGAAATATAAGCTATTTTAATTCGATATTTTATTATCATCATGTACTTTCTTATTCTACGTTTTCAAAGTTAGCTGTTGTCTGATACTGACATTTGACATTATTCGTGTATGTATATGCAATATGAATAAAGAATGTTGATTCTGAAAGTATTTAAACACATAAATGTTGGATATTTTATTTTGATTTTTAAATTTATTTTGGTTTAATAGCTATTTACATTACAAGTGTAGTAAGAGCGTTTTTACATCACGCAGGTGAATGTTGTGCAACGAGCGAAGGCGAGTTGCATAATTCACCGAAGTGATGTAAACACGCTCTTGCGTAACGTGTAACGTACAAGATTTTACCTGACCCGACAATATTCAGGAGGTCACGAGCAATATGCTTCATTATCAATTTCACTCATCTTCTAACAGTAACGTTCATTTACAAACAAAAGCTAGGTTAGGAAAATTCTTCAAAGCATAACAATAAAATTCAAACACAGCTGATTTCTAGCGTAGAACGTCGTTGGCTCCATAGAGGTATATTTTTTAAGTTATCCACTCAATGTTATTTAAATGGGTTTCATTACATCACCGAGTGAGTTTTTTTCAACTTTACATCACTCGAGAAGTAAGGAAGTTGTATACATCACGCTTGGGATAGGGAAGTTTAACATGGCGGGTTAGGTAAAACTATTTGCATTTATATTGTTCTCTCTTTATTATTATGTTTTATTTACCTTATTACATTATTTTGTCAAAAGATGTGGGTCAATCTAGTAATTTGTTGTTAGTTTCTCCTCAATTTCCTCGGATTGTGAAGGACCACATAGATTGTTGAATTTATTTCCATGTACAATAAACATTCCTTGTATAACCCTAATCCTTTCACTATACCGGTACTTGTCAGAGGTAGAAATAACAAAGTGATACATTCACAAGTGACTATTTCTGATTGTTTAGTTGATTTTCAATTTCAAACCAGCCATTAAGAGTTCCTTCATTGACTTAATGATGTTAAATGGTATTGGAGCGATGAGAGATTTTACTCCACAAAACAAATTGAACTCATTATGTACTATAGTCTGTTCACAAAATTTAGGCGGTTTAAGTGGAAGGTTTCCTTTGTCCCTCCCCACTTTTTCAGCTTAATCTATTTCTGATCAGCTGTCAGCTATTGTTTCAAAGTTAGGCTGAGGTGGACAGGATGGAATCGCTTCCCCTCAAATTGCCTAAATTTCTTGAACGGAGTATACCATAAATTGACATTATTTACATAACATTTTCCAATATTTTAAAAGTTCCTATGTTTACAGAACATCAGGGTTCTACAGCAGCGACTGGCAGACATGAAGAAAACATTGCAGAGAGAACTGAAGGGAGCGGATCCCGGCGGGGGTGACAAGGGGAGTGGAGGGGAGGTTACGAACAATCACACCCCTAACTCCCTACCTTGCTCTGACGATGATGTAAACTTCAAGTACCTTAAACATGTTCTCATCAAGTTCCTCACATGTAGGGACTATGAGGTAATTGCTCGAGTGCTGTCTTCCAATTGCACTTTAATCTAGAATATTGTTGTTAGTGAATTTCCGTGTAGAGAATAAGCTATTACCATAGGTCTTGTGGTATAGTCCTGTCATTTTAGGAAAAAATACCCGTCTACCTGGAAATAGTTCCCTAAATGGTGAATATCAAATCGGTCCCCCCCACCTTTAACACGTTTGCTACGGTAAGGGCGATGGCCGGCTGCTGCCGGCCGTGGGAGCAGCTTATGCCCTGGGTTGGAGATCTTCCGCAGTTAGAACCCCACGTGGCGCTGAACTTCATTAAGGAATAAAGATTGGAGGGGGTTCTCTAGGCAAAGACTGGAGACTAGTTTGGGGGACACAATAAATCTTGCAGGTTGCAGAGTAATCTTCCCTCCAGGTATTATCAGTTTCAGTATCAGTAATGCGCTGTGTGGTAATGCGAAAAAGTTTAAATTTAGTTTCATCCAAATTAGAGGCGTATATAGCATGTACAGCCTCCCAGGCCTTATGGAAATAGTTTTGCCAAATGGAGGGATGTAATATTACATGTCATTCATTCATCATTAACATTAATTTCTGTATTATTTTGTATATTTTCTCTCATAATGTCTGTTAATGCCCCTGATAATGTGTTATCAGTTATTTAATATGTTCCTCCTTGTTAATGTGTTATTTTATCCAATTTTGTTCAATGTTATATAATATCCCATCACCCCACAGAAACATCATCTCTTTTTATGTTACAATATAATATTTATGCCAATTCTCTCCATACCTATCCTGTATTCATCAAAAACCAACAATAATCATTTACTTAGAATAATATATAATTGTAAGAAAATTGCAATATAGTAATAACATCTTAAATATAGTATCATTTTTCAAAATTATCCAAAGAAAATCAAAATTACTGTGGCAAGTGTCATTCATGTAAATTAACCAGCTGTACATCACTTCAACAATGGACATGGACTTCCTGAGCTTCTACCATTGCCTCTCCCCAGATCCTGCCAACTCTTCACAGTGTGAACATCATTTTATTGGACATTGTGTTTCATTTAAATTAAATTCATAATCCCAAAGTAAAACCTATATTTTAAATTTCTTATCATCCAAAAGTATTGGACAAGTGCATTGAAGAGTACCAATTTATAAGAAGACAGACACTCCAAATTTGGTAACCATCATCCATCTTATTTAACTAAGGACAAATTAATCTTCACTGGACATTTAATCAGCATAGCCTAATAGGCCCAATTAACTTAAGTCATCAAGATATACATATTTCAAATTGAACTTTTATTCAAAATTTAATCTTCAAATTCTATTTTATTTCATTAAATTCAGTGAAACCATTTGGAATCTTTCTTTGGACATTAACATTATTATGTTAATAGCATCATAAACCTAACTTAACTTATTTCAGAACAATAACTAAATTAAATTATTTGCATTTTAAAGAAGCCTAATATATCATTCGAACCGGCACGACCACCCCTCCCTGAGATTAAGAGCTCATAGCCTATTTAAATATTAATTAGTACTTCAGAAGAAACCAACCCAATATAAGCCTAGAATAATATCATCCACTTTGGAACCCCCACCATTTTGAAAATTTACCATTGTTAACTTACCCTGTAGCTAATTCAACCAATAACTTATCTTATATTTGTATTTCATTAATAAATTTTATATTGTAACTTATCAAATCTATTTATTCTTAAAATGATTCATATTATAAGATTAAGATAAAAACTTACCTTATTAGACAGAAATAAAACACAAATTAGGAATTATCTTTATTAAGAAAGAAATGACTTCAAGTTCAATGTGGACTAACTTAATAGCCATAGGAATTTTGTAGGCCTAAGTTAATGAAAAGTCTATAGAAAGCTTTATGGTGTGTAGCAGGGAAAAAGCAGGTGCGATGTACCCGGATTCATCATAAAAAATACTGCAAAAAAAGGGTCAAGCACAATTTTGATGTTAAGTTCCTTCCACAATACTACACTACAGTCATTGTTATTCTATTCCATGTCTCTAAATCCAAGCCTAAACCCCACACTACAATACATCTTAAACAGTCCCCATGACCGATAAAATAGTCAGATCTGAAAATGAACTTTACCGGATTGAACTATAAAACTGGCACAACAAGTGGCAAGCAAAACTGGAACAATAGTTTTTAATGGCGCTTTGACATGTATACTTGTTGCGCGCCACTAGAAAGTGCTAACGGTGATGAGATTATTCATCATGTGCGGCCAACGTGTTGGAAAAAGATTTTTTTAAACAAAAGAATATTTTGTTAAGGAACCTGTCTCCAAATAGAGGTTCCTCCCAACACACACCTTGTTTTGTTAAAAATTCTATCAGCCTTGCTTAAATATTTAAATGACTGTAGTAATACAGCAAACCTTTCTGTTACTTGTGCCAGGATCATGCTTTGTCTTTATCATGCATTGAAATCTCCCTCTGCATTTATTTAAGTTTCCTTTGTTATATTATTAACCATACATGGAATATTCTAACTGTGTATTCCATTGCAGGCACAACACACAACACAAATTAGGAATTATCTTTATTAAGAAAGAAATGACTTCAAGTTCAATGTGGGCTAACTTAATAGCCATAGGAATTTTGTAGGCCTAAGTTAATGAAAAGTCTATAGAAAGCTTTATGGTGTGTAGCAAATTTGGCGACCCAACGTGTCGGCTTTCGAATGATATATTACGGTAGTCATAAAATATTGCAATTTTCGATCTAAGCTAAGTTAACCTTAAGTTGTACTAGATTGTAAGAACCCATAGCCTATTGTACGTCCCGTAATTAATATTCCCAACCCCAATAACAACACAAAGCCGTTATACAAAACACTAATTAATCACGCACAATTCGCATAATTAGTACAATAATTAATCATGGCCGAGAAAGGTTATAATTTAAGACCCAACCGTAAAAATTCTAACCTAAACCCAAATTACGACTACAACAACACTGACAGCGAGAGCGAGATTGAAGAAGAAGGTCGCCATCTTGATGACATCACATGCACGGACACAGAACAAAAAACACATCCACAGCAGACATCAGAACACACAGAGGAAGAGAGCAACGAGTCCATGGACCAATCAGACATTAGTATTCCCATTCCTACAAGTCTGTTTGCAAATGTTGCCACTGAACTGTCCAGTAAACAAAGTCGGAATGTTTCCAAAATGCCAGGTGATAGCCAAGGTCACATTAGCGGATCAATAACTCAGACACCCGCACCCGAACACAGCCGATCGTTACCGAATATAGCCGACGACGACGAACGTCACCTAGCCCTAACAATACGGCAACGGAACAACCCTAGTGCAACTGTCTGTGCAACAGCAACTGTCACATCAACACTAATTGCACCATCAGATATTAATACTTTAATTGCCCTCATGACTAAACTAGACACTAAATTGAGCAACAAAATTGACGAATCTCATGCTAAAATTAACAATAAAATTAACGAATCCCATGCCGAAATTAACAGTAAAATCAACAGCAAACTTAATGAATTAAAAGTTGAACTCACTCAAAGCTTCAATGATAAAATTGATGCTAATAGCCTAGAAATTCAAGCTTGCCGAAATGCACTAGAAACTCATATTTTAGAAAATCGTGATAGTCAAAATAAATTCCAGATCAAATCAACTCAATTAAGATCACTCAGACAACACAAGCTGAGGAAATGGGTAAACTCAATGAGAAAATCACACAAAAAATTGATGAATCATAAGATCAAATGCGTCAATTCGTGATTGATAATCTTACACAACAACAATCAATATCTGATAATAAAAATCAACAGAGACAAAATGACATCCTATCTGCTGTCAAAACACAATTGGTAATGCATGAACAGAATTTTGACCAAAAAATTGAAGAACTTTCTCAACGAACCAGGCAAGAATCCGAACAGAATTCTAAAGCTAATTTGGACATCATACAAAACGAAATTCTCCCAAAACTCACCATCCAAAACAAAACTTTAGAATCTCAGCAAGCTGAAATCCAAAGTTTAAATCAAAATCTGACTAAATGTGAACAAGAAGTGGAAACCCTCAAACAGAGCAAAACATTTGAAAACTTCCAAGGCCCAATCAAAATTATATGCAATGGAAATGAAGAGAAAGACCGACAACTACCAAAATTCAACGGCCGAAGTGGCAACCCAAAAGAATATCTTAATAAATTGAAAAGATATTACGACAGAGGACTTGAGCGAAACAGCAGTTATGACCCAATTGAATATCTCAAAGACCTGCTAGAAACTTCATTCAAAGGTCCCGCCTCAAGATGGCTACAACTCGTTAAGACCGACTTAAGTTCCTGGGAACAATTTTCCAACGAATTCGAAGCTAAATACTGGTCAAGAGAAGTACAACGCAGCTTAAGAGCCAAAATCAAATCAGAAAAATATCAGGGGGTCAAATGGTACCCTCAGCCGCAGTGAATACCTTACAGAACGTGTAATTTCACTCCAATCTATGAGCCCTTGCCTGACCGAAGAAGAAATCGTGACACTGATGGCAGAGAGATTTGACTCCATCGTACAAGACTGCATCAATGTACAGAACATCACCACCGTACGTGCATTAGAAAGACTTCTACAACGTGAAGATCTCAAAGACGGACCGAAGAAGACACGCACCAACAACCAGAATCACAACAGCTCATCCAACAACCGACTGACAACTCCAAATCAACAACCACACACCTATCATCAAAACGGCCACAACGAGAATCAGAGAGTGTACCAACCCAAGATACCTTCATATCACAACAATTCATACAACAACAATCACCAACACAGAAATTATCCAAATCATCAAAATTACCGTCCTAACTACAATCATCCTAATTACGACCGAAACTATGAAAACAAACCATATCAACGAGACAGATATCCTCCACGTAACAGTGACAACAACCAACGGACCTACAGAAACCACCCAACCCAAGAACAAGCTCAGCTTTGCGCAGTAATGAGACAAAATAACTACGTGCCAAGTGCTCCTCCAAACAACCAATCATCACACAGTTACGAGCCACAGACTCATCCTGCACCAAATATACAGGAAAACGGTTCGGCGCTGTAAGCGACAACCGAGAGGGTCAATTATCATTAGTTAACTCTAAAATTACAGCGCCTATTTATGAAAGTCTCGGTAATGAAATAAATCTTCTTCAATCCCAAAGTATAATGTGCGATAAGAACTTCTTATTAGTAAATGATTCAGAAAATAATCAATCTCTAAATTTCACTCAAATAAGTTGCCCAGAAATTAGTATCAAACTTAATAATATTAGAGTAAACGCATTAGTCGACACTGGTTCATCAATAACTTGTATATCAGAATCCTGGTTCAATGAAAACAAATCCAAAATTTCACCATTTGAAGAATTTCCAGTTAATAACACAGTAATCAAAACTGCTACAAATGAGCGATCTAAAAGAGTCTCTCAAATTATTTACGTTCCCACCACAATTGCAGAACACACCTTGCCATTGGAATATCTTATTGTACCAAATCTAATAAAACCTATAATACTAGGAGTAGATGTTTTGTCTAATCTTAAAATGGATCTGAATTTCAACACAAATGAAATAGATATGCAGATAAATGATCACAATGTTACTTTGAAGTTTTGTATGTGCAACCAAGAGGGACAAATATGTCACTTAATAATTAATGATAGCCATAGGCCAAATAATGAATATTTTAATGATGAAACGTTTGATGTATATCACGATGATCCAATATATAATAAATTTAATAGCACAATAAATAACTTCAAAAATAGAAAAACAGATCCAATCGAAGATGAAACATTAACCCAAGAAGAAATAGACAATTCCCTATCAACAAATAGGCACATAACCGCAGAAGAACGTGAAACATTAAGCAGTTTATTAAATAAATATCAGCGAAAGAAGATGAAGATGTTTTATACTACCCCTACTATATATCAGCCCTCAAGAAGTATTTGGAACCAACCCGAGCAATAGAAGCTGTGATCGACGAGATAGATAATGATGCCCCTACCTTCAAAGACATTGTATATTAATAAATTTCATAATGTATTTCATCCATCAATAGACTTTTGTGCATCATCATCCCTAATCCAATTGTGCCATGGACCTTAATCGCGAGTGCGTGACCCCATAAATTGTGTTGTCCATAAACTAATACCCAGGTGATAAAGTGTATAGACAATACTCACTTACTAATAAACTGTGATCTCCTTAATAACAAAGAAACAATAAAGTTATTTGATATTGAACAGTATGGAACAACAGCCATAATATCCCGTTCTTCCCATGCCAGGCCATGAACACTCTATTCTATTTTCCCCATTTTAATGTTATTGTCCCACACATTTGTTAACTTAGATTATAATTTTGTTGTATTATCACCCAATGTTCTATCATCCAGAAAATCAATCATTTAATGTTATTCATACCTATCTTTAAGTATCATTCATATTAATGATTCATGATTCCATTTCATATTTTGTCAAAATCTGTATTTCATTTCATAGCATACAGATTTCTGTGGGGATAACTTGTAATATTACATGTCATTCATTCATCATTAACATTAATTTCTGTATTATTTTGTATATTTTCTCTCATAATGTCTGTTAATGCCCCTGATAATGTGTTATCAGTTATTTAATATGTTCCTCCTTGTTAATGTGTTATTTTATCCAATTTTGTTCAATGTTATATAATATCCCATCACCCCACAGAAACATCATCTCTTTTTATGTTACAATATAATATTTATGCCAATTCTCAACATACATATCCTGTATTCATCAAAAACCAACAATAATCATTTACTTAGAATAATATATAATTGTAAGAAAATTGCAATATAGTAATAACATCTTTAATATAGTATCATTTTTCAAAATTATCCAAAGAAAATCAAAATTACTGTGGCAAGTGTCATTCATGTAAATTAACCAGCTGTACATCACTTCAACAATGGACATGGACTTCCTGAGCTTCTACCATTGCCTCTCCCCAGATCCTGCCAACTCTTCACAGTGTGAACATCATTTTATTGGACATTGTGTTTCATTTAAATTAAATTCATAATCCCAAAGTAAAACCTATATTTTAAATTTCTTATCATCCAAAAGTATTGGACAAGTGCATTGAAGAGTACCAATTTATAAGAAGACAGACACTCCAAATTTGGTAACCATCATCCATCTTATTTAACTAAGGACAAATTAATCTTCACTGGACATTTAATCAGCATAGCCTAATAGGCCCAATTAACTTAAGTCATCAAGATATACATATTTCAAATTGAACTTTTATTCAAAATTTAATCTTCAAATTCTATTTTATTTCATTAAATTCAGTGAAACCATTTGGAATCTTTCTTTGGACATTAACATTATTATGTTAATAGCATCATAAACCTAACTTAACTTATTTCAGAACAATAACTAAATTAAATTATTTGCATTTTAAAGAAGCCTAATATATCATTCGAACCGGCACGACCACCCCTCCCTGAGATTAAGAGCTCATAGCCTATTTAAATATTAATTAGTACTTCAGAAGAAACCAACCCAATATAAGCCTAGAATAATATCATCCACTTTGGAACCCCCACCATTTTGAAAATTTACCATTGTTAACTTACCCTGTAGCTAATTCAACCAATAACTTATCTTATATTTGTATTTCATTAATAAATTTTATATTGTAACTTATCAAATCTATTTATTCTTAAAATGATTCATATTATAAGATTAAGATAAAAACTTACCTTATTAGACAGAAATAAAACACAAATTAGGAATTATCTTTATTAAGAAAGAAATGACTTCAAGTTCAATGTGGACTAACTTAATAGCCATAGGAATTTTGTAGGCCTAAGTTAATGAAAAGTCTATAGAAAGCTTTATGGTGTGTAGCAGGGAAAAAGCAGGTGCGATGTACCCGGATTCATCATAAAAAATACTGCAAAAAAAGGGTCAAGCACAATTTTGATGTTAAGTTCCTTCCACAATACTACACTACAGTCATTGTTATTCTATTCCATGTCTCTAAATCCAAGCCTAAACCCCACACTACAATACATCTTAAACAGTCCCCATGACCGATAAAATAGTCAGATCTGAAAATGAACTTTACCGGATTGAACTATAAAACTGGCACAACAAGTGGCAAGCAAAACTGGAACAATAGTTTTTAATGGCGCTTTGACATGTATACTTGTTGCGCGCCACTAGAAAGTGCTAACGGTGATGAGATTATTCATCATGTGCGGCCAACGTGTTGGAAAAAGATTTTTTTAAACAAAAGAATATTTTGTTAAGGAACCTGTCTCCAAATAGAGGTTCCTCCCAACACACACCTTGTTTTGTTAAAAATTCTATCAGCCTTGCTTAAATATTTAAATGACTGTAGTAATACAGCAAACCTTTCTGTTACTTGTGCCAGGATCATGCTTTGTCTTTATCATGCATTGAAATCTCCCTCTGCATTTATTTAAGTTTCCTTTGTTATATTATTAACCATACATGGAATATTCTAACTGTGTATTCCATTGCAGGCACAACACTTGACGCGTGCGGTGGCCACATTGTTGAGGTTTTCAGCGGAGGAAGAGCGTCTTCTGCGCGAGACGCTAGAGTGGCGCAAGTCCTGGTTCGGCTCACGGCCTCGACTCTCAAGGCTGCATCCAGCCAGCTGATAATGTTCTAACTTTAGTCATGTAAAATTCCAGTCTCCAAGAGGCAATAGATAACTTGTATATACAACTTTAATTGTTTTTGTATTGCTTTAATGTTTATCATAGTGTTATTTGCTAATTTATCACAGCTGTAAAGATGCCAAATATTATTTGAAGCTAGGTAAAATTAAATTCAATTCTTCTTTGTTTTGTGTTGATTTAATTACCTTAATAATGTTTCAATCTCAACTGTATCAGTTAAGAGGGGAGGTTGTAATATTTCCCCAGTTTATTATACACTAATTATTATTTCACTAATGCAATTACAACAGGCCAAATAGTTGAATATCTAAAAAAAACTGTTATTGGAGCAATAAGGTATCGAAGCCAAACCAAAGGTATCGAAGCCTAAGGTCCAAAAACGTACAAAATTGCAACAGACAAAATTGCAAATTTAAATTTTTATAAAAAAATATTGTTTTCCTACAGTCTTGATAAAGTGGGCTTCCTTGCACTGATTATATTACTGATTATATTATGATTATATTACAGAAAGCTGCTAATTGCTGCATTTACTTACTTTACCGCACAGTTTTTACGTTGTTGCACACCAGTATTCCAACCAAACAACACAAAACAGTGTGCTTTTATTATGCAAGTAATCCGTGTACGCTTGGAAATAGGTTGGCAACACTGAAAGATACAACTACAATCAGCTGTTGCAGTGTTTCCCATTTTGACCAATGCTTGGATTTAACCTAGTGTAACCTAAAACGTGTTGTTTGGTATTTTCACTAAACCGACAGCATCACTCTAGATGTAAACAAAACAGCAAACAATCAAAGTAACAAAACAACATGGTTTGTTCCAAGTAAAAGTAAAACATTTAACAATTTACATTTAATGTACACATTACACAACTATCTAGAAGATAATTTACACAAGTTTTCAGATAAAAATCAAGAGTTGAGTTAGAGCATATTGTACAGTACAATTTCTTTGACACTTTCATCATTTATGGTTTTACTTCTGTATTTGTTCATTTCCTTAAATTCTGTATTTTGAATCCACTGTTGATTGACACGTCTGTTTCTTGGTTGTATGACAGACGATGCAGGTACAGTAGTAGTGCTCCTAAATTTTGATTTTTCCGGTGATTACGTCCTCATAAAGCTCAGGAGTAAGGCGAGTGAAGCTCAGATACTGACGGAGATAGAGTTTATCCGAGATTGTGGAAGGATTGAAACCTTCCTTCTGTAGATCAATCTGTGAACAAAACAGGTTATTTATCTTCAGTTTTTTTATGTTATGAGACCTTATTTTTTAAATTAATCAACTGTTGTTTTCTGAACTCTATAAATACAAACATGTTGGTATGAGATCCATGTTGTTGTCTGCTCTATTACATTCTGTAGGCAAAGCCAGGGGGTGCTTGGACAACTCCCATTATCTAGCATAATCCTCACAACCCATAATGTCTCATACAATACCATGATAAAAACACCCATTTTCAACCCCGCTCCCAGTCACATAACTGATTACTCTTTAAAGTCACAAAGTATTATTTTCATATCTCACCTTCTTTAGTTTGAATGTACCAGTGTGAGGCAGGACTTGGGCTAGTCGCAGGAACACAGGGCGGGCGTAAGTAGGCAACGCTCGGTCCAACCCTTCGGCAAGTCCTGGCAGGTCGAGTGGTTCATCACCTTCCTCCACAGCCATCATGCCCGCTCTACCCTCTAGATCACCCACCTGGCACAAGCAAAGAGACCGGTCTTCACAATATTGCTACTAAACTACAATGTAGCCTACTTTTGAAAAAGCAGTGTGTCAATTACCAAGTCATAAGTACAACCATCTCTTTGAACTCGGTGAAAAGAACTTCCTTGTGTCCTTAGGGGTCTAAATATTCAGTCACACATGGGGTTTAGTATTTTCATTAGTACATGACACGGGAAATAATTTTTTTTCCTTGGACAGTTTCACTACGATGTGTGGACAAGAAGGCAATACATGTTTTTATCTTGAGGAACCGCCTTGTCACAGCAAGAACCTGATCCCAGCAATCACACCCAGGCTTAAAACTAGGTTGTGATAGAACATCAGAATTATGGATAGGTGAAAGTTAAGAGAAGATTTTCTTCAGCTGCTTCTAGTATACACACAGTAACCTGGACCCAGGGGCGCAAGAGGTTTTAGGTTTGTTGGTAGTGCAAGGAAGAGAAAAATTCCTTGATGAGAAAGGATGGAGGGCGCAATTATCTCTTGGGCCATTTAGCGTGGCATATAAAAACTCAAAGTGCTAGAGAGTGATAACTTTCTCCTCCGCCTTTACAACTACTGGCACTTGGCCACTTCCTAATTTATTTTTTTTTCAATACCTTGGGCTAGTATGTTTTAAAACACAGGAGATATGGCATCTACCAACAGTTAAGGTTCTTGTGAAAAGGCTAGCCTCTAACTCTAATTTTTACCTGGGATTTTAAAATTGCATCTTTTTATTGAACTGCCAAATAAAAGCAATTATGCTGTAAGCAAGGCTCTTTGTGGTTTCCCTTTTTGAAAAATTAAAATAGTTTTCACTCACCTGTACTCCGTAAACTGTGCATTCTTTCAACCCAACAATGGAACTGACAACAGACTCTACTTCAGAAGTGGACACGTTCTCTCCTTTCCATCTGTAATGAAAAGACATTTTATTTTACTTTTTACATTTTAACCTCTGGATATTTTGAATTTATCCATCAACTATCAGTGTGAAGGCTACCTGGCTCATTTATACAAAATAATGAGCTGAACAGTAAATAGTTTATTTCATTACACTAGTATCATTGCCTTTATATCTACACATCTGTGTAGATATAAAGTCATAGTACGGAAAGTAACATTTTTTGGTGCATGCTCAAGTTTCTTGAGTTAAAGCAAAAAACAGGGGCGTCATATTTTGCGTACTACAAGCTAAAATACAGCAAAACTAGCATTATTTCTGTTCACATTTGTTGTTAAACAGTAAAATACTGCTGATTTCAATAAGATGAACAAATTGTAAACAAACATTTGCATGCATAGTGGGCAAATGGAGAACTGATTGAGTGTAAGATGAAGTAAATTCAGAGCAAGTGAAAATCAGCTGATCTGATATTTACCTTGCTCTATATTAGATCCTCGGAAACAATTACTTTATTTGATGTCTACTTTCTGCAAGGAGTGATGGAAAATGTTTCCATTTACATTACCTAAAAGTATCTCCAGTACGGTCCTTGAAATAAATGTAACCTTCTTCATCCATCATCACCAAATCTCCTGCAAATAACAAAACATTACCAACAGAGTTTGGTTTATCTCTAGCTTCTGAAAAAAAGCTATTTATCGTCCCAAAAATGTTACTCCCATGTTATGTTATGTTATCATCAAAATTAATTTTCATGTTGCAATCTATTATGTTAGACAACTTCAAATGGACAAATATGTTGCTCCGATCACATGCTAATAGAGCATTATTGCACAAATTCTCATTGGACCATTTAATTTGCATGTGGTATACTTTAGTAGTATTTTCTCAGGTCATTCTTACCTATAATACATTCTAAATCACAGTATTGCCAACAGTTTTAAACTTTATATTGTCAGCTGAAAAAATTTGTATCAGGACTACAAACTTCCAAAAAAAACATTTTGTGTTAAACATTTTCTAAACTGATTCATTTTGATTGGAAACAAAGATATATGAGATGGTTGCCTCACCTGACAGGAAAGCCTGGTCACCCTTCTTCAAAACATCGTAAATGACTTTTCTCTTGGATTCATCTTGATTCACATATCCGTGGTATTGTCTGGTAGGATCGTTCTGTCTAATCGTTCCAACAAACATTCCCGTTTCACCTGTAAGGTAAAATTCACACTTTAACCAGCTGTATTCTATTCTTTGCACGGATGTTTAATTTATAAATACAACCAAGTAATGACACAAGGACTGCAATACAAATATTTTCTTAGCAAGCACCTATAAAGCCAAAATAGTACATTTCACTAATAGTTCCGAAAGTAGTCTATTTTGGGGGAAGATAGGGATTTATGAGCAAGGCAAAGCCGAGCATGGAAACATCTATTTAGCCCCGGGATGGATCTTTCGTGATGAATAGTGAACGATACTTTTGTCCACGTGCAAAAATCACACAAAGCTTCTTTGTTTAAAACAATAAAATATATTATTCCAGTCAAGTAATTATGTTTAAATCGTCATAGTATAGGTTTGCTATTTATTTAAAAGTCAACTGTTGGAAAAATATTTATAAAAATAAAATAATCCATAGATTACATTAGTGCTTTTGTTGCGCTAAGCGAGAACTGTGTTTGTTTGAGTGAGGAAAAGTAATGTTTAGGAGACAGGCAAAATCAATGGCAAATATAGGGCTAGGTTTTGATAGGCTGGAAATCACCGATTTTTGGATGGCTCAGCTTTACGGAAATGAGCTACTTTATTTTTTTGTACTGAGTGATGAAAAAATTAATAAACCTGCCAAGACCTAGATTCAGCTTTGCTCTTGAGGACATTGCAGTTAAGGAGGTATCGTGTTACAGTACTATACTGCTTGAAAATATGTAACAGTTGACTATAAAGAGCAAAATCCCTCTGTAGTGCATGACTTGTTTTTGTAAGAGTCTCTTGCACTTCATATAATCATTCAACAAATTAAGATATCAAAATCTTGCTTATCTCCAGAAGTTATTAACTTCCCCCATAGGAATGTACTTACAAACATTTGCGTTTATACAACAATCAGATTCAAGGGACCCAAAAAACATACAGAAGTTTTTAATCTAGTATCAGATTTTAAAATCTTAAAGGCTAGCGGATGTTTTATTTTTCGATTAAGTAAGGGTTGAAGCTTGAAAATATTTTAATTTCACATACTGTTAGCAAAGATATTTTTTTATCTTGTCACATTTATAAAACTATTTTCCAAAATAAATTACCTGGTTTGCACCAAATGCAAAGTCCATTCTTGTCCCTGATTGGCTGGCTGCTTTCCTCGTCCACTCTAATGATGGCCATCGGAATCATGAATTTGGGAAGACATTGTGGAATAGCTCCAATAGCACCAATCTTACCATTGAGGTTACCTGCAATGGGAACCTGACTTTAACTCTCATTGTAAAACACCCACGATTACTAGAAAAATACCCGGGATGGATCATAAACATAAACAAAATGACGTTGTTGGCCCGAATCCTATACTAATATAGCATTGAACATATGTTTTAGCAGTTCCATTTAACCAATGTTAAATAATGTTTATTTTCGGGCCAAAAACGTCATTTGTTGATGTTTTTGATCCATACCGGGTATTTTTCTAGTAATCGTGAAAACACCCATTGACTTAACAATATAGCCACATGACCAAAAAAATCCTGTTTTCCCTGCTTTAACATGACAAAATCCTTGTCATCCTGCATGAATAAAAAATTCCTGTTCTATCCTGAGCTATCTTTTTCACGTGTCATGTTAAAATAGCTCTTTTAATCTTACTACAATGCAATTGAAATATAAGTAGGGTAATTTTGGTTTGTTCTTAAACGCAGTAAGAAAAAGAAATTAGGCATCAGAGCCTTAAATCTCTTTTAATCCAGTGCGTGGTCTAAATCTATAGATACACTATAGACTTACTTACTCCCAGGACCATTTATATCGGAGGTGGTATTTAGCCGCACCAACAAATCTTCGCCATACAATGATGAAGATTATTTCTGGGCTTCACTCACCTTTATTTGTCCAGGACTCATCAAACACACAAACCCACATATATACAAACACGTTATTTTCCAGGGCATCAAGTCCGATGTTTCGCGGAACTCGTAAAACATCCCACTTCCGAGGTTGGTTGAAACTAATTTTTTCCCGCACGTTGGTTGAACGCCTAACCACGACTGCTGGATCAGCTGAACTTGGTCAGGCGTTTAACCACCGTGCGGGGAAAAATAGATTTGACCAACCCTGAGGAAGCGGGACGTTTTTGTGAGCTCTGCAAAATCTTGGAATTGGATGCCCTGGACGATAACATGTTTGTATATCTAGACAAAAAATAAAGGTGAGTGGAGCCCACGAATAATCTTTACAAATGAATAACACCTCGCCTAAAAGCATGTAATTTAGAAACATACAATGATGGTTAGCATAATGACTTACATTTTATAAATAGACTAAAGTAAAAAGTGTATTTATAACTCTGTATTGGCTAATCTGGTGTTTAGAACACAGGACTTCTGCACGAATCCTGCCAATCACCAATCAATTTCAGTTATGAAACATAGTGCCTTGATCAAAGAATTTACTAAATAGGTTTCCACAAAGATATTAATTTAATCTATCTTCATCACAACCTATTTTAAAGTTACAAAATTCATATATTCAAGCAGGTTTCATTGTATTTACTTTGATTAAGATTTTTGGCTAATGCCTCTCCTACCTAAAACTGTTTTAATTAAAATTAAAACAAAAATCGTATCCATCACTTACCCAGATTTACGTTTCCTTCAGTGGCACCGTACAACTCTACGATATTCTGTACCCCAAATCGCTCCACAAACCGCTTCCAAATCGATGCTTGCATTCCATTGCCCATCATAAGTCGTACCTTGTGTTGACGATCTTCAGGACGAACCTTAGATGCCAGGAGATACCGACACATTTCTCCAATGTACTGTCCAACCTACAAGTAAACAGACAAGGTTATAAATTACTGATTATTTATTATTTAAAAAAAGATTTGGGGTACAATAGCACAATAAACACAAAAGTATACCAAATTTCAGCCATCAAGATAGTCAGGAATTTGGAGAATTAGTGATGAATGAGTCAGTCAGTGAGCGAGGGCTTTAAAGTTTTATATGTTGAGATTATTAAACTTTTAGTCTACAGTGTTAGTAGAATATTGTTGTGTTTGTAGCAGTGAAGCAGTTAATTAATGAAACTAGACTGTAGGAGTCCTGTCAGTTACCTCAAACTGTACAAACTTCTCTCATTGGGGACCTATCCACAAAATTTCAGGGGTGAATCGTTATAGCACCACCACTGCACATACAATACAGAAACAAAACGAAGTAAATAAAATGTTTCCCCCAACTTACGGTGCATTTATATTTGATGCAGTCCTCAAAGTAGCCAGATGCAGAGAACTTGGCCCTAAGTACAGCAGGGGCTCCGTAGATCAACGCAGGACCGACGCCTAACGCTCCTCCTGCGACGTGGTAGAGTGGGAGGGGGTCGTATATGACATCATCTTCCTTCACTCCAACTAGGGTGCGGGCCGCGTTACTGATCAGAATAAACCTAGGGAAAAATTTTACAATTAATTAATACAAGTTTTGAATTGAGTTTTTTTTAATGGTCCAAGAAAATTATATATGTAGTTTAATTGTTGCTCAAAACCTAGTATAGCTCTGGTAAATTACGTATTTTACCTTTAACTGAGGATATTGAAGTAGGAAGTACTCGTAAAATCTTATGTTATTTAAATATGGAATAAATCTTACTTGTACATGGAAAATATTTTAGTAAAAATAATATTAGGAGAATGGAAATTTACTTAGTCTGCAGGTTGGCTGCGGTGGTGGTATTTATTAAATAACTAGGCTAAAATTTTGACATGAAAATTGTAATGTATAATTATTCTTGTAAGGTCTAGCAGGTAACCTCTCTTTAATTCAAGAAATTTAAATTACTTCTAAACTACCAATTGTATGATTTTTTTAGTTTGGAACACAAATTACCTCAACAAAACCTCTTCCAATTAACTTCTAATTGTTTCATAGGCCTATATTGTTAAATTCCACAGAGAATTTAGAAAATAATTGTAGAATCAAGAATTAATGCACTTCTCACCAAAGAGACATGCTTGTAATGATTTAAGAAATCACACCTGGAATTAGGGAATCGTGCTGCCTTTGGTTTTCCCGTGGTCCCTGATGTGAATATGTAGAGCAGCTGATCGTCGTAGCCGGGTTTGTAAGTGGTGTTCGGAGGTTTACGAGAAGACAACGTCATCATCTTACTGAGGTCAAGAATGTTCTCGCCAGGCACTGTGTCTCCTACTTGGTAAAACTTTACTTCTCCTTCCAACAGGTCTTTGGCCTCCGTTATCACTACAACAGAATAGTGAAAATTTTAACTATTCACATCTTGAAAATGTTAAAAAGCCTGAACCAACTTAGGTTCACCCTGTTATCATCAATATTTAAAACCCTCTAAGGATTTTGACTGTACGATTTCAAGCTTGAAATATCTTTTAGTTTTTATAGATTGATAAAGTTTAAGCACCAGTAGTGATGGTTCAATGGTACAAAGATAATGTTCATGGAAGTTTGTTGTGCATCTTCTGATTGAATTTCAAAATTGGTTTGAAAACTATTAGACAATTTTGAGTAACACCATCTTGAATGGAAAAAATGTAATGTTTTTTTTTTATATTTACTACCAGGCCCACTCCTTATACGCATGACTATTGCACTTTTTGATTCAATAGATCACGTTAATTTTACTGAGCCAATTTGCAATACTACTAGGAAAACATACCAGCAAAAATGTAGCTATACTACCATAGTTATTGGGAAAATTGTGTGGTGTCATAGAATTAACCACGTTTGATTGTGAACACTTGCAGTAATTCAGAGTCGTAGCCTATTGTAATATTCTGACTCATTCTTGTAAAAAATGTGTCCAAACATATAAAACCACAACTAAACAAAGTGTCAAATTATTTTATCAACTACCAAACAACACCATTCTTTGGAGAATACAATGTCACCTATTTCACCAGCTCCGTTCGAACTGTGAGATGTATCTAATAATAAATTACAATCGGATTTCATTACCTGATGTAAACTTGTTGCTGAAGATGATGGCTTTGGCATTGCTATTGTTTATGCAGTGAGCTAAAACACCGAGTTTCAAATTAGTGTTGATGAGAGCCGAGATGACTCCCAGTTTGGCCAACCCGAGCCAAGTACAGACGTACTCTGGACAGTTGTGCATCATGACGGCCACAACATCTCCTTTGGCAAAGCCTGCCTCGTTGAAAACGTTCGCCACTTCATTGCTGTAGTCTTCAACCTGACAAGAGGAAGTGAGATGAGTGTTAAAATGGTCTTTAATTTAAACAGCCATTTCCATATAACTCAAGCACTCAGACATACACACTAATTTTTCTTAAGCTATGTTAAATACCAAATCACATCTTGTTTGTGTAGTAGGTGAAGGCCCCACTAGAAAAACAGGTTATGCTGTGGGGTTCATGACGTCACACTTTTGGACAGATTCACTGCCATATCCCATATGTTTTAGGTAAATAAGCAGGTTGTTTGTCAGATTTATGGATTAACAGATTTAACAGTAAACTTTTAGTACAACTATCCACCCCACTGTGACATAGTGTTGTGCTGCCAGCTTGGCTTGTTTTTCTAGTGGGGCCTTCAGTATAGCTACAGATGAATATGTATTAATTTATTGTTTAGTAAGATTTGTATTTTACAAATTTTAAAAACATGTGGTACGGTACTGAAACATCACTATTAACCATTTTTGATAATCATTTTTACTTCCTCTCCCTAGTACATATAACAGTAAAAAAGTTCCCGGAATGAATTTATTTAAACATTTAGCGCGATCAACAGCGGCAAATTTGACTTGCAGTAGTTAGTACGACTCCTGGGGATGGCATATCAGTATTGGGGGTATAGCTGACGAGCCGTAGTGCAGCATTAGGGTATAGTTCCGGAGGTGTACAAAAAAGATGGACGACACTGTACCGACGATTAAATCTGAAAGGTGTAGTTATATTAAAAGAAACGTATAGATTTAGGATGCTACAACTAAAATTTATCATTATAGCTTATTCTCGTACTATACAGGGTCACCCTGTGATTTGCTTAATAAGTCTCATGAACACTCCAAAGGTAAAAACAAAGAGTACCAAACATTAAAAGAACTGTCCAGCCTCTTCAGAAAAAATCATAGGATACATAGTTATTAATACTCACATCCTCATAAGTCCATATTTGATCCTCAAAATAGTAGCAAGGTTTGCTTGGTTTAGTTCTAAGCTGTTTATAAAATGCGTCTACCACGGAAATGTTTCTCTTCTTACAAGAAACTGTTCTTCTCACCATCAAGTGGACTCTGTATAACAACCTGGAATGAAAAATTACAAATCGTAAATTATTGATAAATGGTTGTTATTGTTATACTGCTACCTTGTGAAAAGAGAATTTCTCACTGACATTTTTGTCATTATATCTAGAACATCTCCCTTGATTTGAGTTTTGCTTCTGAAATATTTTTAATTAAGTTTCAAGTCTCTATAACGTTTCTAAATGGTTAAGAAACTAACACTGAAGTAAGTCACTTTCAAGATTCCCCATAAGAATAACATGGGAAACTGTTATAGCCTCGTAACGGTGTTAGAATCTTTCAAATTTTGACATTAATCTTACATTTTAGGGGTGAAAGAGCAACAAAAAAATATGTAATGATTTAAAATTTAATGTTAACTAAGGAGAGTACAAAGCATTAATAATTTTAAAAAAATTAAATGAATTAGTTAGGAAAAATTAGTAAAAAACCATTAAAAAATTGAACAAAATTTACCAATTTTTTGAAAGTAGGGCGTTTTTTTTTTTTTTGGGTGAAGGGGTGTGATTTTCGGAAATCATTTAGCAAGGTTTTGTAGAAAACTTTATTCCTGATCATAAAATTCTTTCAAATATTTTCTAGCTCTTACCCTTTTTAAGTCATAGGCGTTTAAAAAAAAACTTGTTTTTTTTTGTTTTTAGACGTCCACCATTTTGGATTTTTGGTCGGGTTAAAATTTTAAAAAGGGGGTTTTTTGGGAACTTTAACGTTAATTTAGGATCCCATACTACAATACTACAAAATTTCAAGTCTCTAGCACGTTTCTAAACGAATCAAATGAGCATACCAAAGTCTTAAGAATAACATGGGGCTCGTAAAAGTGGTAAAAACCTTTCAAATTTTGACATTAAACCTAATTTTTGGGGGTCAAGGAGTAAAGTTACGAAAAAACATTAAATGAATAGAATTTAAAGTAAACTAAGTTTAATACAAAGAATTAATTTAAGATTTTGGGGGGGTTAAAATTTGAAAATGTAATTTTTCAGAATTTTCCCAAGGGTTTGGGCCCAAGACCAAGAAGTTTGCCAAATTTCAACTCCCTAGCACCTCTAGAAGTGCTAAAACATTTGTATACCTGAGTCAGTTACATATGCGGCAGTATGGTATATGCACATGCACCCCCACCCCTAAGTTGTCGACCACCCCTGGAGGCAACAACACGGGTTTTACACTCACCTAGGCCCCCATTACTTATAAAAAGTCAATTTAAAAGAATCTTTTACTTACATTCAATAACAAGGGAGTTAAAAGCGGTTTTCTGATTAACGTTTTTTGCAATTTTGCGCCCCCACCCCTATGTTGTCGACCACCCCTGGAGGCGACGACATGGGTTTTTACACTCACCTAGGCCCCCATTAATAAAATAAAAAGTCAATTTAAATGAATCTTTTACTTGCGTTCAATAACAAGGGAGTTAAAAGCGGTTTTCTGATTAACGTTTTTCACAATTTTGCGCCCCCACCCCTATGTTGTCGACCACCCCTGGAGGCGACAACATGGGTTTTTACACTCACCTAGGCCCCTATTACCAAAATCAAAAGTCAAAATCTCTGACTCTTTTCTTGCATACTCATCTGCACCTAGCGCCTGTACTATACTAGGAAGTCACGAATTATTGTGGATATATAGGCATGCACTGTGGATGCGATGCTCCCTAGTGTGGATTAACGTCCGCAGAAGTGAGTACTATGGCTATTCGCATAATTAGAATAATTGGTTAATTTAAAAGGAAAAAATGTGATTTGGATTCCACTATAAACTACTGTACCTTAGTTGTCAATGGCTGAATGGGCTATTAATTAACAGCTGTGTCTAAGGAACATGTCAGACTTAGTCACTGACAAGACAAGACTACAAGATCGTGCCACTCATCCCGCACTCATATTTGGGTTAAAATACGCAAAAAAATTTTAGTCTTGAGCCATATTTTAAAGAAAGTCTAATAGAGGGATTTTATAGAGTAATTAAACTTCTTTGTAAGTTATTTAAGATTTTTGGACCAATGTATTGTGGTGATAACTGAAATATTTGTAAACTAGCTGTGTACCCGTTCTACGCACGGGGATCTTATAATATTCAGTTGAAACCTTCTTATATAACGAACAGCAGTTGGTTTGCATATTTTAAGATATGCTGGCCAAACTATTATACATAGCTTCATTTTATGTTGTTTTTTGTTGTTCCGGATCGGTATGACAATCAATAAAAGGTTAAATTACCTCTGTGTCTGCCGGTCGATCCTATAACGGTAGGCTTACTTTTATTTTTACTATCTGATCTCGTTTGCATGGCTCAATCACGTCCTGGTTGAAGTTCGTTCGCTACGCTCACTCACCTGTATGTTGGAGCTCGTTCGCTGCGCTCACTTTCCTTCAGGTTAGCTCGTTCGCTACGCTCACTTGCCTTCAGGTTAGCTCGTTCGCTACGCTCACTCGCCTCCAGGTTGCAAATTAGCTGTTGTCATAAATGTAAAAGAAATAATAGTGCTAGTGCTGCACCCTGTTGGTAATCCTTGTAACTTTAATGCTATTGAACATCACAGAACAGAACCAACTTGTTTAATTGAAACAGCTGTTAAGATTCAATAATTTCATTTCTCATAAGGTTAACATGGGCTTCCAGAAATTCCACGTCAAAAATCGACAAAAACTTGATTTTCAAGGGTTTACTGTTAAATATCTAACTGTCTCATATTCGATGAAATACGTCTAAAACCATCTCATATATGTATAGTATTTGGAAAATAAGTTTCAGGCGGGACAGTGCTATAGTTATTGAGGAGTAGTTGTAATAAAGTGCGTATTTTAGCGTTACCAAGAGAATGACAGATAGACAGACAGACAGACAGACAGACAGACAGACAGAAATTGAGATAAGGTTTGATTCGGTTTCTCTGACCTATGAAATGTAAAAATAACCAAAAAGTTCATTATTCTAAGCAATGTACAGACAAAACTCTAATTTTATTTATATAGATTATGAGCTACAGGTTTGATAATATTCTTTTTTCTGGTATTGTAATTATGTTGAGTTTGAGTCTCCCAAAAAGTGGAGAGGTTTCTATGGACCCAGCATGCTATTTCCAAAATATAGTGATCGTAAAAAGTTAGAACTTGAAAGTTTTGAAACAGTTTTTTACTAGGGGTTCTGGGGGGAAAATGCTTTCTACACTCTATTTTTACAAGTTAAAGTAATTTTTAATTGAACTCCTGCAAGGTTAACTTAAAAAATTAAACTTGTAAAACGTAATAATTAACGTGATGTTTAAGAACAAACATTCTCTTATCAAGTAATTTTTTGCAGCTTGCGAAAACAAACCTTTAATCAAATCTATTTTCGTCTTGAGATTAATCTGTAAAAAAAGTTAAGGTTAAGTTTGATTTCCTCAAATGTTTGCAATTTGTTTTCAATGCATCACTTTGTGTATTTACTTCCTTGCAAAAACACTTTGTCTATTGAAAATTTAATAATATTTCTTGTAACAAAAATATATTTTACCTTAAATCTATTATTGCTTGTAACAAAAATATATTTTTATATTTTACCTTAAATCTCTTGGTAGCGTTTTCAAAACGATGTATATTTTCCTCCAGTAAAACACAGCCAGGGATGCAACACAAACACATAGGGAAGCCTGCCATTGGAAAACACTAAAGAATAATCCTAACAAAATAATAACCACATAAGACTCCATTGTGTGGGGGTCACTAGCAATGCCCTAAGCATACTGCTGGTTTTAGCCTGGCTTGGATGAACTATGAACTTTGCTTTGACTCTCTTATCATCCTGTTCCAATAAACATTTCATTTTGAATCCACTTTCCTTATCATTTCAAGCCCAGATAAACATTGTACCCTTAAATACTTTTCAGGAAAATTTCCTTTTAATTATTGATGTATGCGATTTACTTTGTTCAGATTTTAAAATTTGTTTGATAAAATATGCATAATAATGACTTGCTTGCAGAGATCATTTAAAAAATAAATTCAAAATTGTTTAATCAAAACTTTTAGCAATATAGTAAAATTCATATATAAATCAATTTGTTGCCAAGTTGTTTGTTGTTAATGTTTTTTTTTTTTTTTTTTACTTAATTCATTTTTTTGTAGAACAAATTTTAAAATGGCAATTAACGTTTTACAGGAATGGGAAACACACTTTTAATTTATGAATAATTAATTGTGTCCTTAGCAATCCACCTATAATCCAAAAAGGACCAATTGGTTTTTGTGGATGTGCACAAATTATTATCACTTTTAAAACTTATTTTTATCTAATCTTTTACAAAATAAAAGCTCTTATTACCTAGAGATGTCACCTCAGTATGTGGGAAGCTTTTTATTTTGCTTGTATTTTATGAAGACAAGAATTATTTTAATAAAACCATGGCTAATGTTAACAATTCAAAACAATTTTAGGAAAATGCTTGGTCACGAAAACTGTAAAAATAAAATTAATTAAGTAAATTGATGACTATTTGTCTGTTTAATGCTGAGGTTGTATTTGCTCATTGTAATTACAGACAAAACTGAAACTAATTCAATGAAAGAGAAATTATTGCAAGTTTGTATTTTGTCAACAAATTTGGTAAACTGAAGCATTTAAGTAACTATTTACACTGATTTGAAACAAATATTTAACTTTCTTTGATTGTGTTCAAACGACTCCTTATGTTAGCAGCGAGGAGTACCAATTTTAATGTTAATTTAATGTTACATTGACTATAGGTACCAATTGGATTACAAGCTAAATTGGTTGGGTTTTTCCCTTGAGTTAGTTCCACATAACTTTCAGGTTTTAGCCTGGTTACTTCAGTCGTGCTGAGTTGAATCATGGCGTACAAACTGTTGTTAGTTTATTTCCCATTTTGGGAATAAGCTATTACCATTACAGTAGGTCTCATGGAAAGACCTGGACCCGGGATCTACTTACTTTTTCATTTCGATGTCCATAGAGACCAAAAACACCATCTATTAAATGTATAAATATATTTATATGTCTGTGAGCACAATAATAAATCAAAATTCCTATCCTCATTCTTATGGGGAATAAGTTAACTGTTGTAGACATGCATTTGATTTTATATATATATTTAAGTAAACTCTTGTAGTGTTGTTTCTGGATATAGTCTTGATAACATATTTGGAAATTTTTTTTATTTCATAAGCTCACAAAAAAACTAACTTTTAACTTTTCATAAAAAAAATATCTCTCCTGTAGGGTCAAACCAAAGTACTCGTTAAGCCCTTATTTATTTCGATGCCTTGTATTTAAAAAGACATGTTTATAAAAATCCATTTGTGAAAACCCTATCAGGCAGGTTTGCTGCGGCAGGGGTACCTATTTTTACTTTTGTATGAAGGCAATAAATTCAGATCTTTGACAGTCAAAGAATTAATCATTGAAAATTTGCTTAGCAGCCAACATTTACTCAGTTTTTCCACATTGGGACAGATTGGTGCTAAATACTCACTCATAAGAAGGATATGTACATTCAATACCAGAGCAACCTTCTTTAATGATAACGCTTTGAAAACAATAGAACACTATAAGGTACCTCATTGATCTTCTGATTCATCTGATTTTTTTCAAAAAAGTATTGTGCAAATGCATTTTTTTTAAAGAAATGCTTCATTTGGGTACAATTTGTGTTTAATTCCACAGTTTCAGGTTGTGATTAGAGGAGTTTGTAAAATAAAGAGCACACAAGTAGGAGAAAGGGTTTATATTTATTAAATCTTAAAAATCAGTACAGTGTTTACAATGATAATTTACACCAAATCCACATACTACTATACCCTACTTTAGATACTTCTTAGCAGATCTATTGCTTATCCCTTTTCAAGTATTATAAATATTATAATACAAAATAGAAAATAAATTTGTATCAATAATTCTATACAGATAATTAGTAATTACAAAACGTATTTTAATGTAACCAGTTTAAAATGTAAAAAACCTGATTAACTGGGACCCCAAATGGTTAAGTATTTTAAGTAAAAATTATACTTTCAATTTAAATGTGTATGTGTCTGAATAATAATTTTTTAGTTTGTTAAATGAAGATATAAATTTAGTGGTTTCTACAATAGGAACTGTATTATGTTCCCCCATTAGTTTTTTACCATTAAAAATAACTATTATTGGTTTGACTTTTGCAATTTTTTATAAATAATTACAATTACAACAATGCAAAACTGAAGACGTCCGAAACTAGGTGACAAAACTATGAAACCATACAATACCAACTAGTTGTTTCAACATACCAGTTAGTTACATTGGAACCATCGTCTGTGAATTACTTTTCTGAAACATATGTTAAGATATAAAATGTATTATGCTACTTAATAATGATCAGAACACAAATGAATGTAATGTATGCAGATAGCGTATTTAAGTTAAATTCTGATTTATTTGTACCCGTTAAATACTTGGGTAAAAAAGGAAAGAATCAGGCATACGGTGATATTTAGTTGATTTCATCAATTATAAATATTAAAAACATAAAGGAAAAGATTTGTATTACATTTCTTAACTCCGTGAAATAACTATGATGGAATTAAAGAATAAGTTTTAAGTCTCTTTGCAAATTTAATAGCTTTTTTAGGTTTGAGATAGTGATTAAAGTTAATTTTTGAAAAAAAAAATATTATTAATTCCAATTAAAATATGTGGCTTATAAAAAAGAGATTTATTAGTTCTGATAGTAAAACTGCAAAAAAAGAGAAACCATCACAAAAATAGGTAAACTATTATTTTTAGTACCGAATTAATCACGCTGTTAAGTTTTGTGAGATTAGCAAGACCATATTGTAGTTATAATGTGAATGAATAATTGAGAAAAAAGTTCCATTGAACTTTTAAACCATAACCACATGAGAATTTTTACATTTATTTTTAAGGTTTCCAATCAATTAATAATTTAATATTTATTTTAATAATAAAACATTTTTTACACTGGTAATCTCTAAACGTCATCAGACCAGTAACAGAAATTACAAAATACAACCGGTTGAAAATACAATAATATTTGCTCCTCAGTACCAGAATATGCCCACCAAGTCTTCAATAACTATTCCTAATAAGTTAAGTTCGTATAAAAATGTATTTTCTTCATTTAATCTGTTGGGGTTCATGGTTATTTTCTTGTTGGGGTTATTTTTGGTCTGTATTTTCTATTAAATCACAATATCTGTAGTTAGTCATCATTATCTAGCTTCACAGTCTTTGTACAGTTCAATACACATGTAGGTTAACTATTACGAAGCTTGACATTGAAAACTTATGGTTAGGTACATTACAAGCGATTTAACAAGGGTAATTTACTAACATCAGGTTGACTTATACTGATAGTAACAAGACCAGGGTTTGAACTGTAACTTTACAAATTTAAAATGCATGCACCTGACAAAAAACATTAAAGTACCCCAACAGATTAAACGTACTAAACAATTACACGTCGATTCATTCTTCATACTTGTACCAAAGTCTGAAGACTTAATACTAACGGAAGACAACTGAAAAAGTGACAAGAGATTAAACTCACAGAGCTCAAAGGTGCAATGGAATTCTCCAGCAGATAAATCTCTGCCTACTTCACTCAATGCTTTTGATACTACCTTCACCTAACAAACAAATCTAACGTTCACAACACGTACATTCGCCTGAGTAAAGGTACTCGCGGAAGTCATTCGTCAAATGTTCATTCAAACAACACTCAGCCTTCAACTCTCAATTCAAAAGCTAAAAAAACCAATGTCCAACAAAACCTGGAGCGGAAATAGTTCAAATTACAGAGAATTAAGGTACAAAGGAAACTTGCTTATGGAACGACCGTGCGTTTTCAGCTCTAGTATGTTGTGCCAACAACAAAATATACTTGTGACGAGCAAGGAAGCGGCGAGCGCTGTTTGGAAATTCCTATCGCACAGGGTCTTCCTCCACTGTAACGTTGCAGTATATAATGGTAAGGGGGGGGTTGTTAAATTTGCTGTAGACACCAGCAACTAGTGATAGACAGACACCACTTAAGTGTACCATTAAGTGTTTTCTCTGTACCTTACTTCTATGTGTTTAAACTCAATCATGATCAATTGATCATACATGCTAATCCTTAGTTCAGCATCAACCAAGCCATGCTTATAACAAATAAGTTACACATAACACTAACAAATATAGTAATTAAATATGACGGAAAGTAAATAGAAGAAACATTCGCCTATTAGGTCTGATGACGATTGGAGTGTCCAATCGAAATCGATCACCACTTACCATCTCTTTTGTATATTTACTGTCTTGTGAGTAACAGTATAAGCGTAAATATATGTTTTAAGTGTTATAAGACGTTTCTTTTATTTACTTTCCGTAAATTTAATAACACGTACAATGCTGATCAAGAAATTATTTATTAAATATGTCACAGCTTTACATAAATAGTGGTTAAAATTACGAACCGATTTGAGAAGATTTCTCTATAACATTGCTATTATTAAATTAACATGGATTATCAAAAAATTACAAAATCATTCCCAGCTAAAATCTGTTTTTAGTTTGAAAAGTCTAGTAGAAACAGATAATTAGAGGAAGCTTTAATGATATAAAATTGCTAATTATATTCATGATTACTGAAATATGTCAAAGTAAACAATATAATAAACAATATTATCCTCAAGTAAAAGATGGCAACAGTAAAAATTATTTGATCAATATCAGTAATAAATCATTATTAAATATTGTGATACAAGTTCTTGATCGTTCCTTAACTATGATGATGTTTAATTTTATAAATATGATACATTAAAATGAATAAAACTACCCATATCAAATATCATACCCATAAAATTGTGCTGCAAAATCTACAATTTAAGAAAATTTGGATCTTTACTTAATTTGAAAGTTTTCTAACTTAATGTGAATGGTGATTTGTTAAATCAATCTAAATAATATTCAACACAAAATTTTTGGAAAGTTATCAATTCTTAGAAAACTGATGTAAAGTTAAAATCAATTAACTTTAATTTAGGATGTCATATTATTTTGTACTCACTTCCTACTAATTAAACATACAGTGTGTTCATAAAGGTCTCGGTTAACGAGTAGTTGTAGTGCTGACCTTCAAATCTGAAGGTAGCTAGTTCAATTCCAAATGTTTACGGACCAAGATGTTATTTAACATTGGTAGTTAATTACGCTGTCAAAAGGTAGGCATTAGAACATAATAAGAACGGTTTGGACTGTTTCCTTACAACAAACAAAAATGCCAATGGCATAGAGAAACACCAAAATATAAACATATCATAAACATAGTCAAATACATTTTTATTCTGTCGGCGTGATTAACATTTTTAAGATATCCAAAAACTGGGTAAGGTGGAACCCTGGAAATTGAAACTAATTGTGACTGACCTCTGTATTACTAAACATTTTTATTTCAAAATACATTTTTGTTTAATTTATTTTTCATTTGTGATTGAAAAAAAAAGTTTGAGTTACAGTACAACCCCACTAATCTGTCGCCTAAGAAACTGAGGAGCAGCATGTTAAGGATTTTGCCGCAATTGTGGGAAAACAATAATGTTGCGGTAGAAGATATTCAGAATTTTTCCGCAATTGCATAACCACGAGAGAAGCTCAAATTTTCTTGCAATTGTCTAAGACGATGAGTTATACGTTACCTCAGGAGATTGCCACGATTGTAGATAACAACAATAAAGTTTCTGGGATCGAGGGAAACGATAGTGATGCCCCCGCGAGTTCGGGAGATGTTAAATATTTACCAACAAAACGATCGCCAAAGATGAAGATGATTTTTACCATCATCGCATGATTTGTCTAGGATTTTCCATAATCGCAGAAATGACAATATTGTCATAAGTGACCGCGGGAAACTTTCGGTATCTTTCCAAGATCGCGGAAGACGTTGATGACCTCTGGAGATAAACAAGACTTTTTCCGCAATTTTGGGAAACAATGATGATGTCTAAGACATTTAAAAGAAAAATGGTCACAACAACATTGTAACCAATAGACGATGGCACTACTACACACTATGATGTTTTTAGCTGTTTTACATACGTTAATTGGTGGCTGAAAGTTACGTTTTGCTGGCAATGCCAGCTGTCATCGTTATTTGGGGACCAAGAAGGTTTTTACATCCCTAGGGCCGCAAAATCAGCTGCCCACTTACTTTCTTAAAACATGAATTCATATTAAATACACAATCAGTATCCATAGCATTGCAATAGAATTGTTTTATTGTCACCGATGCCTAGCAACTATTTATTATTATTTTTGCTGATACCTCAAATTATTTCTTCACATAACCTTAAAGTTGTAGTTGTGTTGACTATCAGTGTGCATTATTATTGTGGTGAATAGTGGTAATAGGATATAGTGTGGTAAAAAATAGCGTTTGTACCACGGACCGAAACGGTTTTGCAGCTCTCGATTGTTTTAAAAACTATCTCGAGCCAGCAAAACCTCATTTTTGACCCTAGGTACGAAATATACTATTACACAAGCATACCTTTATACCTTGTAATCATTGCGATGGAAGTAAATGATGCTAGAATCATGCAAAACAAGTAAAATGATTGGATGATATTTAATAAAATTCTAGCAAGCAATGAAGGGGTTAGAAAAACTTTTGAAAATTTGTAACTATTCCATACAGCACATCTAAAGAACCACATTATTCTTTTTCACGTCCTCTTCCCGTTACAAAGCACGGATAGCAGCAAGTCAGTAATAACATACATATACGAGTGACAATCGTTTATGATTCATTAATTAGTTGGAACAAATACGCACAAGGGGATAACGGTCTTATATTACTTAACATAAGGACATTCATTGTCTGTGTTTCTGTAACAAACCATACACCTCACATTCAGATGATAGATATGATGATCTACCATCTCAACAATTGATTTATTGACTATTGTAATTGCAAAACCAATTACAAATTTTGTATATCCTTGTGTTAAAGTTTTGTAAAACACAAATTCATCAACAACAAACACTTAATATAAATAAAGCTTATAAGCTACCAACAATATAGTAAAAAATACAAATTAATTTACAGGAATAAAAATGTTCCGAGGGTTAATCTAAAGGAGCTTCGTTCGAAGGGAAGCGTCTTCAAATTTCAAGCCTCTGAGCTGTGGTTTTCCTTAAAATCTGGGAAAGTCTTCTGAAAGCTTCGACAAATGCGACGTTTGGCTCAGTTACAGCCTGAACGAGACTTTAGAAGACTGTCGACAATGTTTGCCTGGCAGTGAAGGATTACAGAACGAAACAGAACCGAGACCTGATGAAGGCAGTATCGAAGGCATTGGGAGGTCCAGTCCTTAGCCTGTCAAGTATACCAATTAACATTATGACTTAAGAACTACGGGAGCCGAGAGATCAGCATTCCTGCTTTCTGCTTCTGCAACACCATCAGTCTGTTTCAAAAACAATAAACATACTCAACAAACACTTTACTTGTATTAATATTAACAATTTAACACTTTACTTGAAGTGGTAACATGTGAGATGTACAAACTTCTACTGGATACATTACAGTGAATTCCAAATATTAAATGTGTTCTAGAGATGGGTTTAAACAGAATCTCAAGTCTCAAATCTACCAAATCTTAAGAACAGATTTGATTACCAATTTGATAAGCTGAATTTGAGAATCAAATATCATATCTAATATTTAGTTTGTTCAAGGTGGTAAGTCAAAGAATCCTAATTGGAAATGTTGGAATTTTCCGTGTGCTTTTGTTTTTTCAAAATACAATGATTTAGCAACTGCTTGGCAACCTGGAGTCTCACAATGATCATTTGAAATTATCACTGATGTTGCTGCGATTGCGGGAGATGATTACTTAATTGCTATGATCTTCACCTAAACAAAAAAAAAAATAAAAAAATAAATAATGAGTTCCACTACTGGTTCAAAAATATTTGATTGTGAGAAAGTTTCGTACAAAATTATTCCACGTGATATATTATTGAAATAAAATAATTGTACTTAAATTTGAGACTTAAGTTTCAAGACTAATATTTTACGACTCTTGATTTGAAATTGACACTTGAAATTCTTCTAAAATGATTTTTAGTGCTAACTACTGTAGACCTAAAATTTATTTTGACTTTGAGTATCAAAAGCAACTTTTTACGACTATTGGCAGTAAAACACTAGTTTAACATGTTAGATTACTTGTCACGTGTGATGTTACTCACTGTCAAGAGCCTTCTACTGTGCCAGCAAAGGTCATGTGCAGACCACCTCCTCCTTCGGGCTTTCCTGAAACAAACCAATTTCACGCATGCAAGAATGTTAAAATTGAGATCACTTATTGTCAACTGTAGATTTGAAATGATTTTCTTAAACTCTATCAATTAGTTAGTAGATTGGCTTAACCAAGAGCCGTAGTTTTTAGGGACAGGCTTTTATAGCTCGTTTCAGGACGCCAAACAAAATTCATTCACTTGGTTGCCACTTTACAATAACCTACCAATCTGTCAATGAATTTAATCTGACGACACTACTGACACAAAAGAAACTGTGGGTTCTGACTTAGTGAACCATAGCCTTGTGTGTCATTTAACACTATGTTAGTTTCTGTTAATTCTTTTTTTTTACATTCTTCCGCTATACATAGTTTATAGAAGAAAGTATTTTACTCAACAAAATCTTTGAGTTTGAGTCTTAGGTGGAAAAAATATTGTTGGAATTTTGGGTGTAAATATCCGTTTTGGGCCTCCCTGAACCCTAAAAAGTGATTTTCGATGTGATGTCTGTGTGGATGTGAACAGAGCTAGGCCTACAGACTACACCTGTGATCAAATTTTCATGAAATTTTGTATGTGTGTACAAATCTATGGTATCTCCAGGTATTTTTTAGTTTTTTGAAATTTTATTTTTTATGGTGCTTCTCTCATAAAAATATATAAAATTACAGAAAATCGGTTTTTCACAAAAACGACTAAGACAATTTTGTTTAAAATGGAGTATGTTATGGTCTTTTCAACCCTAAACAAAATGGTACAACCCCAAATGATGTAAAAATTACATTACTAAATTTAATGCAACTTTTGTGATTTTCCTGATAAAACATCATAGTTACTCCCACCGCTTGCCATTATAAGGGTTCTTGACAAGCTAATGGGGAAAAAGTATGTGTAAGATTGCTGATGCATTTTTTTTAAGTGAGGTTCCATTGTAACAAATTAACTGCAATCGTGAAACAATTATTAACTAAAAAATAAACTGTCATAAAGAAAAAGCTGAGTATGTAGTCATCAACATTTTACCGGGACCGACACTAGCAATATGCTCACCAAAACAAACCTTCCTTAGGGGTCCTCTTGCATCTGCTCTGGCATAAACTAGAACATATCCAACTTGACAAGAAATGGTGACTAGGGATGTGTTCTTTAAATATTCTTTGCGACTCGTTGGTCCAGAGCACAAACATCCGAACTCAACGTTATCACTTGATTAGACTTGATTAGGCCTACTCTACTTTAGTTCAAATTAGTTTGTTTATTCATATTCCACAACAAATAAAAGTGTTAAAAACCTATTATTTTAACCGTGAAGATTTCTATGCTAGAAAATTCATAACGAACATAAGCTATAATTAGTAGGCCTAAACATTGAGAATTTTGAGATAGATATTTTTACTACTGTTGACCAATCTTGACCCTTGGAGACCAATTTTGATCTTTGCCTCCGCAGACGAGTATGGAATATTATACAATCATATAAGTTAAAGTTTTCAGTATCTTTAGATATCATAACATACAAAATATATTAAAAGCGATTTAGAAATTTACAAATCCAGCAACAATAAAAATCAATAATGAATAAACAGATTCAAAACTTGTAAAACAGCAAATTTATAAAAACTGCAATGAACAACCTACTGACAAACTATTTAAATTGTGGTTACCTTAACCAGTACTTCACTTTCATCAATGATAAACCAATTCCTAATCTCTGATCGTCGAAACAAGATTTTACAAAACTGCTGATTCGGAACTCTAGTTAAACAAACTTAACAAAATATACAACATACCTCAAAACTACTTAAAATACACAAAATGTTATTAAAAGCTGAATAAATAACAGACCTCATTTGTGATGGGCAAAGTATCGTTCATTAAAGGTGGATTGTTGAGAGTGGCATATAACCTTTCATCTTCTGACATGGCAGAATTTGAGTCGTCAGTGTTGCATTGCACTATTATTGAATTGTTTGGGGAGTCGTCCTAAAACACAACAAATTTACATGTTTAACAAACAATCAGGTCAAACACTTACAAAAGAGGATATTGATGAAGCAAGCATATAATGAAATTAAGAACTTTTGGTTAAGATCAAACGCTTTCAAAAATTATTATTCTTTAAAATTGGCACGTCTATTGATAAGAACATGGAAATAGTTAAAGTATTACCAAAAGGTTTTAAGTTTGATGTTAAAGAAGAATTCAATACAATAAAATAACAATACAATACAATAACAATAACAATCAAATCAAAACAAATATATAATTACTGTAATATTGCAATACAATCAGGTGATTTTTTGTTTGCAATCTGGGTGACGTCAGCATATGATGGGAATAGCACACCTGTTTTTTCCTTCCACCATGGTTGGATAAGGTAATCATTTTATCATTTTTAGAAAATTATATTGATAAAACAAACATACAATGAAATTTAAAAAAAATTGGTTAAGCTTTTTGTATTAACAGAGGTACACTGGTTTTATTCGTAAGTAAGATTGATGCTTTTAAACTTTGCCCAGCTGTCCTTGGGCAATGGTTTTGGTTCATGAACCAGCTGACTTAGCAAGTACTAAGGCCACCAACAGGACTTATCTATTTCTAAACGACATGGTATTTTAGGTGAGGTCAATACTTCAGCATGATATATCTTTGGGTATCACTCACCTTATTGAAATCAGGAGAACACAGTCCTTGTCTTATCACATATCACAGTTCATTGCACATAGGCCTACACATTGATAAAAAATAAAAATAAAACTTAATATAAAATCACAGACTAAAGTTCTCAACTTTGACGTTTCGCCATACCAATATCAACGTTATTTTTTCAGTCAAGGTTATTTTTTCTTCTCACTTAAAATCACTAAAAATCACTTAAACGTTGTGAGTCTGGTGCGGCGAAACGTCGGAGTTGAGAATTTTAGTCTGTGATTTTATATTTAGTTTTAATTTTATTTTTGTATTTTTGCAATGAACTGTGATATGACAAGGACTGTGTTCTCCTGATTTCAATAACGTGAGTGATGCCCAAAAATATTTATCATAATGAAGTACTTATCTACTTGCCGTATCCGAAGTCAATGGGTTTACTTACAGGCACGTCTATGCTGTGTTTGGATTTCTTTGCGCCTGTGTCCATGTTTGAATCGGAATGCCTCTTTCTGTTTGGGACTTCACTTGTAGAGTTTGTCTGGGGAGAAACACTTCCGTTGGGAGCGGACGTGGAGCTCGTGGAAACCTGACAATTCACAATAGACAAGTAAATTGAATGTTATTGCATTATACAGTAGTAAGCTTTTATAGTTCATGTAAGTTGCATATACACGGTAAACATACAAAAAAGCTAGATGTCGCCTACTAAAAAATGTGTTCCCCTGATCATGTGTTTACAGTCCAATCCAAAAAATCAAAACTCGAAGTGCGCTGCTTTCCTGTATTCCACGAGGAACTTCCCAGAACTGCTGTCAGAGAAACTGCTCTATGTGTACGCAGTAATTTGTTTGCTAGTCTTGCAAAAAAATGCGTTGGATTCACAACAGTTGTACCAACCCTTGCATGTGTAGGCCTATAGCTTAAACACTGTACTCTCACAGAACAATCTGAATATACTGTTATGTGTTAATGACATTGTAAAAAATTCCATTAAAAACTAATTTTGCAACTCATTTAGAAGCCACTTACCCATAACTTTTGACGGTAATATGATTCCGTTTCTTAACTTACCTATCTTCGACAAGTATTGTTATCTAGACTCTTGGTAGTACACTACTCACCTTTCTTTCTCTCTTAAGTAAATACGCAGGTAAATATGCTGACAGCTGCTTCCTGAAATTAAAAAAAAATAATTAAATAATAAACTATTAAGGAAAAGATATTTGCACAAAGAAGAATAACATAGAATACAATGAGTTACAAACACAGAGGAGTAAGGTACAGAGGAAACAAACTAATTATGGGACAACAGTGCGTTTTCAGATCTAGTATGTTGTGTGGGAATATATTATAATTGTGTACAAGCAAGGAAGAGCCCAAGCGGCAAGCACTGTGCGGAAATTCCTATTACACGGAGCATAAGGTCTTTCTCAACCATAAACGTTGTAGTACACAAGGGGGGGGGGGGCAGTTTTGGACTTTGCCCTAGACACCACTTAAGAGGCTACCATTCATTGAGTGGTTCCTCTGTACCTTACTTCTCTGTGTTACAATTAAGTTTTTAGGGCTGGAGATTAAAATTTTGATCGATAAAACTTTTCAGTTAACAAGTAACATGTAGTAAATTTATAAAAAATTTAATTTTGACGAGCTCAAATTTTTGCAGTAACTTAGTCTGCAATAAAGAATAACATAAAGTTATTCAAGAAGGTAATAATAGTATGTAATCTTTTTTTCAGCTTACATTTGTTACATTGTTAGAGGTAAGAGCACTTACTAGTTTATTTTCAGTAGTGAGTTTAAAATGAACCGATGCTTTACAAAGCAAAATATTACAGAAAAATCCAAGAACTTAAATTTACTTATTCAAAAAATATTTTCAAAATACTTTTTTTACAAAAAAGTTATGCAGTTTTCTTATTAGCAGGTTTTAATTTCTCTTGATTTTTATCAAACTTTATAACACAAACATATTTTCAAATGAAAAACTCTTAAACAAACTTAAACTTGTTCAACAAAACAACTTGATCCCAAAACAACGAAATTCAAAGGGCAATCAAACAATAAACATAACAACCCTTTACTTGAAGTATAATAAAGTACTTACCTTCTAACATACCGAGCCTCAATCTTCATCCCTTCTTTTATCATCTTAATCATTCCTGCTTGCCGATGAACTGAAAATAATTTAAGAACTGTTCTAGGTTATTTTTATACAGATTTTAACAAGTCTAAAGGTTCTAACTCAAACAACAGTAATGTTTGAATTACAACAGCTTTCAAGTTCAGAGGTTCCCACAAAAATATCTTAAGTGAATTCCCTGACTTTCCCTGACCGATTTCTGTTCATTTCCCTGACCACGGCATATTTTGGGTACTGTGAGTTTTCTTAATATTTACATATAAGTCAAGTCTTTATCGCTTAAAAACAACTTTTTTTATATGTAATACGGCCACCACCATCCCCATATCCGCCATTACACCTCATTCTAGTCATATTCCCTTAATAGGGACCTGCTATTACCACGGGTCTCATGATAAGACCTAGACTGCCGACCGATTTACTTTTTTTTTTACAAATTTGTTTATTTCATATTAACCTATCAAGATTTTAATCAAAAGCACTCCTTATTATATTTTCTTTACCAACAATCCTATAGCTAACAAATCTGTATTTATTAAAATTAATCTTATTTGAATAGGAAATAATTTTAAAGGAATATTTTAGAAATCCAGCCAGGTAAAAGGAAATTTGCATAATCTGAGAGGTGCTGTGGCAGGGATATTTATTAATACAATACCAAATAAGAAATCAAATTCTAAATACTTAGCTCTAAATAAAACAAAAAATGGTAATAAAAATTACATACATACCACAGATTTTTCAGAACTTAGTAATCTTTTCAGCAACTATCTCATTTCAATATTACTATCCAAAGTTAAATTTTAGTGAATTTCTCTTTTATAAAAACGAATGCAAAGACTGGTTGCTAACAAAAACATTTTATTCTTTAAATGAATTTTTTAAAGTGGAAATTGGTAGGATTTTAAGTATTAGGCCTACAATTATTTTGTTTCAATTTTAATAATTCTATTTAGTTTTAAGTATTATACTGTAATTGGCAAATGTCCTGGCATTTTATGATAATCCTGGCATTCTGTAAATAAATAAAAATACATAATAAAATAAGTTTTATCATCCAAAAAATTAAGGTGATCTATAGAAGTTTTTAGTAAATTTCCCTGACCTAACATTATTTTTAGTTTTTCCCTGACTTGCGGCCTTTTAAAAAAACTTTCCCTGACCATCCCTGACCCTATACCTGTTTCCCTGACTTTCCAGGTCCGTGGGAACCCTGAAATTATTAGTTGGTTTGAGTAAATTTCTATCATTTTACGATACAAACAAGGACAACTTTGATGATAGTCTATAACATCAATTATCAATTATTTAAGATGGGGACGCCACTATGTGCGTATTTAAACCCAAATATGAGTGAAGGATGGGTGTAGGATGAGTGGTGCGGTCTTGTAGTCTTTTTTCCTTGTAATTAACTAATTGTTCTAATTATCAGGATAGTACTGCGGATAGTCGTAGTACTCACTAGTGCGGATGTTAATCCACACCAGGGAGCATCGCATCCACAGTGCATGCCTATAAATATCCACAATTCGTGACTTCCAAGTAGCTAGATTACAGGATGACGCCACTGTGCCTATACATACACAAAAATTAAACTTCATTGAATTCCTGAGGATCCCACTCAAGATATTTAATTACAAACCAGGAGGAAAATAAGATGAGTGAAGAATGGAACTGAGAGGAGTAATTTTACTGGATCAAAACTAACGATACCAAATCCTTAGATGAAATTAAAAATAAGACGAGTGTTTAAACACCATCCCCGACTATCTACCCGTAGTACTACAGTACAATACCAGCGTTTGTGAAGTGTTGAATGTCGTAAGTGAGGTCGACATTGAGGTTCTCAGTCTTGGCGAAAACTAGGCCAATGAACCACATGTTGGTGGGTGCGTTGGTCTGGTCGGGTGCGGGTGGAACACCCGAGTGGCACTCTGGGTTGACATGGGCCAGCACTATGTGTTGGTTACGCTCCAAGTTCATGATGAGATACCTCACTTTGGACTCTATCAGACCACACCACTCCAGCTGGTCTTCGGCACAAGTGGAACTCGCTATCAGTACTATGAAATGCCTGGAAATGTTTGGTTATATTTGTTTGGCGTTAATTACTAAAACAAAAAAAACCCTATTAGACTTAGGTCCATGAATAAAAAAATGGAAGATTCTCGTTTAGTCATTTTATTCAGCATTCAATTCTACTATTATAACAACAAATACAACTTACAATGCACAAAACATGTTTAGAATTTGTTTAAAGTTAAACTTTTTTTCTAAATAACTGTTTTCTTAGTGCACTTAAATTTTAATTCATGGACTTCTACTACGTCAAATAATTAATACTCCCGCAGCAGCAAACCTGCAGACTAAGAAAATTTCAACTTGTCTGATTAAATTTGTACTCAAATATTTCCATAAATAAGACATATTTATGCCAAATTTAAATAACATTAGATTTAACAAGTGCTTAGGTTTGCTGCTACAGGGAAGGTAAAAAGTGTTTTCTGACCAAATGTCAATAGTATGGGATGAAATAAATAAATTTGCCAAATTTTATCAACATATATCCATAAACAAGTAAACTACAACAGTTTTTATTTTCTCCATAAGAATAACATTGGAATTTTAAATTAAAATTATCAGCTTCAAGACTGGGCCACCGTTTAAAACATGAAAAGTTAAAAGTACATTTATAGGAAACATTATTATTGCCAATTGTCCCGTTCCAGCAAGAGGGGGGGGGGGGGGGGGGTAAAATATTAGTGCCTGACATAAATGGGGATTTCCAAAATGGTAGTAATTTTTAAAATTACCATTTCAGACCATCAAACCTACAAAAATTCCAAAACTACAAAACATTTGTTTGATTTTATATAATCTTACGTTTGTTTAAGTTTAAATTGAAGGGAATCTTCAAAATCGGAATTTTTTATTTTTATTAAAATCATACCCCAATTTTGAGGGTTGGGTAGGGCGAGTAAAACTCCAAAAATAGTTAAGAATACACTTTAGACGGTATGTAAAAAATAAGTAATTTATCAGGTCAAACATGCCCAAAATGTTTTTAATCTGCTCCAGGCCAGCCGAAACCCACAAACAACCGGGAAAAAGGCATCATTTCCAAGTTCTTACTAGTGTGAATTTGGGGGTGAAGGAGTGAAGATGGAAGAAAATGGTAAATTACAAAGTTGTAGATCCTCAAAAATAAGGAACTCCTGTGTCCTCCGTTTCGTGATCAGACCTACGGTTGAGCCGCAATAGACGTTTAAACAAAGAAACACAAAGAAAAAATTCCAAAATTTGATGTTTACAGCGAAATATAAGGGTGAAGGAGTGGAAAAAATCATTAACTTAAAAATGTTTAGCTTGTTTAAATCTAAATACATAAATTGTAGGAAAAAGGAGGATAGCAGCTAGCTTACCTTGAAAGTGTGGGTAGGCCATAGAACAAGTAGTTCTATTGTTCTATGTAGGGATGGACGAGATTAGATTTTTAGTTCGAGACGAGACGAGACGAGATTTTTCATTTCTCAAAAACTTTCGAGCCGAGATCGAGACGGGATTTCCCTTCTCATACACAACGGGAAATGCACGTTCGGAATTTTTACCTGATTTTGTAACATTGTTAGATGACTGTTTAAATACAAAAATAATGATAATAGGCAAGAATATTTACAATCTTTTATTAAAAAACATCAGCATAACATTTTTTTATTAATCACGCCTAAATTATTAAAAATGCCTACGATTAGGAAACAGTGATATCAGTTAGGATAGAGTTCAACTTATCCTAAAATAAAATAAATCATAAAATAAAATATTAATTTTTATAAAATAGTTACTTGTTTTGAATTTTTTTATAGTAATAAAACATTCCTCACACTGCTAACACTTAACAAAACTTCTCAAATGTTATTAAAATAATTAAAGTAATATTTACATTTTAAGAATTAATTAAATAAGAACGCCTTCGCAAAGGAAACGCAACTACAACACGCTCCTGTATTGCGGGTATTGCATTGACTTTCTGCAGGCGTTTTTATTTTTTTATTTTATTTTTTTTTTTATTCTCGTCTCGATAAAAATCTCGGCTAAAAAGAAATCTCGTCTCGTGTAACGAGATTTAAAATTTCCCGAAAATTTCCCGAAATTTCGAGACTTGACCATCCCTATTCTAATAGTTCTACTTCTATGGCCTACCCACACTTTCAAGGTAAGCTAGCTGCTATCCTCCTTTTTCTACAATTTAAAATCCTGGGTTAGAGCCTTTCCTTAAACAAAACTAAATCTAAATACAGTAAGTGTTCTCTGTTTTTTTTTATTAGATCAATGGTTTAGCCACAACAAGCGTAAAAAAAAACCCTTTTTCAAAATTTTCTAAAATCTACCATTTTGAATTTCTTTGGGAGGGTTAAAATTTGAAAATGTCACTTTTTGGGAATTTTCTGGGTGGTTTGAGGCCAAGACGGTCTAAAATTTCAAATATCTAGCTGATCTAGAAGTGGGTAAACATTAGTATCTGATCAGTGAGTGAGTTACACTCACTTATAGTTACACTCTATTACTTATAGAAAGCGAAAAACTATAACTTTTTCACCAGCACGATAGTTGCTTCGACACCCCGGTACACAACATGAGGTCAGCATCTTCCACTACGAAGTTGTCAAAACACACTATTATTACTATCAATTGTCATCTTCAATTAAAAATAATAAATGATTTAAAAAAACTTAATGAGAAGTTGTCACTACAATAGGCACCAAAAGAAAGCTCAGGAAGGGTGGCAATGCGACAGGTGTAAGCTACTAGCCTAATGGCGGTGGCGTCGACAAGGCTGGGCGTTCGGCTGATTCAGTGACGTAGTAGCGCGAGTGGAGGGGGGGACTCTGGCCTGTAGTATAGCGTGGCCTTGGTTTAGGTAACAAATAATCAAACAATGCACAGTATTTTTTTTTGTCCCACCTTCACATCCTAGGGCACTAGGCTGTTGTCAGAAAACGTTTTCACATTACTCCAGGCTAGGCCTATCAAGGCATTATCACTTAAATCATATCCATTAGTGATTGGAGGAGCAAGCAAGTCTAATGGGAAAGCGCAGGATATCGGTATCTAAGGTCCCGCGTTCAAATAGAGCAAATCACCAAACAAATCACAGTAATGTATTTAGTCTACCCAATAATTACTTTTGTTCACTGTAAGGACCGCAGACCCACATCTAAAAAGATGCAAGACTCTCGTCACAAAAAGAATCAAACTTTACAGTTTTTGTTTCAACCAAAAACTAATTTACAGCAGCGTCAGATTTCTGAGTATGTTGAACTAATAAATAAGGGTTGAATTTGAAAAGCAAACTGTTCTAAAAAAAAAAAAAAAAAAACTCTTACAGTTATATAAAAACCTGCGCTTTGAACAACGAGTTCTACTAATATGGTTATAAACACTAAAAAATATCATACTTGTATTTGGCAAAGAAATTTGGTGCTTCAAACAATCTGTCCCAGCCGCATTTTCCATAAACAATGTCTTCCGTTGTTTGAAGGCCTTGTTTAAACTCTTCTTGCATCACTGTTCTGGTTGACACGGAGACGTTGAAAGTCGAGTTCTGTTGAGGATAGGCTGGTGTGATGATAGGCATTAGGTGATAGCGATCCGATACATTTACCTGCAAAATATACAATCTCTGATTTAGTGCTTAAAATCTCATTAACTTGTCATCTCACATGAGAACCCAATCAAAATTTACTTGCTCACTGGGAGTAAGTGTTAAAAACACACATTTATAATATAATACTGATCTTGCATTGTTCTGATCTAGCAAGCCCAATGATCAGGGACAGCTGGGTCCTGTTTCAAAAAATCAAAAAGCTCCTGACTTTTCTCAGGATTGATCCAGCAACCTTTTGATTGCGAGCACTATAACCACTCAGCTACCCAGCCAGTTAAATAGAACCTCAATCTGACTTAGGGATATATGACTCCACAAAATATCTAATAACATCCAAATATCTATTAACAATTATTAATCTCTCGTTTCTACTAAGTTTCTTTCTATGATTAGTTACCAGGGTCCCACAAATAAGAAAACCACTAATTATCAACGTCCTGCTATTCTAATCACCAGTTAAGAGGAAGAAATACGGTAAAAAAACAAATACTATTTGTTCTGAAATACTTGTCAGGGTGTAAAGATGACCAGAAACATGAGGATTTCAATGACAGGGGAGAAGTCTAAAAACTGTAAATTTTGTATTAAACCAGGAAATGTTTAATAATCACAAATAGCCTATGAATGATTGTCCATTCTCATTAACAGTGTTCTGTTGTTAATCTTTCTAGGTTGTTGTTTTATAAAGATTTCAGTAAGTAAGAGTAACATAATTGTAGAAGATAATACAAAATGATGCTACAATCTTGGTAGATAGTAAAGGATATTTCTGTAGTCATGGAAGATGATCAAGATGTCAACATGATCACAAGATATAATAACAGTGTTTCCGTGATTTTGGGAGAAAATCAGTGTTGCTGTCTTCGCAGGAGTAATTTATGACCATTCACAGTAAAAATTACATTGATTCAGGTTTTCAATGCAATTTCACTACATTCTTGCCGAACTATTAGGTAGGCAATATGAATTAGTTTGAAACATAATTACTAGGGATGGACGGGATTGAATTTTTAGTTCGGGACGGGACGGGACGGGATTTTTATTTCCTTCCCGATTTTCGAGACGGGACGGGACGGGATTTTTTCCTGTGCAAAAAAAGAAAGTCTTGAGTATTGCAGTTACCAAAAAGACAAACGAAATCAATTTTTACCGTTTGTGGCACAACGGTCTATAAAAACAAAAAAATGGTTTGGTTACAACAATTTACAGGTACCTATTGAAACATGTGACTTGCGGTCAAAATGACGGTCACGGTGCGATCGTTAAAATGACTCGCGGTCACGGCGTCATCGTCGGTATGACTCGCGGTCACGGGGTTATCGTCGGTATGACTCGCGGTCACGGGGTGATCGTCGGTATGACTCGCGGTCACGGTGCGATCGTCGTTATGACTCCGCGGTCACGGCGTAATCGTCGATATGACTCCGCGGTCACGGGGTGATCGTCGTTATGACTCTGTGGTCACAGGGTGATCGTTGGTATGACTCCACGGTCACGGCACGGGTATGACTCCGTGGTAACGGAGTGATCGTTGGTATGACTCCGCGGTCACGGGGTGATCGTCGGTATGACTCCACGGTCACGGAATGATCGTCGGCATGACTCTGCGGCCACGGCGCGATCGTCGTTATGACTCCGTGGTCACAGGGTGATCGTCGGTATGACTCCGCGGTCACGGAATGATCGTCGGCATGACTCTGCGGCCACGGCGCGATCGTTGTTATGACTCCGTGGTCACAGGGTGATCGTCGGTATGTCTCCGTGGTTACGGGGTGATCGTCGGTATGACTCCGTGGTTACGGGGTGATCGTCGGTATGACTCGCTATCACGGTGCGATCATCGGTATGTCTCTGCGGTCACGGCACGATCGTCGGTATGACTCGCGGTATCGGCGGGATCGTCGGTATGACTCCGCTGTCACGGCGCGATCGTCGAAATGACTTCGCCTCCTGCGTTCGTGGAACATCTCTCGCAATAGCGGCGTTATCGTCACTCGCGAAGCGGCAAAATCGCCGACAATCAGACCAAATCCCGTCCCGAAAAATTCCCGAATCAAATGTAATCCCGTCCCGGAAATCGGGAATATTTTTTTCCCGAAAATTTCCCGAAATTTTGGGACCCGTCCATCCCTAATAATTATCTAATTAGTCTGGGTTACTGGGACACTGGTGTACGGTACCATTCCAATTAAATTCAAATATTCTTTATTCATACATTTGTACAATGGTACAACAAATAGTGTCAAAGTATATAATACTAATTTTGTCTAAAATAAAAGTATATTAATTCATGTTTATGGTAATGTAAATTCATTTTCTAATCAATTGATTTGATTTTTTACTCATGAACAATTAATCTAAACTCTGGTTATTGAAAAAACTGTTAGAGAATATGGAGCTAATTTAAATATTCCTTAAAGTTATTCTTACTTTTACTTATGTTTTGTTCACCAAGAAATGACCTTGGTAGATGAAAGAAAAATTTAATTCCCATATATTGCGTTTTCTTTTTGAAAAATTCTAAATTGTGTAGTTCTACCGGTCTATTTAATCTGGTGTTGTACGGGTGAAAGATGTTTACAAAATTTTGATTTTCTAGTTGCTTTACATACATTACAGTTTCTACAAAGTAGAGAGCATAAACGTATTCTTCTACCTACCCTAGGGTCCCAGACTTGAAAGCCCAGGTTAACGTTGTCAGGCTGTTTGAGAAGAACGGGCTGCGGCCACTTCCACTGTGAGAACACTAGGAAGAACTTGTGAACGAGTGTAGCAGCCACAGCGTTAGGATACAACTGACAGGTACGAGCCACCAACATAGCCCATGACACTCCTCCCAGGTAACCCAGAACATTGCTGTAGATCCCGTGCTCTGTGTGACAAAGTAGTCAATATGTACCCAAGTGAATCTTAGACAAAACACTCAAGTGAAAAGTGACAAAACTAAGAGGAATGGGAGTTCAATTCAATTAAATTTGTTTATTCACGGCAGAAGCCATTGTACATACCATTACATACGGGAGATAAACACAAGATGCATAAGAATAGTAATACTACTAAATAGAACGTACACAAATGGCAAAGGGTTTAGGATAGTGATGGTCGGATCTGGATACCGGACTACCGGATCCGCCAGATCTGAGCTAGAAACGACGCCCGATCGGATCCACAAAAAATCGGATCTTGGGCTGGATCCAGTTTGAATGGATCCGAGTTTATTTCTTTTTTTCTTAGTTCTATTAACACAAAACGTCCTTTATAAAGTACAATTCATACATAAGAACAGGTGTTTTGTCATAATGATATATTTTAAAATAAAATTAATAGTGACTATCAGGGTCCATGTACAAGACTATCTGTATCCATGTACTATCTGTATCCCATATAGAAGATCTATGTATAGATATGGATAGTCACACATATATAGAAAAAATAGTCTTATACAGTGCGTAAATAAAGTCTTTAAACAAATCTGTATTTTTAAAACCGAAATAGATAGAAATATTCTGTTTGTGGCATTGATTGTTAACAAAGGTTCCACAATTTTTTACATCAAAAATATTGTTTAACCCCCCTACAGGGGCGTCATTTGGGGAGGGCAGAGGGGGCAAGGGCTAGAGAAAAAAATATTCTGTAAATGTTGTACAAGAGAAATTGGGCATGAATCTAATAACAACGAACATAATATTAATACATCATGGCACTATTGATCACGTTTCTTAGATGACTAACTTACTAAACATATTATTATGTTTCTGTCTGTTGTCAATAATTGTTAGTTTCATTAATTTTCTGCCTAAATTTAAATAAATTTTACTCAATTTTGTTTGTATTCTAAGTGCTTTTGACAATTAAAATAAGCTTAACCCCATCTTCTTTATTTCAAAACTGCAAAATTTTCCGGGAGCCCCCAGTTTCCTGGGGGTATTGTATACCCCCATACCCCCCGGTGTTTCCCCCCCCCCCCCCCCCAAGGATTTGGTGAAATGACGCCACTGCCCCCCTAACAGGGTAGGGGGTAGGGGGCCACTTATTTTTTCAAATAGCAACCCCTATTGAGTGACCCCTCATTTTAAAGGATTTTTCAAAAGAAACACGCAAACAGTGACGCAAACCCGAGGTGGATATCTCACCCCTAGCCAAAATGACAGGTATTCGAAAATTTGATTTACTGTATGTGAAAAAGCACAAATTTCACAAATATGGAAACAAATCTCTATTTTTAAAACCAAAATAGATAGAAATATTCTGTTCGTGGAATTATTTATTAACATAGGTTCCGCAATTTTTTGGGTCGCCGGATTTCTACCCCCGGATATTTACCCCCATGAAAAAACGCCTACGTCATTTTGACGTCACGAGGGGCGGGGCCTATACACGGTCGAGAAACAGCCCGCGACTGGAAATCTACCCCCGGACATCTACTCCCGGACATCTACCCCCCGTGGTCAGCTCTGCCACGTATCGGCCAATATTCATTGTTGTAATTGATTTTAGTGACTGTTTTATGTAAATCAACGGCTCTTCGGTTAGTAATTGCCGTCTAATATCTAGTATTAGGCATGTGATATGTCATTGTCTTGTTTAACATTATCTATCTTCCTAATGGAATGGCTGCAACAGCCCTTTTTCACCCGAACTACTTCACCGATTTTTATGATCGGGGTGTAATTTTAAATCTTAAGATCTAGCGCAACACAAAATGGTAATTAAAACGATATAAATAAATAAAAATGTCTTTATTAAGTGTTTCTCTGGTACACCAGCTTTTCAGAACAACTTTTAGTCACTACGCTAAATATCTTGTTCAACAATCAATTAATTATATTATATTGAATATCATATTTTGATAAAGGGCTTCAAAAGTTTGACCCTTAAGCATTTGATTTATTTCTAAACAGTGATTTAAATGTTTGGCCAACTTTCACATACAGTAACAGCTAACGGCGCATGCACGAGCACAGATCGTGAAATTTAATACATATCATTGAAAGAGGCTATTTTCTGATTACTAGAGGTAAGAATACAGTGCAATCAAATGTTGATAAAAAGCCTGCCACTGGTTGATCAATAAATTAATTAATTATTTCATTATTAATTCCCTTCTAGGAATAGGAAGTAGCATAATCGGTGAAGTAGTTCGGGTGAAAACGGGCTGTTACAGCCTCTTTCATTAGGAAGATAGATAATGTTAAACAAGACAATGACATATCACATTACTAACCGAAGAGCCGTTGATTTACATAAAACAGTCAATAAAATCAATTACAACAATGAATATTGGCCGATACGTGACAGAGCTGACCGGGGGGGGGGGGGGGGTAGATGGCCGGGGGTAGATTTCTGGGGGTAGATGTCCCAGTCGCGGGCTGTTTCTCGACCGTGTATTGGCCCCGCCCCTCGTGACGTCAAAATGACGTAGGCGTTTTTTCATGGGGGTAAATATCCGGGCCGGGGATAGAAATCCGCTACCCCAATTTTTTACATCAACAATATTTTTTAACCCCTTTAACAGGGTTGATGGGTGGGGATGATTTATTTTTTTTAATAACAACCCCTATTGAGTGAAAATAATATGTTCTCCCCCATTTTCTTTTACTGAGAAACAAAAACAGTAGGCTACTTTGTGTTGTGGCTATCCTCAGAGGCAATGTATAGGCCTACAGGGCTTTATTGCTACAGTGTTTTTGAAAGCTCATCTTCATAAACAAAAATTGTATGTATACTACAGTGACCATAAACCAAATATATGTTTTTAGTTAATATACTAATAACTTCAAAGGGTGTTAAACAAACATTATGGAGCTGAAAAAATGCTTAAACTGTTAAAAATAGTATTTCTATAAACCCCATCCCAGTCTCAAATTATTTGAGGGTTTATTGATCTAAAAACTATTTAAAATAATTAAATGTGAGAATACTTACTTTTGGCCCAGAGTTTGATAGTTCGAAGGGCTAGGCGAAAGTTTTCAATATTAGGTACCAACCTAAGAATTTCATCTGTTACCCTACAGCCGTTCAAACTTCGAACACATTTTTGATCTAAATTCTTTAACAGCAAATCGTCTTTTAAATCCTAGAAGCGGAAAATAATGTTAGAAATCAATCACTGAAAATATTACAGACAACATGATAATGTAAACAGTGCAGATAATATCTTAAGATAATTAATAATCAATCCTATCAATTTCTAGGAGGTGTGATACACAAGAAAATTGGGGTTACTAAATTAAAAAGTTTAACGAAACAAAAATAAAATAAGTAGGCCTAAATATAATATTCATCATAGTCAAAAAGTAATTTTGACAGCCACTAAGTCATGAAGTTTAGAAATTGTATGCTGTTGATTTTTTCAAATAACTAATCAATCTACTTGTTATATTTCCTGTCAATAGAAGAGCATTCTTCTTGCTTAGATTTCCTGCTAAGTAAATTTAGCATAGGCCTATGGCGAGGATTAGAAAGTATCTTGACATGAAATCCAACAGAAGATAAAGTAACAATGTTTATAATTGAGTTTGCTTCCACAGGAACGTCAAATGTTAATTAAAATTAAAATTTATTTTTTGTTGTTCCTATGCGCTGCAAAGCAGCAACACGTTTGTCAACACACTTGATATCATCAGTTCATCCACTATAGCTTTGTCATCAATTTCAACATAAAACAGTCATTACACACAATTTAAATAAATAAATAAAAATGCCTTTTAAAAGTTACACAAAAAAACAAACCTTTAACATAAAAACAGAATTTTTGTTGCAGTGACCACATCTCAAATATGTAATCGATTAGTTCAGGGTGACAATAATTTTGTTTGTCTGCATACGTGAAATATGGCAACCATACCAGTCTTCTGTTAAATGTCTTTGATTTTTTTTGGGTAAATTGTGTATAGTAAAGGTAGATGGAGAAATGTCGGAGAGCTTTAGTATAAATACAGGAGTGAGACAAGGGGACGGGATTTCCCCCACTCTTTTCAACATAGCGATTGAAGAAGCTCTACAAAAAGTAAAAAATCTAAAGAGGGGCCTAAAATTGGGTGTAGACTTAAATGTCATGGCCTTTGCAGATGATGTGGTGATATTGGCTGAAAAGTCGGAGGATTTGTGTTTTCTAGCCGACAAGTTTATTCAAGAATGTAAAAAAGTGGGTTTGGAACTAAATGAGGAAAAAACCAAAATAATAAAGTTTGGACGACATCCCATTAATAGAGGCACCAATTTCAATATAGCCAACTATTTAATTGAACCAGTAGAAAGCTTTAAATACTTAGGAGTTACTATAAATAGCTTTAACATAGAAGATACAGAAATATTAAGTAAGTTAGCAAATGCCAATAAATGTTTAGGTGCATGTATGAAGCTCCTGTCATCAAAACTCCTATCATCTGATACAAAAATAAGAATATATAAAACCATTATTCAACCAGTATTATTGTATGGAAGCGAGACCTGGGTCCTATCCAAGAGAAATGAAGGACGCTTGATTGTTTTTGAAAACAAGGTCCTAAGAAAAATATTCGGCCCAGTAAACGAAGAAGGAGAATGGCAGATTAGAAAAAACAGAGAGCTACGAGCGTTATACCAGGACCCTGATATAATAGCTTTGATAAAGGCAAAAAGATTAGGTTGGCTAGGTCATGTATTGCGAGGGGAAGAAGGAACAAGACTGAAGGAAGTATGTTCTGCTGTACCAACTGGAAAGCGTCCACTGGGTAGACCAAAAATGAGATGGTATGACCAAGTTCAGAGAGATGTGAGTCAGTGTGGAGGGACAGTGGAGATGGCAGCGGACAGAGAAGCGTGGAAGAGGCTGATCTACGAGGCGAAGAATCGACTGCGATTTGTAGCGCCCCAGCAGTAAGTAAGTAAGTAAATTGTGTATAGGCTAATAGCTTTTTTATGATGATATTTATGACGAAGTTAGGGTGGATGCCTGAAGATGTCAGTATGAAGACGCAACCTATAGGCAATATAGGGGCGAATAGGAACACCAGAAGGTTAAAACTAATATGCATTCATATTAATATGTAGGCCTATTCAAATTAATTTAATTCTATAACATTTTTAAAACAGGTTTATTGTAAATCAGGGTGTCCACCAGGCCAACCAGAAAAAAATCATGAGTATTCCCAAGTAGTTCAGGTCCTAATTTTCATACTTAACTTTCCAACAGTCTTTATGTACTTTCATATAGTGTGTACTTTTGGGGTTATGGGTTGTTTTTTGAGTGGCCTACAGAAATAAATAAATAATTATTGCAGATTTCACATAGCCAATTTAGGTTTAAACCCTTCCAAACACATTAAATAAATACCACGTTAAAGGTAAATAAAGATATTGCAAAAATAAAAAAAATAAAACATTCTAGAAGTGTGCCATTTTGAAATTTTCGGTTATATGGAACTCGAGGTTATATTGTGATCATCTACCACTGTCATAGACACCATCATCGTTTTCCGTGATAGCTGAAAAATCCTGAATATCTCCCTCAGTAACGGAAACATCACAACTGTCTTACGTGGTCGTGACAAAATCCTGATATTGTTCAGCGGTAACGGAAACGTTATAATCGTCTCACGCGATCACAGAAAAGTTATCATCAATTCTTCTAACAAATCGCGCGGCCGTTTGAACATCATCATCGTCTCCCGCGATCACAGAAAAGTTATCATCAATTCTTCTAACAAATCACGCGGCAGTTTGAACATCATCATCGTCTCCCGTGTTCATGGAAACGCCATCATCGTCATACTCAATCTCGGCAAAATCACTAAAAAATCCCGTGGCTGTTTAGAGTTTGGACATCATCATCGTCTCCCGCGGTCACGGAAAAGTCATCGTCATCTCCCGCGGTCAAGGAAACATCATTCAGGGTCTAGTTTATTTCCATTTTAAAATTCAAGACTAATTCCGGACTTTTCAAGACCGATTCCAGATTTTTCGAGACTAGGTTTTTTCAAAAATTAGTGAGTGTCGATACCAAAATGTATCAATTCTCAATTCTTGATAACGATACCAATTTTTATAGTTTAACCGAATTTTCTAAATAATTTGGTTTTTTACTACACACCCCTGTCTTTATGTCATAAAGTATTATTAAGATAATATGGTGTTTCCAAGTAAAGACAACCTTTTTGGAAGGCCTAAATAGGATCAGCAAGCTTACTCTGTTAAGGCCTTCCAAAAAGGTTAGACCTCCGACCTCTTGAGACTAGACAGACGAAGAATCAAACTAATTGTAGAACTGATAACTGGTCACAGGCGATTCAGGAAACATTTACAACGGATGGGCTCATTTGATGGTGAATCGATCTGTAGGCACTGTGATAGGTCAGAAGAGACAGCCGATCACCTGCTCTTTGATTGTAACGAGCTCTCTGATACTAGAATGATAACTCTTGGTAATTTGGCTAGAGGAAGATATCTTCCTGAGGATGAACTCATTGGGAAGCTACAGGCATTCATTGGACGCCTTAACTTGTAAGGTCAACAAGAAAACAATTGTCTGGGGTGGGCAATGATTCGACTTTTGGATGAAGTGTTTTAAGGTCTCGACCTGCCCCTGTTAGATAAGATAAGATAAGAAGTAAAGACAAAATGCAGCAATGAAAAATTAAAACTAGCCAATTAGGGTTTTTTATCATGAAATTTTCTGCGGACGTGTAGACATCATCATAGACTGCCGCGGTCACAGTCACGGAAACGTCATCGTCGTCGTCCGCCATCTCGGCAAAATCAGGAACATTTCCCGCGGCCGTATAGACATCATCATCGTCTCCCGCGGTCATGGAAACGTCATTGTCGTCGTCCGTGATCGCAGTAAAATTATGAACATTTACCGTGACCGTTTAGACATCATCGCCGTTTCCCGTGATTCCAGAAACATTATCGTCATCGATCGCAGCAAAATCATGAACATTCCCTGCGCCAGTTTAGACATCATTGTCGTTTCCTGCGATTCTGGAAACGTCATCGTTATCGCCCGCGATTGCAGCAAAATCATGAAAATTCCCAACTTTGATATCAAAATAAAGCCTAAATCCCGACTTTTTAAGACCATTTTGAAATTCAATGGTAGGCATAATTCCCGACTTTCTCGTTTTTCCTGACTACTAGACACCCTGACAATTTCCTACGCAATGGCGGCAAATTAAAAATTCCCCGTAAAATACAAAATTCATGTATAACTCCCCGTTTTATCCCAGTAAAAAAAATCACCCTATTCCCGCTTTTCCAGGTTGGTGGACAGCCTGTAAATTCATCTAATGTAATAAAAAGATAGCCTACATAAAAAATGTAAGTTTATTTACCATTTTTTCTGAGATTTCCTTGAGAGCTAATCTTGCAAACAGCATATCAATTTCTATCCCATCAAAATTCATTTTAATGACAGGAACATAGGCTTCTTCAACGGCCTGAAAAGAGTAAACAAAACACATTTTCATTAAGACAGATACTGAACCAAAAACTAAGTTATCATAGTTAGAAAATCTTATCCAATCTAGAACCACAGACTGCCAAATAACATGAAATAATTTTGAATTGAAATGAGAAACATCCCTCTATATTGAGATGCACTTAGGACAACGTGGTCCTTTACGGTTACTGTCTAACTTACTTCAGATTTAGAAATACTTTATTTGTAAACAAAATTGTGTCAATAATATCTCAATCAATAATAAATAGTATATCTATACATCTAGAAATAGCAATTAAAATACTCATTGAAAGAGTACCTAGACCTAATATGATAGGCTAATCGTGTTTAACATATGTTTTATTTCTTTCAAGGGAATTTCCCATATAAGGGAATAAGTCATTACCGGAGTACTTACGGTAAGACCTGGACCCGGGACTGATTTACTTTATTGTTTTGAGGTCCTTAGAGGCCAAAAACACCGTCCGTTCAAATTCACTCACACACACATATATATATATATATATATATACGGTAACTATATATACAAGTGATGGGTCGGTGACACTTTTTCAAAGTTGGTACTGGTACCGGTTCCTAGCCAAAATCAATTCCCGGTTCCGGTACCATCGGTGCATTATTTTAATTTTTAGCGAATTTCTCCTATATAGGGAATAAGCTATTACTGTAGTACTCATGGTAAGACCTGGACCCGGGACCGATTTACTTTTTCGTTTTGAGGTCCCTAGAGGCCAAAAACACTATCCGTTCAAATTCATATATATGTGCCTGTTAGCACAATAACTCGAGCAAAAATTAGGATTTTGATGAAATTTGGTATAAACGTGTTGGGTAAACCTTAATTTATTCTATCGAGTTTGCGAACCAGCATGATCGGATTATGGGAACAGGGGTTTATTGGGGGTTTTTATTGGGTAAAAATTGGTCTTTCCCATTTTTGACTAAAAAAACATAAAATTTAGCAATTTCTTTCCAAACTATTTTGAAGAGCTTAAAAAACCAATAACTTTGTATATTGAAACGTTTTTATGCGCCTAATAGTTACAGAGAAAATTAAAAAAAAATTTAATTTAAAATTCCTATGTTGTTTTTATGGAGAATAAAACGGTTGTACTTAGTTTGCTTGTTTAGGTAAATCCTATAACATATTTTGATCAAATTTGGAAAATGCATATATTTCTTACTAAACAACTACCTACCTAACATAAAAAAAAAACTTACCCTCCCTGTTGCAGCAAACCTAAGTACTCGTTAAACTAATTCTATTAAAACAGGGAATCAATGTGATACCTTTAAGGAGACATTTTAGTGTAAATCCAATCAGGCAAATGGAAATTCGCTTAGTCTGCAGTAGGGGTGTGCGAATAGTGATTTTCAACCTCGAGCCGAGCCGAGCCGAGCTTTTTCAAAAGTTTTCGAGCTCGAGCTTTTTCGAGCTGAGCTTTTTCTAGCGTCACCTTATCTAAATTATTAAACTTTTTTTCTTAAAAAAGTGCATAATAATAATGTTCAGTCATTTTTTAAATAAACACAATGTTATTTTAGTATGTTTAAAAACATTGAGAATTGTCAAGACATCAAATAGTAGATAATCACGATAAGAACTGAACTGAACTAAATTAAGATGCAAGAAATAAAAGGATAATTGAAGGCCTGACGAGATATACAGTGCAGACTGAGACAATCAGATTGTCTTTCATAACAGAACAGCAACGCAACCTTGAATGACGACAAAACAACTAGCAAGTCGATTACATTATTATGTATATTGTAACTACTATGAATATTTAATTCTATTTTGTATAAATAAATACAAAATAAATTTAAAAACATGTGATTATTCTTGTTGTTTTCCATGTACAAAATATTTTAGTTTTATCAATCGTATTAATCAAAAAAGAACATAGTTGGTTTGGATCCAAAAAGGTGGAGGGACAAGTAAAAAGTAAACTTATATATTAAAAAAGATATAATTGACATATGGAGGAAATAGACCAAAACACTAAAACTAATGGAATAACACACAAAGTAAACAAGAAATGAAATAAAGAACACTATGAATTAACACTGTCACTCAATTTTGTTATCTAGAAGGGTCGGCGAACTAATCAATAAATAGCCAAAACCAGTTTCCTCCCCTTCTTGCAGTCTCACCACCACCCCTCCCCCCTAAACCGGGAGGCCCAACACTTTGTCCTTGAAACACCCACGTCCTTTGTACCCCTAAGAAACAATAAACCCTTACACCCGTGTTGCTGTTTTGACAACAGGTTTATGAATGCGATCATTATTTTTCATTTTCCAGAATTAACTATAAATTATTATTATTTGCAAGCTACAAATAGGAAACTACATCACATTATGGTATTCAATGACCCATGTATTATTATCAAAAATTAATAATTCATTACTTATTTTGATAATAAAAAACATTCACTACAGCACGCACCACTTATTGATAGGTACATATAGGCCTAATCATCAAGGTAACTGTTACTTTATAGAAAATAAAATAAACGGTATCAGCATTCTGACACATACTTTCTCCCATAAGTTTGTCAACAACCTTTATCATGTGTAAGCGGTGAGAGTAAATATACGGAAATGGGATTTATACAATTTTGTTCACAATTTAAAGGACTACATACTAAATTTTTATCAAAATCTTTTTATCTTTTTATGAAAATCGGATTTTTCCGTTATTTTATGGGGTTTTATGGGAAAATAACATAATTTACAATAACTTTTGAACCATAATTTTTACAGAAATGGGATTTGTACCACTTTGTTCAGAATATAAAGGACTATAACATACCAAATTTTTATCAAAATCGTTCGGACCGTTTTTGGGAAAATCCTATTTTTCCGTTATTTCATGGGGTTTTATGGGAAAATTCCCATTAAAAATAAAAAATTTTTAAAAATGAAAAAACTATCAAAATTTTAAGGATCATAACATACTATGTTAAAATAAAACCGGATTTTTTCTAAAATCCTATTTTTTGTTATTTTATGGGAAAATAACATAATTAACCATAACTTTTGAACCGTAATTTTTACAGAAATGGGATTTGTACCATTTTGTTCAGAATTTAAAGGGCTACAACATACTACATTTTTATCAAAATCGTTAGGGCCATTTTCGAGAAAATCCGATTTTTCCGGTTTTTTATGGGTTTTTATGGGAAAATCCCCATTAAAAATCAAAATTTCAAAAAAATGAAAAAAACGCCTGGAGATACCATGGATTAGAACCTACATACCAAATTTCATCGAAATCGGACCACAGGTGTAGTCCCTAGCTCTGTACACATCCAGACACACAGACACACACACACACACACAGACATCACTTTGAAAACCACTTTTTTGGGTCCAGGGGGACCCAAAACGGATATATCCACTCAAAACTCAAACTCGAAAATTTTGACGAAAACAATACTTTCTCCATATACTATGGTATAGGGGGAGAAAGTAAAAGTACAAAATTGTGTTGCCGGTCAAACTTTATAAACAAACATTTTATTCTATAAAATACATATGGTAAATAGGGATTGGTTTAAAGGAAATAAAATACAAAACAGATAATTAATTATTTTGATAAACATTAGAAAGGTTATAGGATTGATTGAACTAAAATAACTGCAGGGAAACTTATTTAAGTAGAAAAGTCCACAATCTGTTTAATCAGTACGTTGTTAGAGAGAGAGAGAAAGAGAGATAGCAGATAGGGGCGTTTGATAAGGAATCTGAAAAAGTAAACAAACAAGGAACAATGACATGACGATACTCGTTTACAGCCTTATTGTGTCGCCCACTACATTTGCACACGTGACCACTTTTTGTTTCTTCCTTATCTTTCATCCGTCCCAAAATAGAATTCCTGAAATTGTTTGTTGATATAATCTCCCCTCCCACACAAGGCGCAGTGCTCAGTGCGCACTGTAGGTTGTCACGGCAACCGTGTGTCGTCATAGCGACAAGCCAATCACGCACTCGCACTGCGTTGTATATTACGATACGAATAGCTGTTAGAAAGACAACGCGATAGGTGGTCGTTTGTCTCTTTCCTATCTCCTCAAAATTACGATCGATAATCATTGCGTCTTGACTGAGCTGAGGTTCGTGCTTATCAAACCTCGAATGCATGAACAACGTAGAATTGTGATAACATTGTTTTCAATTATGACCCAAATTAAGTGTTTTGACTTAGTATTAAAAGCTCGGCTCGAACTTCGAGCTTTTTCAAAATGCCTCGAGCCGAGCCGAATAATGAAAAGCTCGACCAAAAAGCTCGAAGATTCGAGTACTCGCACACCCCTAGTCTGCAGGTTTGCTGCGGCTGGGGTATTTTGTTTCGTTAGTTAACTAAAGTTTGGGAACCCCGGGCTTAGGATAATTTAGGCTTTACTATATAACAAACGACAATAGGCTACTGGTACCGATGTTAAGTAATTTAATATTGCTGTTGGACCATGCGTTCTAGGTTAGTTTTTTTTTACTTTTTGTACACATTTTACTCTATGAACAAAAAAAAAAGGGTTGATTATCTTAAGTAGAGTATGGTAGTCATAGGTTGAAACGATTTAAAATACCGATATTTAGTTCAATATTGCTTGCAGATACCATGGAGTCGGATATCAAAGTTTTAACTGCATCCATACGGTAGGAGTGAGGTCAGAGAGCAGATAGGAGCAGAATACGAGCAAACAAATTTTTCATTTAAAGAAACTCACTCTCAAATCGGTTACTTCTGGGTGGCTCTTGAGTTTTTCAAAGAAAGACGTGAAGTAGTCTGCCCTGTCAATGTGCCTTGGGGCGACACACAGAGCGTCAATATCAGCTCCCTTGTGATGGACACCTAGCCTGTAGGAGCCGAAGGTGTAGATCTTTCCTCCCACCTGCTCGGCTACACTCTCTGGCATGTTGCGACTTATGCTAATCTCCTTGATCCATTCCTTCACTAAGGCATTCAGTTTGCTCAGAATCTCCATCCTACAACATCAGTCATTTCAAAATGTTTACAATTTGTTTTAGCCTTTTTTATAAAATCCTTTGTTAGTTTTTGTGATAGACATAATTAGGTGTGAAAAATTTAAATGTCAATCCTTACTTTTATGGTAAGTCAATATTTCATCTTTGATTTTAATGAAATTTTAAATGTAGGCTAACTTAAGTAGAATGTTCCCATTTTCACTACCTACTTGTGTTCTGATAAAATAGGGTGTAGGCTTTCTGCCCATACGATAATCCTATTAGTGACGCTCGGCTGACCTGTCAGCGCTACCCGTCCCTGCGTTGGCGTTGAAGATGAATAAGCGTAGGACAGTGGAGGGGGTGAGACGCCAATGTAGGGGAAGTTAGTGCGAGTTGGAGAGAGTGAAAGTGATGTAGGGTGAAGAGAAGGAAAGAGGTAAAAATTCAGCCATAAGGATCGAACTGATCAACAACTCACCCCATTACATTGTGATCCAATGGTGTTTATAATTTTTTATGTGTTCAGTGGCGTCATTCGCCTATTAGGCGGCCTGTTGATTGGGGTGTTCAATCTAAATCAATAACCACTTGCCTCCATTTATGTAGGCAAATAGTACCTAATATCCACTGTAAAAGGAAAAAAAGAACTGTTGCGGAGGACCTTTGCGGTAATATTTATTTACCGTATTGTGAGTTAACAGTATATTGTGTAAATAGCCTAAATGTATCAATAGTGTTTCAGACCTCTCAGTATATACATTCTGTGCTTTAAGTAAACTGTTGATTCTTTATGAACAAATTATTACTAATATAATGGTCAAATTATGGTCAAATTTGAAAAAGAAGTATTTTATTCATAAAAAAGCCAAATATTTTATTATTTAATACGAACTTTTGTTTAAATGGTTACTTTTGTAAATCTTATAAAACAACTAATATAATATACTAGCTGACCGGGCGAACTTCGTATCGCCTAAGTTATAGGTTTCCCCTAAGACAGACCGATGGAAAGAAAGTACCGTTACGTTTAATTTTCAAGATGATCTCGTTCGCATCGCTCAATCACGTCCTGGTTGAAGTTCGTTCGCTGCGCTCACTTGTCTTCAGGTTAGCTCGTTCGCTACGCTCACTCGCCTCCAGGTTGAAGTTCGTTCGCTACGCTCACTCACCTTTTGGTTGCAAATTAGCTGTTGTCATAAATGTAAAAGAAATAATAGTGCTGCACCCTGTTGGTAATCCTTGTAACTTTAAAGCTATTGAACATCATAGAACAGAACCAACTTGTTTAATTGAAACAGCTGTTAAGATTCATTAATTCCATTTCTCATAAGGTTAACATGGGAAACTCCAGAGCCACTGGGGCGGAGCCCTTTTAAGAATTTCAAAACGGGAAATAGTTTACGTCCGATTCGCATACCTACAGAATTTACACACCAAATTTTATAACGATCGGTGAAGTCGTTCCGGAGGAGTTTGCAGACAAACACTGTGACACGAGAATTTTATATATTAGATATATTGAAGTGTTTTTGTAGGGTTATTAGTGACGATTTGTAAATTTAAAATTGCTATTTTATTTGTATGGAGAATAATACAGTAGACTCATAGTTGGCTTGCCTTGATGATGGTTGTTAATTGATAGTTTAATTAATATTGGCAAATTTGTTACATTTATACTAAACAATTAATATTTCACAAAAAATCTATATGTTAATTTGAAACTGTTTTTCTTTGTGACAGCTATTTTGAGAGAACCGCTGGGCGTAGAAACCCGGTAGAGGTGTCTAAAGAAAGGTCCTGGTCTGTAGATGAGCCATCAAAAGAGAAACATGGAGAATTCCCTCAGGGCTCTGCCCCAGTGGCCTTTAAATTCCCATCCCATGTTATTCTTATGGAGGAAAACGAGGTTTTTGTCACAGCTAATTTGAGAACACGGCTGGGCGTAGAAACTTGGTATGGGTGTCTAAAGAAAGGTATTAGTCTGTAGGTGAGCCCTCAAAAGAGAAACGATGTAAATTTCCTTGGGGCTCTGCCCCAGAGGCCTTTAAAGTTCACTCTGCAATTTTGTTTACATTTCAACCATATGGATAATTTTACACTACTTTTAATGAACCAGCTGTTAATATTAAAATTGTATTCAAAGGTCTACTGAAACTGTCAAAATTAAATGTTTACATTACTATTTATGATTTTAAATGGACTAGTGTACATGTTGCTCGAAATCGAGCAATTGCAAATAAGTACAGGAATTATTTATAAACAAATAACTTGTTTAAAAACTAAAACAGTTATAATTTCCGATGATTTTAAAAGAGACAACTAAAAGATTAATAACTAATGGGAATACTCACAATTTACATAACAGTCCTATTCCAGTTTAAAGGGTTAATTTTTAACAATCAAACTGTCCATGGACGGGAAAAGGTGAGCTTACAATTTAAGTCAACGTAAAAAGGCTGTCAGCTTTTAAAAAGTACCGTACCTAAGTTTTTTAGCCAATTTGTAGACAATAAGGTGTAGGCTACTTTAAACTCTACATGACAGAGTTAGGCAAACACTGGCAGAACTCTGAAATGGTGTTATTTATCATAGGCTTACTCATATGCCAAATCCTTAAAATAAAAATTCTATAATTAATAACTTATATCATTAAACACAAACCAACATCTTTTTTAACATTTGTAATAAAACATATAGATAATTTACACATTGACTGTTTACAATTAACATATCCTCTTTTACTCACTATAATTTTTGCAACGGGAAAAATCTGTTTCATAATCATTGACATGGATTTATAATAAATAATCTATCATAAAGTTTAAGATTAAATAAACCTGCCACATAGTTGTTTTATTTTTTTTTTTTTTTTGGATCAGCTGGCTGAAATTGTTAAATAGGCATTTGACGGAATGGGCACACGGAAGGGACTAAGGCTAAAGGTGTAGTGACGTCATATCTCTAGTGGTTAATGTCTTCTCTTGAGGCGACACGATTACCGTAACGAAACGTGGTGATTTCAGCGGCGTTCGTGGCATAGTTGGTAGCGTTTCGGATTGGTGTTCAGGAGGTCCGGGGTTCGAAACCCACTGGCAGCACTAACTTTTTGTCAACAAATTTTTCATATCAGCAACTTTGGTTGGTTAGGTTAGGTTATGACAGTTTAATTTTATAATACTAAATTTTAAAATTAATTTTATAATTAATTAAAAATTATAAGTAATCATTAATTAGATTTTTATCTTATATAGTTTTTATATTATCAGCAAGTCTGGTTGGTTAGGTTATGTTATGACAGTTTAATTTTAAAAATTAAAAATTAATTTTATAATTTTAAAACAATATTTTATAATTAAAAAGTTAATTTTATAACAAAAAATAAAAAATTAATTTAAATTTTTTCAACTTAGCAGTCCTAGTGGCGAACGCAGACACTACAAGATATGTTAGCCTTAGTCCCTCCCGTGTGCCCCACCGGGCATTTGACAGTTCTGGTTGTTTACATTTAAATGTCAAAGCAAATGTAAACATTGTGAATTTTCTCCTGCTTCCATGGAGACCAATATTATTAATATTGAATTTCTGACAACAGCTGGAGTTTCAAAAGAATTTTTGTTTCCATGTTAATCTTATGGAGAAATACGAAACTTTAAAGGGCCCCAGGGCCTCACTCTCTAATTATTTTCCTAAAAAGAAAGTTTCCTGCACAACTTCACGATACGCTCTTTCCAATGACACCAAAAGCATGACAATCGGTTCAGTAGTTTCGGAGGAGTAATTGTCACAAAAATCCTGCTTGCGTATTAAATAAGTATAGATTCTCCACTGCATGGCAAGTTTTTTATAGCTTCAACAAAATGATGAAATTATGATACGTTTGAAATGTTTTGTTCAAAAATCAATGCTTTATTGCTCTTAGAAAATTTTAAATTATGAAATAAGTGTGGCTTATAAATTTCAAAGGAACATACAGTATAACTATTCCTTATCGGGTTAGCTTATACATATTGTAAGGTTGGCACTTGCCTTTTTTTCCTACTTTCAATCACCATTTATTTTTAAATTCAAGAAAGAACGCCTGAGATTAATTTATTGGTATAACAGTTTTTGATAATCGGGTTGAAAATTGCATCATAGATGAGTACGATGAGGATGAGAGCTGTGATCAAGTTTTGGAATAGACTAACTACGGAGTCTATGGTTTTGATAAAGTAGATGAACTATGTCAATTTAGGTATTAAAAAAAATGTGTACACAGTTTTTACTTTGATGTACACATGTAGCTAGGTTGAACAACGCATCTAAACCTCACTACATACAAAACATTCGGAAACACAACAGTGTCATCACATCTCATCGCATTTGCATAATGTGTTACCAATGCTGGACTAGGTTATGGATTTAATTCCGCAAATGTTCAAGATTTGTGATAAAATTTCTTACAATTATGGTTCATTCGTATCCACGAAATACATGCACAGCTTTATGTGATCTATATGGCCAAGGCAAAACTACCCCATAAGCTAATGAACTATCAAGTAAGAACAGGATAATTAAATACATAGGTCGATGTGGCAAGAGAAGGATTTAAAATTGCTAAGATCGAAGTAAGAATGTTACTGCTTTCTGGAGAATCAGATATTTTTATAAAAAAAAGTGATGAAGATTTACTTATAAATCCGGATACAATCTGAATGATTTTCCTAAAGCAGATTGAATTAATGGTCAGTAATAAATATTGACTCTTTCCGTAACATGATAGACTAATTATATGAACTCATTCTCCCATATAGTGAAAGTGGCTTTGGTATGAAACAAACTCATGAAGAAACAATTATAAGACTCCTAAAAAACCTTTTATGCAACCTAAAGCCGATAAAAAGAAAGGTAGGAAATATTGTGTTAAACGAATTCATCAATCACGTTTTTTAGGGAACACAATCGTCATACTTATTATTGCTTATCGTCCCTTCATATAACTAAGATTTTAATGACTTCACTCTATCCAACGCAGTTAGCTGAATTTACATAAAACCTCAAGATTAACCGTCGATTTCGACGGGGTTCCACTAGTACCTTATTACCTTCAAGACAAACGCAATAACATATAAAGATAGAAAATCTGATAAAAAATAACACTGGTATGACTGTTTTTGTGTCGCGTAGTATATATTTAGTTCTTATGATTCTATCATATTGGTTTGTTGGTCACATAGTTGCAGACAAGTACTTATACCACACGCACTATCATAGTTTTTTAGACACAGACCACAAAAATGTCATATCTCGGTCATTTTTATTGGATTTTCTACGTCGATGTGTCATTACGTTTGTGTCAGAATTTACAGTAAAAAGCATTCTTGTGTTTATTTTAAGATTTACTGGTATAACGTTACTACTGTTAAAAATGTTTAAATGGCTGCTATATTAAATTTTAAATTTATAAATTGTAATATATTCTTGCAAAACTAATTAAACTAGCATTAACATTTATTTACAATTTAAAATTTTAAGTAACATGGATATAAAAAAAACAAAATGGTGGCTCTGTGTGTAACCATTGATTTACAGGTGCTTTAAATGTGATACTGCATTTATACATTCGTTATTAACACAGAAATTATATTCTAAAAGGTTGGTACAGAGTTACTTAACACCCTATAGTTCGACAGAATTGTTATAACAAACTCACTACTAGATCATAAATGACCAGAAATATATTTTCATCAACATCATTAGGAGTACTGGTTAGATGACGTATTTTCTCGTCACACAATTGGTATTTGGAATGTGACGTTTGCAGTAAAAATTTGAATAAAACTTGTTCAATATCGTACAAAACTGTGATTTTATTATTTTGTATAAACAAATCTTTCAATAAGTCTTAATTTACGACTCAACGAAATAAACTATGACCAATAGTTGTATCACCATTGTTGCCTTAGTTTTTGTGTTAAAGATGTTCGCTTATGAGGCTACCACGTAAAATCAAAACAATTGTTAGGTTGCAATTGAGGTCAATCACACTCTCGCAGTTGCTTCCCTGCTAAGTGACCCGAGTGACCCTACGTAAGGAATATCTAAGAAATAGCAAATTGAATCCTTGTACGCTAATCACTTATATTTCCTTTACCTTTCCTAGTACTAAACACTGATTCCCTTCATTGCATTATTTGTTAACGGAAGTCCATTCAAATTCTTGCGTCGAATTGTTGTAATGTCAACCCTATCCTTCTGGGAACGTCAGACGTCCGGTGTCGCTGGGGGCAACAAACTCCATCTTCTATATCGCTCTACCCCCACTCTAGCGCTTGCTACCCCTCAACTGCCAGGAAAGGCCATAAATCAGGCGATTAGCTTCAACAATACCCGGGTAGGATTATGGGACGACCTCCGTCTCCCGATAAAATATGTTATTAATACAATGAAGGCAGACACATTACCGATGATTCAATTCCTGGTCAGATTCTGTTACATTGTATGGCTTGAGAGCTTCTTCTAGTTCTTTGGTTCTCTGAACATCAATGGGTTTAGGGCCAGCAAGCGAGATTGCAGAAGTCATACCCAGTGCTTGCTTTTTGGCTTGTTCAGCTTTTTCAGCATTTTGTTGGTTCTGGAACATTTGACTTTGCATCTGTGTGGACCACATTCTGCAAAAAGTTTCAATTTTAGAGTAGGCTACAGCATTTTATTTTACATTAATTTCATTCAAACAACAACAAACAGCTTGATTTATTTTGATAATTCAGTAGCCTACAAACTATTGGACAATACATTCTAAAGACTAGTGCTAATAAAATGGTTGATAATGGTAGGCTAAGTTAAGTGTAAGTTGAATAACAAACAACATTATAGCAAATAAAACAACAAAAATATGGCAACAACATAAATGCATGTGATAAACAGTGAAAGCAAAACAAAAACAAACATTGTAACACTCTGAATTTAAACTCTTATTTAGCTACCTATTTAATTATGCCCGTTGTTATTACTTATGTCTTACTTATTTTATGAACATAATATAAAATAATTTAAAACAAATTTTTGGCGGACAAACATGCCGACGCTTGAAATAGCAAGGGGTGTACACATATGATAAGCCTATGTAGGCTACTTGCTTGCAAGCCATGATAAGTTATTAAGGATACCTGAATAAAAAGTAGGAAAATACCTGATTTGAGGTGCAACTTGCAAAGAATTTAACCATAGTGAGAACTTCCGCTCAAGCCGTCCATCATTCATTTTAACATGAGCCTCTCCCATCTGGCTCTAGTACAGACACGTCCCTTGAGAGTTGTACTTAAGTGACTGAGACAGTATTTGAAACCTTGACTATTGTACTGGCTCCTGGCCAGAGAGACCCAGCTGTTTATTACACTATTGGATACCAGGTTGATATTTAAAAAGATTTTTATTTTGATTGTTGGGGGTTCAAAGCTGGACCTTGCTGACCTTGTTCATTCACCTCTTAATATGGTTTAGGCCTATTAATTTAATTTTTTGCTCGAGGGTCATACCACTTTTACAAATTCATGAACGATGTCAAGCTAGACTAATTAAGTAATGGTCTTGGATGAACAACCAACTGATCTTTGGTGAAGCTCTGTCATCTTATTCAATAACCTCTCTGAATAATTTGTGCCTTGTAATACACAACCTAATGTCTTGGTATCTTATAAAAACTAGGCTAATTTATAATCTACTAGCTATAACTTAAATTTTATAGGGGTACAGTTTCTTAACTGGGCTATGCTAATATCGATTGAAACTATTGAATTGAAAATATTGATTAATAACCAATATTTTTAAATATAGGCCTATCTAGGCTATTATAAAATTAAACTAGGCTATCATAACTTAACCTAACCAACCAAACTTGCTGATGGTGAAAAAATCGCATGAAGGTTTACTAATCGAATCGATAGTTTCAATCGATATTAGCATAACCCAGTTAAGAAACTGTACCCTTTTATAGACTAAGTTAACTAACATTTTTCAAAATACTGTTAGGCTAGCCTAAATCAGACTACAAGCCTAAAAATCAAACTGGGTGTGTTTATAGGCCTATTTGATTGTTCATGAGGCCGACAATCGATTTTCTACAAGAAATGGATTAGGAAACAGATTCACATGTCTAACATACCAAACTAGGGCTGGCTGGCTGGAATCCTATCATTAAATTGAACCTGTTAGGCTGATGTTAAATGCAAAAGTATCAATGCGTTAATCATCATAAGCTGTACTTAGTAACACATTTTAGACATTGGCAGCTTAAGAAGCATAAAATGTGTTAACTTAAAATTAAACTAGACAAAAGACTAAAGTGTAACGGAACAGAAAACATGAAATGGCAAGAAATAAATATGTTAAGCTTAAAGGTAGAAAGAATGCTTGGTTGTGAAAAAAGAAGTGGATAGTTACCTTTTTATTTTATCTAGCATCAAAAGGGTTACGACATTAGTATTTACAGAATATTCTTGAGAAATATTGAAAAATTAAACGTAACCACTACCATAAACACTGACAATGACAGACCCCAATTTCAACATGGCTTCGTAGAAGATCAGAATCAGAAATCAGATCTTTGGCATTTAATTCAAAGAGGAAGATAAAATAGAAGATGGTATCTACGGCGTAGATTATTATTCAAAACTAGGGTGGATCCCACAAGTTTGACATCCTAATAGATCGACAAGTCAATTTTATCTTTTTTTACGAAGAAAATCACAATTTTTACAATTCAATTGGTGGATTATAATAACCATAAGTGACATTTTTACATTGTGTTTTTTATCACCAAATTATAAAATGTAACTAACCTTTGAATTAATTGTTATCTTCTAATTGAAATATTATGCCATTTTATCTTTGTTTCAATTTAATTGTTGTAATTTGGTTCCAGTGCCATATCTCGACACTAAACATGGTTATAACAACATAGTCTCCCATTACAATCACAGTCCAAAGGTGGCCGGGTTACAATCGCAGTCAAGATAGATCATCAAGTGTGACGAAGCTGGTTGGTAGCCCACAAGCATAATATTTTCAATAATGGGTATATTTGCTATTTTTAGACGCCCGGCACTGTTTCACAATAAACTACAAGTTACAAGTTACAACTTGTAACTTACGTAATTTCCATTAGATTTGCATTGGGATGAAATAGGCCCCACTAACTTGATCTTTATCCCTGGTGAATGTTTCAACCAATTAGTTGACTGGGCAGGGTGATAAAATCAGTAGTTAACAACTGTCCCAAGACTTTAAATTCCTTGCTCAACGTAAGATTTTTTTTATTTAATTTTAATTTTTTTACATGGATGGATAATTTACTTTAAAATTTGAACGGAAGAAGGTAAACTAGAAAAGGCATATATATTATTGAAGGGAATTTGATTTTCTACAACCTTATGTCCAGCATTTGTTTTTAGAGTGCATAGTTAACTTGTCAAAAAAAAAACGAGGGAAAATGTATTTTTATAAATTTACAAAATTTTTATAGTAAATAACGCGAGAAGCATACAAGATATCAAAAAATAGTAAATTACAAACTTGCTGACAATTTAATAAGATTTAATTTTGTATATTACCATAATTTCGCTTGGACGCATGGTTTCCGGGATTTCAGAAAAAAAACAAACCAAAAATGGTACCTTTAAGCCCCCCCCCCACAGCACATGGCTAGAGGAGGGGACTTTTGGTATTTTAACCTCCTAACTATACTAAACAAAGTTACGAAGTCAGAAATTGTGTTCCAATAAACATTTCCCTCTATAACCTTCCGTTGCCTGGACTGTAATGTCTTTGGCGAAACAAAAGCAGTATTCATATTCACTAAATTTACTCATTTCCATTCATATATTTTCAGTTTTTATTTATTTTGTTACTGTATTGATTTTTTGTTATCTTTAAGAAAATTATTAAAAACCCCGTGGGTTTGTTCAGAGCTGTTGTGAGGTGCCCTGTAACTAGATAAATCACAAGTGACAAAACCCCTGTCAACGCTGAAGAAGTCACCGCCTCCATTCACGGAAAGCTCATGGCCTTGACTCTTTGGGGACCCCAGCGATGTAGAGTTTGCTGGCTTGGGTTGTTGCTTTCATCGCTGCACTATTGCGTTCATCGCAGCTCTTGTCTCCACCTGACACACTTCCTGTCCATCTGGAAGGAATCGTCGGTGATCCTCATCCCTAAGTTTGGAAAAGACCCTCACTTCGCAGATAACCATAGGCCCATCTCCCTACTACCTGTGTTCTCTAAGATCCTCGAGAGGCGATCCTCTCGAGCCAAGATATTTTAAACATCTTTGCCACCAAGACTGATAATCGAATATATAATAGGTTACGTACCTTGTTCAGTCTTCAGTCTTAACTTAGTCAGTGGATGACTAGTTTCGGGAAAAAAGTCCCATTATCAAATCCTTATTTAAAACGTCATATTGAATATGGTCAAATATCCAACGTAAGTCTTCATCAATGTATACATGTAGGTTGACGACACATAAAATTTACATATTTTACAAAAATTAAAAGTTACAAATACATTTACGATAGGCCGGCCACAATGAATACGGGACAAACCGAAGCAGGTTACACGCCGGACACGACAGAACTGAGTGGAGTTCTGTCGTGTCCGCCGTGTAACCTGCGTCGGTTACTCGACCATACACTCGACCACTCTTCAGCTACGTAAAATAGCGAACAACATCTCCGCAGCACCACAGCACTGGATATGTAGCACCATGCCACCTCCATCCTGATTAAAGTCAAAGTCATCATCAGTCAGCAAAGCATTCGACAGGTTGTGGCACGAGGGGCTGCTCTAGATGTTGACTTCGTCCCCTCTCATTGGCTGTCTCTGGAAGCTGATGAGAAGCTACTTCCACCAGCGATGCTTCAGTGTCCACGTTGACAAAAGGTCCTCCACCGATAGACCCATCTCGTCTGGAGTGCCACATGGATCAGAACTGGACCCGATCCTGTACCTGTGGTACACCAACGACATGTCAGTCACTCCCCCACTCCAGTTGTCCTATACGCAAACGAAGCGCTATTTACTGCCACCTCCACCAACCTCGAGGACCTACGTCTTATGACAGCTTGGCCTCATACAACTCAGGCTGACCAACGCTGATAGGACGCCATATTTTTCACACGCACCAGATTGTTATGGTTTGATAGGCTGATGCCATCACCTTACCATCGAAGGCCGTGTATTTCCATGGCAGACGACAGTCAAGTACCTGGGAGTACTGCTTGACAAGAGGATACCCCTGGACACCCCACGTAGATATAGTATGCTGCTTCGCTGCTGGCCTTAACCAACTCAAAATTCTGCTGAGCCCGCTGTTCAGTCCCAGACGACTTCCCAATCAGACAAGGCCTTGTTTTGCACACTATTTGTTGGATTTTTGTACATTTAACACTATCTTCTACTGCCTTTTGTGAAGCCTATTTAAAATGTGGCACCTTCTCTGATGATAGGCCGCTAGCAAGAATCACCACCTTTAACGTTAAAAGTGGCCGTGGTATCAAGACACCATCGGAAACCGTTCCACCACTACAACCTGCCATCACCGGTGTTAATCAAAGGCGTTGGATTGGTGGTCGAAGCTAGACTCTAGCTGGTAGGTGGTAGCGTACCTCCTAGCTGCTAGAGGTACACTACCGCCTACCTGCCACCTCCCACGCCAGTGACAAGGTGCCGTCCCACTATTCATGGGTTCGTTTTAGGCACTGAGCTATAAATAGGCCTTCGCTTTGGTTTTTTTTTGTCTTCGAGTCTCGTGCCGAACATTCGGTGATAGCATTGATTACACATCTCCCCTAGGCAATAGCATGGTGGAAGGAAAAAACATAGGTGTGCTATTCCCACATATTTTGACGTCACTCGGATTGCAAACAAAATATCACATGATTGTAACTGTCAAATTAGTATATGTATTTGTTTTGATTTGGTTGTTATTGTTTTTATTATTATAAAAACAATAACAATCAAATCAAAACAAATACATACTAATTTGACAGTTACAATCAGGTGATCTTTTGTTTGCAATCCGAGTGACGTCAAAATATGTGGGAATAGCACACCTATGTTTTTTCCTTCCACCATGAGGCAATAGTGTATGTTCAAGGTGCTATGCCCACCAGACCAGACTAGCTTATTAAAAGAGTCTAGTGAAAGAAACATTGTGTTATTGGTTAGTCTATCACTTGACGTTACTTCTTCTTCACCGAGACCAGCTATGCCAGGATAGGTTGTGTTAGAGTTGGAGTAAGTTTAATATATGGTTTTGTCAATAGGATTTGTTGTATGAGGTAAATTTATGAGATGAGAATATTTTGTTTGATATTTGTCAAATGGTTTGAAGGTTTTTTAAAGATCCAAACTATAAACCGAGCTTAACCAACTTGATTCGACTCTTTTCTTATTAGCGAATTTCCCATATAGGGAATAAGCTATTACCGTAGTACTCATGGTAAGACCTGGACCCGGGACCGATTTTTTTTCGTTTTGAGGTCCCTAGAGGCCAAAAACACCATCCGTTCAAATTCATATATATATTTATATTTATATATATATTTATATATATATGTGTCCGTTAGCGCGATAACTCGAGCAAAAATGATCCGATTTTGATGAAATTTGGTACAAACGTGTAAACCTACGTTTATTCGATCGAGTTCGCGAACCAGCATGATCGGACCATGGGAACGGGGGTTTATGGGGCCTTTTATGGGGTAAAAATGGGTTTTTCCCATTTTTGACCCAAAAAACATAACATTTTGAAATTTCTTTCCAAACAATTTTGTAGAGCTTAAAAAAACAAATAATTTAGTATATTGAAGCGTTATAATGCGCCTAATGGTTACGGAGAAAATTCCAAAAAAATTTAAATTTAAAATTCTCATGTTATTCTTATGGAGAATAAGTAAACTGTTGTAGTTTGCTTGTTTATTAACATATTTTCACTGAGCTAAAATTATAACTGGAGGTAGCACTGCCATGGCAGAAGTCTGTCAAAAGCGAGTCGCTGATTTTGTTAGGTTGGTATAGCAGTAAGTTTTCTTACCATAGCAATAACATGGCTTCTTATAACTAGGTTGGTATAGCAGTGAGTATTTTTGTCATACTTGAATACTTTTAATACTTTAATAATTTTCTTTGAAATGGCGAACATACAAAGTAGGTATTTTAAGCCAAGTATAATAATAGTTATAGCAATAATATGGCTTCTTATGGACACCCACCTCACGCAAACATGGCGGCTGGCGACACGCATCTTTGACATTCAGTGCTACCTCCAGTTAGAATTATAGCTCAGTGCATATTTTGCCCAAATTTGGAAAATGTTTTTATTTCTTACAAACTATTAACATTTTACAAAAAAAAACACTTTTACCCTCCCTGTTGCAGCAAACCTAAGTATGTGTTAAGCTGATTCTATTGAAATAGGGAATAAATGTGATATTTTTAAGGAGATATTTTAGTGTAAATCCAATCAGGCAAATGGAAATTCGCTTAGTCTGCAGGTTTGCTGCGGCGGG